ACTTTCTTTTTAACTAATAAGTTCTTAGTATAGTTTTACTAATATATACCTATAAATAAAGATAAGATACTATCTACTATATAATAATTAACTATCTATTAATAGTAAAGGTAAGGGAGTCCTTCTTAATATAGGCCTAGGATATAGGTAATATAAGAGCGGGCCTTTAAGGGAAAAGGATAGCGGCGCTACTAGCGTAATAGTTCCTTTACTTAAGTAAGCTCTATTAGTTCGACCTAGCTTAGAGGCTATATATAGATATACTAGATAATAAAACTAAGGTCGCGCTAAGGATAGAGCGGCCCTAACTAAGACTACCTTAGCTAACTACTTCCCTTACTAAAGCGACCTAAGAAGGGAGAGGACTTATAATTATAAGACTATAGCTTCGATTAAACTAGACCTAGACTAAGCGTAAACCTCGCTAATTAAACTATAGACTAAATAGAACTAATATAACCTAACTAAACCGACCTTAATAGCTATAAAATAAGACCTACTACTAAAAGACTATAACTAAATAAGACTTAACTTAAAACTAAACTAAGATAAAGCTAATAACTAGCCCCCCCTTAAACTATAACCTTAGCCTAGCTTATTAATAGTAATATCCGCCTTATTATCGCGGCGGGAATAATAAGACCCCCTTAAGGTAGTACGCGAAGTATAAGAGGGAGTAACCTAAGGCTTATAAGGAGTATAAGGACTACTACTACTATAAGAACCCTAACGATAACTAAATAGACCTAACCTTAAACCTAAACTAAAGCTAGCTTAGATAGCTAGCTTATAAAATAAAGTAATAACTAAGGTCTATACTAAGGTAGGACCTATATTAGTAGCGGTATAAAGGCGTTTACTATAGCCTATATTATAACCTTAGATCTAGTTAAGGTTAAGACTAGCGATAATTTTACCTAAGACTAAACCGCGATAGCTATAAAGACGCTATTAAATAAAGTTAGGAGCGTTAGTAGGATTAGTAAGCGACGTAAGATAGGGACGCTTTAAGGCGGGCTTAGCGCTAAGAGAATTACCGGGCTATAGCTTAGCGTTAAAAGGAGACACGGTTAGCTCCTAAGCTAGCTCCGCGATAGCCGCGGGTATAGATACCTTAGCCTTAGCCTTAGATAGGGCCTTATACGCGGCTACCGCCTTACCCTTACCTTTACCCTTTCCCTTATCGATAGGAACTAGGGCTAGAATAGGCTTAGTAAGACTAATAAGATTAAAACCGCTATCTTTTATATTAAGGCCGTCGCTAGTAATAAGATAGAAATAGTTAATAAGATCGTTAACTACTATAAGAGTCTTTTAAGTAACTAAAAGTAACTTAGGCCTAACCTAGGCTAAGGTCTTAATAGCGTCGCTAAACTTACTTAAGTACTTTTTTAAGGACTTATATATATAGTAAGTATTATCTATAAAATAAGTAAAAGCTAACGTAAGTATCTTTATATTCTTAGTAACTATAGCTAAACTAAGGGTAGACTCGCTTAATGCGCCCTTACCCTTAGTAGCAAGGGCCTTTTAACTAGCGTAAATATAAGTTTTTAAAGTAGTATAATAAAGGCGCTCTTATACCGAACCCTTAATAAGGGAAGGGCTATTAACCTTAGACTATACTTAGTAGAGGGTATTAGCGGCCTCCTTACCTTTAAAGGTAATCTAAAATATAGATTAATATTAAACTTAGATAGTACTATAGCGGGAAAAGGTTACTTACTTAGTAATAAGACTAATTAAAGTTAGCGTAAGCGATATACGCTTTAGCCTTTATAGCTATTAAAGTTAATAAAAATACTAAAGGTAAGACCGACCTAAGATAAAGCTAAGATTAATATATATAAGATTAGTTTTAATAGCTAGTAAAGGACTTATAAGTAAGCTTACTAGTAAGACGCCTAATATATATAAAGTATAGGATAGAGCGCTTTAATCCTACTACTATAGCGACTTTCTTATAAGGAGGGGGTTTTAAAGAAAGCGAGCCGCTACTACCTAAGTCGGCTTCTTAGTTAAATATTATAACGTAATAACAAGCGAACTAGATATAGTACTAAAGAGACTTAGAGTTATAGAAATAAGGTAAGCGAGGTAGTAGTTAGGCCTATAAAAGAGATAGATAATAAAGGGATAAGAGAAAGTATATATAAGACTAAGGGAGGAGGGTAGGTATATATAGGCGCGAGCTAAGCGCGCGTAATTAATAACTATAAGATAGAAGGTAAATATAAGCCGCCGCGCCCTTAATTAGGAAGTCGCGTAGCTAGATAGGAACCGATTTACGATTAGTAGAGCCGGCCGACTAAATTTCGATTAGCTAGCCCTACCTAAGAGCGACCTATACTAGCGCCCGGCCCGGTAACTAGATATTACCTGCCCTACTAACTAATAGACCGATAAGCTAACGTAACTATAGCTATATAGCTACGACGCGGGAGCTAGGGTAAATAGAGGCGCCCGCGAGTTAGGCCCTTAAAGAGAGACTACTACCTATAACCCTAGGCCCGGGCTAGCGAGCCCGGGCCGTAGCCGCTTAAGATAGTAGTAGCTATAGCTTAAGAGGGCCCGCGCTAAAACGCGACTTTATAGGAAGAGCCCGCGGTAGCTAGCGTAAATTTCCTATATATTACTACTACGACCTCGTTTAAGGTAGACCTATACTAAAAGAAGGGAGGGTTTTCCCTTAGGCACTTTAGTTTTTCCCTCTTATTTAATATTAAAGTTCTAGATACCTCTAGCTAAGTCCTTAGCGTAATCTTAATAATAATATAGCGTAGTATTTACTTTTTTATACGCTACTAAAGCCTTAAATATAGTAGATCTCTAGATTCTAAGATAAGGGCGGCCTTAGAGGTAAACGCGACCTATAGGACTTCTTTTAATACCTTATATATACGTTCGGCAACGTATAGGAGTAGGAGAAGGCGTAGGATAAGCTATAGACCCTTAAGTAAAGGGATAGGTAGACCTTTAGCGAATTCTTCCTTAACTTTAAAGAGACGCTCTTATAAGCGGCGGGAACTATAGTATAAGAAGATAGCGCGAAGCTTATATAGTTATAGAACTTAATTACGCTAGCCCTATAAGAGCTACTTATCCTTATAATTATACCTATTAACTATAGCGAGTATATAAGCTAGTTAATAAAGGTAGTATAAGGCTATAAGTAGACGCTATATTTCTAAAAGCTTTATAAGCGCACGCTATATAGCGGTAATAGGATTACCGCCCTTTTATAAGAAGAATAGCTAACTATTAATTAATAGAGATACCTTAATATTAGCTACCTATATAGACCGAGCTAAACGCGGTAGGAAGTTATTATTAAATATTCTTTATACTATCCCGCTCTCTAAGTAGCGGGCGAAGTAGGTAATAAGCAAGGAAATTAAAAAAAGAAAGGCTAATAGCCGCTACTTACGTTATAGCGCGTTTATATACTTTATATTAAAATGCCCCTTCTTTTTAGCTAAGCGGCCTATAATAGTTTAAGTAGTAAAGATAGAACCGCTCTTTACTTTAAACGATAAAGAGGACTCTGCTCCCTTAGGCCTAGAGGAAAAAGAGTAGCTCTAGAGTAAAGATAGGCTCCGGAGCCTTAATTACTAATACTAGCAAAGGAGAAAGAGGAATTATCCGCCTATATAAAAGAGGAGCTTACTTTAATATAGGTTATAGTTAATAACTCCTTACTTATCGCCGCCCTTATAAATAAGGGCTACTAGTACTACGCCGTAGTTAACGAGGCGCTTATATAAGAGATATAAGTACTAGTAGAAAAGATCGCCCTAAGGTAAGTAAAGGGCGTATTAGGCGTAATAGAGGGTATAGTAATTAAGGGTATTATATAGCTAGCTATAGAGGTCGTATTACGACTATAGCTACTAGGCCGCTAATAGTCGACCGCGTTAAGTATATAATATAGTTTAACGGATAAATAGTTAGTATAACTATTTAATAGATATAGGATTAAGGGGATTATAGAGATCTAAGTAATCTAAGATTTATCGCACGGAGGATGAGCAAGTGGGCATAAAGATCAGGGACTGGAAGACTCTTGATTCTGCTATCTAAGGTGGGAAAGAGGCGAGATCTTTATAGACTGCCTGAATATGAGAATGGAAGGGAATGGTAGTGAATGGAAGCATCTGATCGGATCATCTGGAAGCCACTGATGCGTTGATGATGCCTCCTAGAAGTTTCTGTGGGGAAATGTGGAAACGGACTGTGCGAATAGGGGGTCAGACTGTTGGAGGCTGATATCCTATGTGTGACATACCCCCCCAGGTTGTGCTGGCTAGTGGGCAGTGCAAACTGAAGAAAGAAACTAGATCCCTAGCAACGTAGAGATATCGACGAGACCGAGTTGTTTGACGAAAGTAGCAAATTTCTGGCCTGGCAGAGCTTTGGTGAGGCCGTCTGCAATCATCTGGGAAGTAGGCGTATAAGTGAGCTTATAGAGGCCTTTCTCAAATGCCTGCCTAGCCCAACAGGTGTGGATGTCAACGTGACGAAGGGCTGTGCGGAGGCGTGGAATATCCTGTGTAACAAGACGAATGGTTTGAAGGTTGTCACATTGGATCGTCGGAATTCCATCAAGCTTAAGAGAGCTGCTCAAAGAGACGGAAGGTTGCAATAGTCTCCTTTGCCGTGCGTGAGAGCAAGCAATTCAGCTTCTGTGGAAGAAGTGGTGACTGTATCCTGTTTACCGGCTTTCCAAGCAATAGGGCCACCGAAGAGGGTAAGGATTGAACCCTGGGATGACTTGCGAGTCTCTTTATTATCAGCGAAAGCAGCGTCGGATGCGCTTTGGAAATCGCTATGATGTTGAGCGTGGAGCTGAGGAACAACATCCTCGTCGAGGCAGGGTTTTCCTGAAAACTGGATGGCGAGATACCTAGTGGCGTAAAGGTACTCGATCAGATGGTCTGCGAGCTTGGAGTGATGCTCGGAAGGGTTGTTGAGGAATTCAGCTAGTTTAGACGCTGGCTTGGCTATGTCCGAGCGGGTGATAGCTGCGGCGTAGTTCAGTGATCCAACTTTGCTCTGGTATAGCTGAATTTGGTCTGGAGAAGCCTGCCCTGTGTGCGGCTGGACTTCGTTGCACGGGAAAGGGCTCCTCTGAAGTGGTCACGCCGTTGAAGGTCGAACCGTTGAACCATCATTTCAATGTAGGAGTCTTGGCATAGCCAAAGCTTCCTGTTGGGTCTGTCACGCAGGACTCTGATACCAAGGAACCATTGTAATTCCCTTGGTCTGTCATCGCGTACTTCCTCTTGAGGGCTGCAACCATCTCATCAGCTGCGTCCTCGTTTTCCTTGCGATAGAGGAAAACAATATCGTCAACGAAGAAGAAAACAGTGAGCCAGTCGTTCTGGAAGATGCAGGGTTCGTCGGGACACTGTGTAAGACCAAGCTCTCTGAATGCAGCAGTGAGTTCCTTCTGCCAAAGAAGAGGGGACCGTCGGAGGCCATAGAGGGCTCGCATGAGGCGAAGAGCCCATCCCTGTCTGTAGTATCCGTCTGGGAAGGCTACATAGACCTCCTCGTCGTCTTCTAAGAGGGCGTTTGTGAAGGCATTAACTGCGTCGAGCTGTCGGGTCTCAAGGTCGAATTTGGCGGTGATGGCCATGAGAATCCGGAAAGAACGTCCTGCAAGGGTTGCTGCATAGGTGTCCTTGTCACCCAGCTGTTGAAGATCTCCTCGAACACAAAGACGGGCTTTGAACTTTGTAAGAAAGCCATGCTTGTCGAACTTATACTTAAAGACCCAGGTAAGTGGCAAAAGCTTGCCCGTGACCTGGTCTCTGGGACCGCTCTGAAGGTTCCTCTCTGTTGGAGTGCTTTCCACTCGGCGTGGGCTCCTTCTCTGAACTGAGGACCAAATCTGTGGGTGCGAAGTTCCTTATACGTCGTAGGTTCGGGAGGAAGGTGTCGTCTGTGAAGTTTTCTTCTCTGCCGAGAAAGAAAGAGCTGTGGAATTGACCCTTAGTGTTGGTCGAAAAAGCACTGAGCTTGCGAGGCTTTGGAGTGCGGGCTGAGCGCCGTGGCTGAGAGTCACTCGGACCGGGGTCCGGTGTCGGATATGGGTGCTGAATGTCATGAAACTCATCCTGATCATCCGAGTCCTCATGATCAGATGGTTCGGGTTGTACCACAATCGTGGTGGCGTCTCCTTGGTCTGAGGTTGAGGGAGATTGCTCAACGGGGTCAGGTTCAGGTTCATCGATTTGAGGGGATTTCCTCGTAATCCGACTCGTCCTCGATGTGGGCTGGAAGCTGTACTTCCACGCGCGGCGGATAGGTTCTGGTGGCTGATCATTTCCGTCATAGAAGATGCTTTCATTGAAGGTCACATCTCGGACCCTTCGGACTTCTGATGTGGACGGAATCCAGATCCTGAAAATGTTCGTGGAATCATATCCAACGAGATAACCGATTTCTGTGTGAGGTCGGTCTTTAGGTCCTTCTTCTGTCTGTTCTGAAGGGCCTGGGGTGTCAAGGATAGGCTCTGCAGCCGTATGCCTTGAGAAACGTGATGTCAGGCTGGTCTTGCTGGTAGCCTATGTCTCTGTTGTTGTCTCGCAGCCACTGATGAAGCAGCTGGAAAGGCGTTCGGAAGCTGTGGTTCTGCATGGGCGATCTGTTGTGCAAAAACACTGCTGCTTTCCAAGTCTCTGGCCAAAGATCAGATGGTAAATTGGCATCAATTCCCATTGTTCTGGCCTGGGCAGATATTACCCCAGATCGGTCCAGCTCTCATACGCACTCTGAAGAGAACGATCGTTATCACGGTGGATAATGCAAATATTGAGATTCCATTGGCGTTGAATCATTGCCTCATGGTTTCTCAAAGCAGTCATAACGGACCCTTGTGTCGCGTCATTCAGAAGGTAGATGAAGATCATGCTTGTAAATTCATCTTTGATAAGAAGAACAGCTTCCTTGCCGTTGAATGAGGTGTTCATACTGAAGATATCAACGTAGATTCTCCAGAATGGTCTGGGGGCTCGGTTTTGAGGGGTTCGGCGAGAGACGACCTTCTTTCCCTTCCCAAGGGAACACGCGGTGCAATCGATGGTAACTGGGCCTTTGATCTTCGAACCCGTCGTGTTCTCAACAAGACGCTCTAGGGCTTGAGCGTTCAAGTGGCCTAGGCGCTTATGCCAAAGCGTAGCATCTGCTGTTTTCACTGCGCGAGGTGCAGATGAAGATGTGAAGTTGGAGGCGTGAGAGTCCTCCTTAATCGGGTTGAACTCGATGACCGGTTGACGAAAGCGGCGTTTCGTATGAAATATAATCTGATCGTCTTTAGAGACGCGTCCAGATAGTGGATTCCAGTTGTATCCCTTCGCAAGAAAGCGGTCGAGGATGCGATGTTGGTGTGGAATTTTGGCACGAAGGCAACTTCGTTGAGCTGAAAAAGTCCTCCTTCTTCAAGCTTCATACGGACTGTGCCGTAGCCAAGGATCTGAAGTTGACTATCGCCTGCAAAGAGCTCTTTTGGCTCTGCAAGGGCGGTGTAGTCAAGAAAACAGGATCGGTTGTTGCAAATGTGAAAGTCCGATCCGGAATCAAGGATAAAGGAGTCATACGGCGGGTAGACTGCCTTTCCCGTCGAGAAACTGGTTGATGGAGGTGTTGAGGAGGCGGTGTGTTGTCAGGAGCTGGTAGAAGACCGGCAAACGCTGTGCCTTTAACGGAGGAGTCGGACGATTTCTCCATTTCCTTCTTCTTGAAGTCTTGTGCTTTCTCCGTCATCTTCTTTGCCCATGGATTGGAGTCGAGGATTTCCTTGATCTTCTTCTCAACCTTCTGATCAGGAGTCCAGCCATCAGGCCGAGCTGATTTGATGAGATAGAAGCAATCTACGAAGCGGTGATATTCTCCGCAGACACACATAGGAACACCATCAGCGTTCTTGCTTGAAGACCACTTAGGCTTGTCCTCTTTCCTCTCCGATTTCTCTCCTTGCCTTGGAAGGCAGCTCCGAATGATCCTTTGCTGTTGTTGGCGGCCTTGATTCGGTGAGCTCGTTCAAAGATCTCACTGATCTTAATGCCGTCCGGGAAGTCCGTCTTCCAATCAGGCTTGCCGAATACGGCCTCGTCTTCCATTTTGTTGACCCAATAGTCTGTGAATGGGGCGTTGATGGACGAAACAGCCTGTAGGAAATCTTGGGTAGGGCGAAGGTCCTGGACATCAGGAAGCCCTAATTGCTTTGCCTCAGTGAGGACTTTCTGCCATTGGGTGACCCAAGCTTCGATCTTGGTCCTGTTTGGCGACTGAAGGGTGGAACGATAACGCTGAACAACTTCCTCTCGAGTGCCCAGTCGGTTGGGGCCACACGAGCCTGAAGCAAGGCAAGTTGCTTTGCAACGTCGTGTTCCTCGGCAATGGTGCTGTAGTAGTTGCCGATGGTCTTGACGATGTGTTGTTGAAGGCTGGCGAGTGCCTTCACTTGATCCCTATACCCTTGAAGCTTCGAGCGGTATTGGGTGTGGAGGAATTCGAGACGGCGAAATTCCTCCGAGGTCAGATCCACGAGATCAGATGCTTCGTGGTTGATTTGTCGGAATGTTGGTTCAACTGGCTGCTGAAGAACCGGCTTACCCTCCTTGACGGCAGGGTCCAGAAAGTCCCAAAGACTGTGGGACGTGGCGAATTTCTTGATGATAGAAATCCATTGTTTCCAGTCGCAAGGGCCGTTGAGCACGGTGCCCTTGGAAGAGCCATCAAGATCTAGAGCTGAGCTCATTGTGGAAGCTATTCTGCGCAGCGGAATGAACGAGAATAAGATACCCAGTCAATGGCAGACCGGGCTCATAACTATCGCACGGAGGATGAGCAAGTGGGCATAAAGATCAGGGACTGGAAGACTCTTGATTCTGCTATCTAAGGTGGGAAAGAGGCGAGATCTTTATAGACTGCCTGAATATGAGAATGGAAGGGAATGGTAGTGAATGGAAGCATCTGATCGGATCATCTGGAAGCCACTGATGCGTTGATGATGCCTCCTAGAAGTTTCTGTGGGGAAATGTGGAAACGGACTGTGCGAATAGGGGGTCAGACTGTTGGAGGCTGATATCCTATGTGTGACAAGATTAATAAGATTACTACGCTCTATATAATCTAATATTAAGGATTATAGCTAGGCCTATAATCTAAGGATAGTCTCTATAGGTATATATAGCTACCTACTTTTACTCCTTTAAATAAATAGCTCTCTAGCTTTTAATATAGATCTTTATTATAATTCTATCTTTAATTTTAATTACTTAGTTATAGTCTATAGTCTATAACCTCTAACTTATTACTAACGTAATATACTTCTTATTACTTAGACTACGCCCTATTATATCTACTAATATAAACCCCTTAATAGGTTTATCCCTTAGGAATAATACTAGTCGTTATACGTTAAAAGCTCTTATTTAGTATAATACTACGTTACTCTAAGTAATATTATAACTATTAATATACCTATATAGTAAGCTAGATTAACTAACTCTAGAGCTATTATATTACCTTAGGATATAATACGCGAGATTACTACCCTTTAATATAAGGTATAGTTACTTAAGAATAAAGGAGGTAATAGATAAGTTAGGGACCTTAGAGAAGTAGTTAAACTAAAATAGCTAGGACTATTCGACGGTACTTATAGCACGCTTTAAGACTTTCTTACTTAACTTAAGGCCTACTACTAGTTTTACCTTACTAAACTCTTAGACCTAGTTAAAAAGGTACTTTATATAGGAAATTATTTATCTAGAACGGTACTTACTTAGTTTAGACTTATTATAAGGGATTTTCTTAATAACTAACTAGCGCGACGAGATAATAAGATAAACAAAGTCTTTATTAGTTTCTAAGGATTTAAAGAAGCTATTATAAAGGTATTTAAAATAACTAATAAAGAATAAGAAGCTAAATAGAAACTTCGAGAACTTTAGTAAAGGATCTTAGTATTAAATTATACTATAAAGTTCCGTTAAGTTACTTTAAAGCTTAATTAAGATAATAAACCTCTTATATTATAATTCTATAATAGGCTTAAAGAAGAAGTTAAGGATAAGCTTTATAAGGAAAATCGACCTAATAACCTCTTAGACTATATTACTATAGTAGTATAAATCGATAATAGATAGTATACGCGACGCTAAGAAAAAAAATAAGGAAGAGGAAACTAGAACCCTTCCTATAGAAATAACTTTAGCCGACGCGCTAACTATAAGAAAAAGCGCGAAATATAAATAGCCTAAGTATATATAATAAATCCTAGACTAATAGATTTAAGTATAATATAGAAAGGTAAAGGAAAGTATTTTAACTATAAAAAACTTAGATATTACTCTAAGGAATATAAATAACCCTATAAGGAAAAGAAAATCTACTAGGCCTTAGCCCTAGAAGGTAAGAGATACTTAAACGCTACTAATAAATAAAAACTAAAGTATAAACTCCTTAGTTAGACTATATACTATAACGATAAATATATAGTATACTTAAGCGATAAAAATAGTACTAGATAGTTCTTAAAGCTACTAAAGAAAACCTTTATAATAATATAATAAAGGGATCCTAAAATATAGAAATAAGTTAAATTTATAGAACTAAAACACCCCTATCTTAAAGGAGTCTCTTAAGACTAGATTAAGAAGAACGGTAAATAATTCTAGGAAGATATATAAAATAAAAATTAATAATAATAATAGGTAGTCTATAAATAATATAATAAAAAAGATATAAATATAGCCCTTATACTTACGAAACTTAGATAATAACCTAAAAAGGAATAATAAAGTATCGATAATATAAGCTTTAAAGAATAAGAAATACTTAGAGAAATAAAGAAGACGAGAACGAACTTATACTACTACCCTTACTATTAAGGGAAAATACTATAATTAGAGAATACGCTTTATACTTTAAAGAATTTAAAGAAATACTTAAAATTAAAACTTAATAAATACCTTAAATTCTTATAGAAAACTAATAAGCTATATTAATTCGATATTAACTAGTACTATATAAAGGAGACTACGTTATAGCTATCGCTATAGTTAATACCTTTATAGCTCTATAATAAGAATAATAACTATAAGGAGAATTTAAAGATAATCTATAAATACTACTTACTTATAAGTACTATAAGTATATTTTATAGATATTATACGTTTACCTAGATTATATAATATACTTTTAGATAAAGGTATAATATAGCGCTTTCTTAGTTAAGTTTAAAAGATAAGTACTTTCGAAACCCTACCTAAGTATAGAACTAAACTATTAGAAAATCGATTAACGCTACCTAAACGACTAAGTTATATTATTAGAACCTAATTATAGTATACTACTTAAATACCGCGATAATTATAGTTTATTAACGAGATATCTTTTAAAGATATATAAAATCTATAAATATACTAAAATAAAGGAATAGTATAACGCTACTTACTTTAAGGTATTTAAACCCTTAATCTTTTAAAGACTTATATAATAAGTTAAATATAATAAAGAAGATTATAACGAATATATATACTTAAACTATAAAGTTTACGAATATAAAAAAGTATAAGTATAGTATAAATAATATAACGGTATATTAAAAGATTATTAGTAGTATATATAAAGGCTATAAGCTATATTCGACTAGGGAAAAATCGATATAAAAACGCTATATAAAAAATAGAAAGATACTAAACGAAAACTTAACCTTTAGTATAAAAATAAATAGAATTATAAAGTATAGTATATAATTAACTATAAAGTAGTATAATATAAATAATATAGCGTTAAGAAATAAGAAATCTTTAATTAGCTATAAGAAATTAGTCTCTTAAGCCCTAATATAATACTACGCGATAAAAATATAAAGAAATAATATTAATAATAAATAAAAGAAGAATACCTAAATAAAATAAATAAGGACTAAGTAAAAAACAAGGTATACTATCTATAAAAGGGCTATAGACTAGTATAATATAATAAGATCTAAGGACCTTATATATAGTAACGGTAAGCTATAGTAACTAAATAGTATTAGATATCTAAATTATAAGATATTACGCGTATATACTTTTAAACTATAGCGCGATAGGTAATTACGTTTTACTTAGAGTTATTAATTATTACTAACTTATATAAAGATATAAGAAAGATCTATATAAACTTATAAATATTAAAGGAGAGGCCTTTAACTATAATAATAGAATTATTAATATAGAGATTAATTACCTTAATATTAATATCTAGGGCTATAATAAATAAGTTAACTTTAATATTATAGATATTAAAAAATACGACCTTATATTAAGGCTTTTATAGCTATAAGAGAGCAACCTACTAATTAACTAGAAAACTAGCTAGGTATATTAAGACGAAGATATAAGTTTCTAGGATTAATAGATTTAAAAGAAGGTAAAATTTTACGATAATTTAGCTACTAAATAAAATAAAAGGGATAACCGTTTAAGTAAATTATTATAAGCTTTAGCGATATAAATAAAAATAGTAACTAAACTAACGGATATAATAAAATCGACTAATAAGACCTATATACTAACTAATACGGCTATATAACCTAGTATCTAATATAAATAAAATAAAGGATATAATATAAAGATCTAAAGAGTTATTACTACTTTAAGAAAAGACCTTAAATAAATTAATAAAGAGCTTAAGTTAAGGGAAACTAGCTCTTAAAAGAAAGAATAAAGCCTATAAGAAAGAATAAAGAATATCCTATAAAAATACCGAAAATATAATAAACTCTTTAAGGAAGAACTTAAGATAGGGTTACTTAAATATAGCTAATAGGACTATAAAATTTATCTTAAGGATAGAATAACGCTAAAGTTTTATAAGATTTATAACCTAAATAAAAAGTAACTATAAACGCTATATAACTACCTTAATAAGAATCTATAAAAGGGATATATATAAACGTTAATATCTAAAGTAAGCTACCTAGTTATATTTATTTTAAAGAAAAACGGTAAGCTATAACTAGTTATTAACTATAGACGCTTAAATAATATTATAATAAAAGACTAAATACTATTACTACTTATATCGGAACTATAAGATCGACTATATAGTAAAAAATAGTTTATAGCCTTCGATCTTAAAAGCGCCTATAACTTAATATATATAAAAAAAGGATATAAATAAATAATAGCCTTTAAAACGAAATTTAGACTATTTAAATATCTAGTAATACTATTTAAACTTATAAATATACTAGCTACCTTTTAATAGATAATTAATAATATCCTATATAAATACTTAGATATCTTTATAGTAGTATACTTAGATAATATCTTAATCTTCTTAGATACCTTAAAAGAATATAAAGAATATATCTATAAGGTACTTTATATACTTTAAAATATAAAGTTATTAGTTAAACTAAAGAAAAGTAAGTTCTATATATAGGAATAAAGCTTTCGAAAATATTAAAACTATAATTATATAAGAACTAATCTTAACTACCTTTAATCTAAAATAATAAATCGAACTTAAAACTAATATATTAAACTTTACTTTAGGAGTATAAATTAGATAAAAAGATAATAAAGGAAGACTATAACTAATTATATTCTACTTAAAGAAGCTATATAATATAGAACTTAATTACCTTATCTACGATAAAGAATTCCTTATAGTTATTTAAGCTTTTAAGGAATTTCGATACTACCTTCTTAAAAGTAAATAAAAAGTTAAGGTCTATATAGACTATAAGAATATCTTATACTTTATAATAATATAATAGTTAAACGGACGATAGATCTAATAGGCCGAATACTTATTAGAATTTAACTATAAAATAATCTATAAAAAAAGAATAGAAAACGGTCGAGCTAATACCCTTAGTCGACGAAGTAACTATAATATAAAAGTACTTATAGTAAAAGGATAGCTCCTAGAAATCAACGAAAATAGGAACTACTAATAATAATAGCTAAATATAATATTTAAAGTATAACCTAATAACTCGACTTATTAAAAGATCCTAAAATAAATAAAAGAATATAAAGTACTAAATAGATATAATATAGGATATTTAAAAGTTTTAATATATAAAAATAAAATCTAGATACTATTAGAATTATAAGATAAAGTTATATAAGATATATATAAATATCTAATATATAGATACTAAGGAATCTAAAGAATAATAAAATAGATTAAATAATAATATAACTTCTTATAGCTTAAAAAAGTAGTATAATAAGTTATTAAAGAATATAAACTTTATATATAAAGTAAAGCTAAAAGATATAAACTATATAAAGAATTATAACCGCTACTAGTACTAGAAAAACTATAGGATTTAATAGCTTTCGACTATATTATAAAACTACTATAGTTAAAAGAACTTATAACTAACGTTAAGTACGATAGTATATTTATTATTACTAATAGATTAATAAAGTATAGATACTTTTTACTCTTTAAATGCAAGAAGCGCTGCTGGAGCGGCCCAATCCGGAGGTTTGTACCGCCATTTTAAGCAGCTCCAGCAACGAGGCACACCAGCTAGAAGCGGGGCCTTGCCAGGTACTGTCTACCTCTAAGCGCTGTGTGCCACGCCGGCCCACAATCCCCTTGCTAAGGAGCCACCAATCCTGGCTCACTCCCTCGGCCTGCCTCGTCCGAGGAGTCCAACTGTAGCCGCCCAGGCAGAATGCCGCGTTGCCAGCCAGCCAGTATGGCCGTCATCCACCATAAATGGCGGATACGCCCCCATTCAAATGCTTAACACTGGCAGTTGCGCCTTCCCGCTAAACCTACTTGCAATCATGTCGACCGCGATCGCCCGACACCCCCTCGCGCACGCTCCCCCAGAGCATCACCTTGACTTCCTTCAGCGTTTCACCGCCAAAGAGCGCGAGAGAGTCGTGAAGCCAGCGCCGTTATCAGCAGAGGAGCACGCTAGAAACCGAAAGCAGCTGCGCGTCGTTCGTTTTGTTAAGCCGAAGTACTCGGTTGAAACGAAGATCAACGTCACTGGCATCTTTAGAAAATGGACGCGGTATGTCGTACTATCCCCGTCAGGCATTCGGACTAAGGGCTAAACTCGACGACACAGGTACTGCACTGATAATCGGATTGGTGACTGGAAGGCGACAATCCGGAACCTGGCTCGTGAAACCACAATGGACTTCTTCCTCTTCGTCTGCGGAAATTATAAGGTCAAGTCATGGGGTACATCGGAAGAGTACATGCGTCAGTTCCAGCAGCTCTACACGACTGTTACCGGACGATATATGGACCGGAATGACAGTAAAGAGGTCTACAAGGTACCCCTGACGTGCCACCCTACATCATGTCTGATTCCTGAGTCTACTAACGCGCCATTAGTATCACCATAACGTCCTAGTTCCTCGGTTTGGCCTCCGGGCGCCTAACGTTGATGGCAAGCCAGTCCTAAACGTGGACAGCCTCCGGGTCATCTTGACCTTCAACATAGCGTATGATGCCAGCACCTTTGCCCTCGAGCGCCATCGCATCCAGCTGGCGGGCTGCTATCAGATTCTGTGCTACACTGGGGCACGGCCTGCCGAGTTAGTGGATGGTCAGAGGAAGAATCCGAAGGATGGTTCCATCGAGGAGCTCTTTGGCTCGAAAGTCGTCCAGTCAACTGACGGCGAGAAAGAGTTGGACGAGGCGACAGATGAAGCATCTCATCAGCTGGCTGAGCTGCTCGCACAGGAGACGACCAAGCGTGGTCGTCCCAAAGCTCTCTGCTATGAGGATATCTTCATGATGATCGTCCGTCACCCTGCCACCGGGAATTCCGTCCCGGTCATGGCCATCAAGTTCATTAACCACAAGGGAGCAGACAACAAGCCCAAACCGTACGCCTCAGGCCGCTCCAGTCGATTAGCCTCATAGCACATGCTAATCATTGCAAGTTAGAACCATCTTTTTCTTCACCCCCACCAGGAAGCTGATATTCTGCCCCATCATGGTTCTCATCGCCCTGGCGCTGCATGACCATGCGTTTGATGCGCAAAGCTTGACGAATGCATCCCGTGTGTTTGAGACGAAGGTCTGGGGCCCGACGCAATCTACGCCGCTCCGGTGGAAGGAGTCAATGCTCAAGGTGCCGGTTTTCCGGCGGGTTCATGGCACTACCCTTTCCGCCGACGAAGCTATGCTATACTCCAAGCTGAATTACGATATGGGTCGGCAGAGCCTTGATTCGGGACACGAGAAGCCCTGGACGCCGAGATTCGCTCGGAGAGGCGCTGCAAACGCTGTCAATGGTATGTCAAGCCCCGCCCTACAGACTAGCCAGCGAAGAGGGTCTTCCAGGACGGGCGGTAATACTGACCAGTTTGGCTCTCTAGGCGACGCACCGGATACAGTCCGTGACCAGATGATGCGCCATGACCCTAGGTTTGCCACTTTCTACAGCGCATATCTGAATGAGATTGCCCGGTTCGATATCCAGAATGCCTTCTTAGAGGAGGAGAAGCAGAATGAACTATTCCGGATGTTCGCACACGTCAGCCTCACCCGCGACCCTCGGGCCGTTAGGGACATGGTGCCCGACGAGGTATGGGCCAATACGCCGCCGGACCCGGAGATAGTGGTGTTGGAAGAGAAGCGAGCGACTCTCAAGCAGGGACGGTATCGAATCGACGGCCACGAGGATGAGGAGGATATCCGAAAACTCACGAATGAGATCAGGACTAAGCGGGCAGAGCGCGAGAGGAGGATCGTGAAAGGATATCGCGAGTATTACTTTTACCACCGTCCGACCTGGGACGTCGAGGCACAAGCTCGAGGAGAGGTAGAAGAGGAATACGAGGAGCCAGCCATCGATCTCGTCGTGCCCGAGCGCGCCAGACTGGCCGAGATTTTCTGCTGTCAGCCTAGGAGCTGGACCGAGAAGGAGATCTCCCAGCACAGAATCGAGGCTATCGACCTTATGGTGGCTCTATGCGATAAGAAAGAGACGGGAAAGAATAGCCGGACCCGGCTGAGAGCCCAAGTCGGGCAGTCTATCAAGCAAGAGTCACCCGAGCTATGCGCCAGTTCCGAGCCAGAGCCTGGACCCGATCCCTTCCCGCTTCTCATGGAAGCGACCCAGTGTCCGGACTGTATTGGCGACGAGCAATTGCCTCTTGGAGAGCGGACGTTTCGATGGTGTCGTCCAACTGTAAGGAATGACCACTTTGACGACCAGCACTTGGTAGAACGGGAACGTGCCGAGCAGCGCGGTGAGACAATCAGATGTGACCATCCCAAATGCAGGAAAGAGACTTTTAAGCATTTGGATCATTTTCGGAACCATGTCCAGTCAGTCCATGGGGTCCCGCTCAGATCATCGGAGCAGGTCAAGCATAGACGACAACGAAAAGCCAAGCGCCGTCAGATGATATGCGGGAGAAAGTAGTGGATGGAATGGTTACAGCCTAATTCTTGCCTCGATTTAGAAGGACTTTCAGGAAAGATAGTTTAGGTCACCCCTGAATTGATTGGGGAGGCCATTAACCGTTATATCTTCAATAATATATAATCTTATCTCGCGTTTCGTCTCCATTCCGCCCCGGGCGCCATATGTCAGTGCCATATGCCAGGTCTACTTCGTATATGCCCCGTTTCCAATTCTCTAAGCTTCCTATTCGAGGCGTGTCAGCCATAGACTCATAGTAGGGGATTCGTCACGCGTCTCGGTCGTTGCGATGAGGTCGCGGCCGGGGGGGTTGGTCCCCTTTGTCAAAAGGAAATGAGAGATGCCATGCATATGACGGTTATAGAGAGTCTATTGGCCTTGACCACTGCCCAAGTCAAGGGGACGAAGGTCCCAGTTATATACACAAGAACGGTGCCCATGTGGGTCGGGACACCTCCTCGACTGGGGCGGAATGTCGTTTGACACCCTTGACCAAGATTCAGTCTCAACCGATGCGTCCGTCGCGACAAGCAGAAGCGACGCGAATGTCGTCGATGATTCTTAGTAAACAGTAGAACCTTAATAATATGGGCCTGCGCCGTCGTCATCTCCTTGGAGACCCGGCTCCCTACTAGGTCCCGCTCCTGCACCTCCGACGTCGTCGAGCGTCGGGCACCGCGACAGCTGCACGTACAGACTGTACGGGTCACACGGCGACGGCACCGCCCTCCCCTCCACCGTAGTCCCCCCCCCCCCCGGGGGGCCCCGGAGCTCCAGCGCCACGCCCTCCAGCTTCCAGCCCTGCACCTTGTAGTCGGTGCAAGCGAAGGCCGCGGCGCACGGCAGGCCCTCGCGGCTGACGTCGTTGCGCTGCCACGGCCGCTTCCGCTGCGCCTGGATCTTGACGTTGATGGGCGTTAGCAGGATCGTCCCGGCCGGCATCCGACAAAGTGGAAGTCCTTGGTTGTCTCTGAGACCAGCACGATGCCCGCCGGCGGCCCGAAGTGCATCGTGAGCTCCGCCGAGATCAGGTGGCCGGGGAATGCCCGGTCGGGGATGACGTCTACGAGACGAAGACGGCCGGGACCGGGGTCGCGCTGTCGTCGCCGTGGCCTAGCATTATATTCCCTTCCTCGTCTCTTACCCCGCAATCTCTGGCGCTGCTTTAGTTGCGTTCTTGCCTTTTTTATTCCCTAATTCCCTCTGCAAGTCTGCGATGGAAAAGAATGCGCAAATGGCCGCTTTCTTCACTTGCCTTCTAGCATGCTTTTGGTTTCTAATGCTACTGCCTGCCTGCCGTTTATTATTCTAACTTTCAGCTTCGTCCCTCAGGGCTCTTTGCGCAACCCACGAGCGGTTGCCTTACTACAGCTGTAATTCCTGCTACTATACACCGCTTTAATTCTGCCGGCAGAAAATATCCAGACGCGTACGGGAGTGCTTAGTAATTCTGCCGGCAGTAATTTCTGCTACAATACACCGCTTTCAATCTGCCGGCAGAAAATATCCAGGCGCGTATGGGAGTAATTCTGCCAGCAGAAAAAAGGCCTCCAACAACGTGACGGGTAAGGCAACCCCTCATGGGTTGCGCAAAGAGCCTTGAGGAACGAAGGCCGAAGATTGGAGAGACAAACAAGACAAAGACAGGGCGAGAGAAAGAACGCAAGCAGGCGGTAGCGCTAGGAACTAAAGCATGCAAAAAAGGTAGGTAAAGAAAGCGGCCATTCGGGCACCATCCCGCCGCGGGGAAGAGGCAGAAAAAGCAAGAAGGCAAGTAAAGCGGTGATGACGATTGCGGGGTAAGCGAGAGGAAGGGAGCATAAGAGGAGCACCAAGGCACGAATAGGAGAACAAGAGCAGAAGCGTCTACCCTAGCTACCGATCGAGCAGTTAGGAAAACAACTACAGCATGACCACTTGCAACGTTTCCGTGGAGTTCTGGTGCGAATTCGGGGCCACGGAGCTCAAGTACAAGCATAGCATCCCGAAGACGTTCGTGACGCAGGTAGGCCAGGGGAGGCCGAACCACGCAGCCAGTGCACTGTTCCTACAGTGGATAAGGCCGATCCTACGGGAGCACGAGGCAGCGTGTCGGAAGGCAGCAGGGGTGCGCTGCGAGAGCTGCGGCGGACCCGCAAAGGAGATTCTACAGAGCCCGATATCGTACCTACACGCAGAGAGGCCGTTTGTGCTCGTGGTCGTGTCGTCGTTCTGCGGCAAAGAAGGATGCGAAATTAGGACGAGGCAGGAAATGCAGGACACGATGGCAGAGGCGGGGCAGGCGGGCGGAAACAAGGGCGCGACGCAAATGCAAGGGCAGGATGCGCAGAGCACAGAGGGGAAGGCCTGCCGGGTTTGTGGAGAGATGGCGGGGGCGAGGAGGTGCAGCCGATGCCTGGCCATCGCGTACTGCAGCAGGCAACACCAAAAGGAGGACTGGAAGGTGCACAAGAAGGTATGCAAGCCAAAGGCAAGCTAGGGAGCTAGCGAGAGGAAGAAAGCAACGCCGTAGAGGCGGGCTTACGGCCAGCCTCAAACGCCGCAACGGCCTTTGTAGAACCCGCCGACTTCAACGACCGTCGTCCCTATGGCTTGCACAACTAAGGAACGGCATATAATATTTTATAGTAGAAAATCGTATCCTCCATGTAGAGCAATGACCGATAGGCGAGAAGCGGAGTCGGCTTCCGCAACAAAGACGCCTTCTGCCGAGGCGCAACTACAAGCCCCCCGTCGCCGCTAAATGCAGCCGAGAGGTGCGGCGGCAAGCTGGCAAGGAAAAGAGAAGGGGGAAGCGCAACGCACAGGACACAAACGAGGTCACGGAGAACGTCTAGAGGCAGGCACTTTCGTAAGAAACGGGTTCGGAAGCTAAAGCTGTCCTTAAAAGGGACAAACGCTGTAATGTGCAGAGTAATAGTAATTCTACAGCGACAATTTGCGTTAGGAGCAGCACCCCGGGAGGGAGAACAGTTCGTTTTAGTAAAGGTAGGAGGCGCAAGAGAGCGATGGGTCTATAGTAGGTAGCTTATTTCTGCATGCGATAGCGAAGAGGGCGTGCGGGCGGGTCGGAGGTGCTCGCGACGATAGAGTTGAGAGGGGAATCCGGGCTGGCCGTCGTACGCCGTCTACGTCCCTCGTCGCCCCTCCCGCCTGGCCGCCCTGACCGACCGTAAGGCCACAGGCCGAGTGTAGTGTGATGCTGTTGATCCGTGCTGCCGCCGTCCCCGACGTCGCCGTAACCAGCAGCCGGCTCGATAGGTCCCTCCGGGCGAGCAGCTCGACGAGCGCCTCAATGACGCGCGACATGCCGGTGCCGCCCTCGCCGCCGATGAACAGGCAGAGCTGAGCGCCGCCGTCGCCGCCTGCTTCGTCGCCCCGCCGGATTCGGTCGAGCTGCCGACACACGATTAGGAGGGCGATGGCCTGCTTCTCGTTGAGCGTGAGCTGCCCCGCTAGCTCCCTGCCGGCGGCAACGAACGAGCTCGACGGGCCGAGCCGCACGCGCATCCCCGCCGCCGTGCCAGCGTCTACGTCGCCGTCGGCCGCCGTTACGTCCATGTCGTCCTCGCCGAAGCCCCCCACTGCGACTTAATGGCCCGCACCTCTTCTTGCCGTGGCAGCGCCGCCCCCGAGAGCTCCGAGCCCGGTAGGTTCACCCGCCTGCCTGCCCTCTCCTCCGCCACTACCGTCGCCGCGAGCTCGGCCGCCGACCCGAGCGCCGACTGCTGGAACCGGCAGAGCTGCTGCGTCATCGCTAGCAGCTCTGTTGACTGCGCCGTGACTTGTCCCGCGCCGGCGGCGTTCCGGACGACGTCGATGAGCCGCGCCGCGTCGCCCGCCCCGCCGGCGCGGTACGCCTCCCCGCCCCCCTTGGCCCCCCCCCTGCCTTCATCGCCGGCCTGCGGCGCCGTCATACCGCCCTCCTCGGCCGTGGCGGCCCACTGCTTGGCGTCGCGCTTCGCGTCCTCCGCCGACCGCCGGAGGAGCTGCACATTGTCTGCGAGCCGCGCGACCCTCGGCGCCAGCGACCCCCGCGCCCGCGCCCAGATGTCGTTGATGTCGCCTGCCTCCTCGCCGAGGAAGGACTCCCACGGCACGAATAGGGCCAGGTGCTGTACCGCCGCCCTAGGCGCTGTTAGCCGATGCCCGACGCCCAGCTCTCCGCGAAGGGTACCTCGCCCCAGCCCGCCCTACAGTTGGAGCCGCTGCCGTTTCGCTTTAGCCTTACGAGCGATGCGTAGTCATAAAGGCAGAGGCCCCGTAGGAGCTCGCCCCTATGCCAGTAGGCCTCGACGAGAGGGATCCTCGGGCCGGCCTCCTCGACGACGACCGTCTCGTCCGGCGCGTCGCCCGTCGCCTCCGCGCCGCTCGCCCGTCGGAGGTGCCGCCACCGGCGGAAGACGGCCCAGTAGAGCTGGTTCGCGTTCACGTACGCCCACGCCGAGCCGCTGCTAAACTCCGCCGGGTACCCTAGGAGGTGCGCGATCACCTCGACTTGCGACAGCGGCCGCTCCGTAAAGACTCGGTTCGCCGCCTTGAGCAGGAACGTTCTCGTCTTATTCCCCCCTATGGGGTCCGCCGCCGTCGCCACACCTTCGGCCCCGCCCCCTCGGCCGCCCGTGGTTGCACTCTGGAAGATAGCGTGCGAAATTGCCGTCACTCGCGAATGTGCTCGTAGTCGGCCCACGCGGATTGAAAAAGAGCTCCATGTCGTCGGTATTGTCAATGACCAAGAGCCACCGCCCACAGTCCTTCTTTTCTAGCCATCTCTTCACCAGCAGTAACACATCTGTCTTTGGGTTGTCATACCCTGGAATCTTGCAATCCTGCGCAATCGTGTTGAAGGACTGGCGGAAGCGCTCGGCGATGCTCGCATAGACCCAAAACACCGACACCTCTGGACACGTCTCCTGAAGCCAATAGACATGCGCCAGCGCGATTTGGGTTTTCCTTCTCCAGTTAGTCACGAAGTGATTAGTGGTTGAAGCCTCACCCTATGACTTCTTATGCACGTATCTTCACGCGGAAGGAGAATATCTTACTTTGGCAGCCATTGGCGACAGAAGTACCGCGCCGCGGCGTTTGGGCGCTCAGATCCGCCTTCTTGCCTGCAACCCCTGCCTTGTGTTGGAGTCTCTTTTCCGCTGCCATTATGTCCTCTGCCCTGCCGTCTCCCACTTCTGCCTTCTCCCTTTTCCCCCCCTCTCTCCTCCCTCCCCCCTACTTTTCTTCCACCTCGTCGCTCGTCTCTCTTCCAATCGCCCTGAGTTCTTCCGGTTGCCCTCCTCCCTTGTGAACTTTGTCGCCTCTGTCTCGTCCCCAGTCTCTACCATGGTTGCGAACCAACACGTGCCTGGCCCCAGTGGTCAGTCCAACCTAGCCCCGGAGCCCACTCTCTTCCGTCGACCTCGCATGAGGACCTTTAACCCGAAAGAGGCTCTGGCCACGCTGCAGCAATACCGTGAACATCCACTTGAGGTGAACTCTTATCTGGATCCGGAAACTAAAAAGCGCCGAGAGGGGATATGGGAGAATTGGGAAGAGTAGGTCGCGAGACCGTATTGCAATTAATCGCTTCTCATCTTATCTGCATGTATGAAGCCGAACAGCCACTAACGCGTGTTCTGTTATATAGTTTTGCTCGATCTATTGAAATCGACCCGGAGAACGCCTGGTTTGACCTCTGCCTTGGGTCAAGGGAGGCTATGTCGTACTTTCAGGCATTTCTGAAGATGTATATCCAGGACTCAGTCACTGAACGCCCCTGTCTAGGACCCCACGAATACAAGTGTGTACGGACCATTCAGAACGCCAGCTCGGCTGAAGACGTTTGGTGTCTTCTTGTCAACGAGGCCGAGTGGAAGGTTATGAGGCCTAAGCAGCAATCCGACCCAAGTCGAGCATCGTTCTGGTCCCTTAAATTCTCGTCACGAGCGATAGCGCGAGGCTGTGGCCCGGCTTACGAGATCGGTCGAGTAAGTTGTACTCTCGCCATCGTGTTCTTCGCCCGCATCTGCTTTTCGCTGACGCGCCGAGGGGGGGGGCGGGGGATTAGTGGATACCGACTCTCGCCGATGAGCTCGGTTTGTCTAAGAAACAGAGCTTTGAAAAGTCGGAGATGACGTCTTCCGATGTTATTTCTCTCCTTGATACGCTCTGGAGAAGGGTATAGGACATCCCTTGCCGGCCTGAGACTAGGCTCGCATTTCACTGTGCGACGGTGCTTGGGGGCCTCGGGGGTTGGAGACCCGGCAGTCTATTGAAGATCAAGTATCGAGACGCCTCGATAGCATAGATCAGGGACCCGACAGATCTCGCGAAGAGAGAATGCAAGTGATGAATTGATTGAGTTCCTTATCCTTCGATTCTTCCTCCTCTCTAACAAAAAGTTACTCCTTATAGTTCTGTCACCTGTGGCTGCCTTGTGGTGGCGATGTCGCCACCCAGGCCGCCTAGATGACGTTGTCATCTAGAAGGTTCGATACCACCGCTTAACAACAACATTATTCATCCTTCTCAGTCGCCTTTGCTAGAGTCAGCCCGACTAGGTAACCTCCGGACCTAGATCGTTAACCCGTTTTCACGACAACAGAACCAAGTAAGACTTGGCCACTAGTTTATGTCACGATCTATCACGTCAAGCAGCGAAGGAACCGGATCGAGAGAGATCAGCGCTCAAGGTATCGTACCACTCCTCTATCCTTCTTTCCCTTCCTACTACTCATCTATCTACTATACCAATCACCGCTCGACCGTCAAATCAATGAGTCGGATGTTACCGATCAGGAATACCTCTTCCACCTATTTTTTCTCTTGATCATTAAACACTTGGGAGAAGCAGACGGAGGCGCAGAGGAGCACTTAGACGCTTGAGGGCCAACGCACTCCCTAAAATCGTTTTTGACACTTCCATCGGAATCTACACCCTCGATTCGCCCTCGACGCAATGGCGCGTCGCGCTCAGAGCGCCGGAGGGGTGGACGAGGTGCCGATGGTGATCGACGGCGGCAAGAAAGGGTTGGCGCAGAGCATGCACCACCCCAATGCCGGCCAAGGAGCGTTCACAACGGCATCGCGCACTAATCCTGACCCTCCTGCGGACCGAGACCAGCCCGAGGAACACGTACGAGAAGCCTACCGACATATCGCCAGCCTGGTGCACGGGGAGACCTTCCAAGGCGTCTGGGAGGCCATCCAAAAGCTTTTACGCGCCGATCGCGAGGCGCACGCGCCACGTGGCCAAACTTCGGATAAACTCACCACAACGAAAACAGAACTCTCGGCGACTACGGCAGGCTATAAGGGATTTCCCGGTGATCTGCCGGATCGGACGATTCGCCGGATTTTGGTTCCCTTGCATTCCGGTGAAGATTTGAGTGAAACTCCACGAAAATAATATGAAACAATCTCACATTAAAGCAGAAGCAAGAAAGATGCCTAGCAATTCCATTCAATCTACTTCGCAGTCATCAAGCCACCGTGGCCGCTTCCTGTGGCGTCCCGATCGCGCAAGTCCCCGCATTGCGACTACCATCTCCTGGTCGCGCTCGACAGCCAATGATGGCTTTTTGGGACGTGAGGAAGTGGTCAATGCCGGCTTTGGATCTTTACGCAACTTAATGTTTGGCGATTTTGAGTGTTCCGGAGCTGTCGTCGGTTCTGGTGGAGCCGAAATGGCGACGACAATCTCGTCTCGAACGCCCGGACTCTTCTCGCGAGTCTGTGGAGCAACAGAGGGTCCGGATCCCATTTCCGACATTTTTTTCTGGTTCTTTCGCTTGAGCTCTTTCCGTATCTGCCTGTTTTTCTCCCGCTCTTGTTGTCTGGCTTCCTTTGCCTGACGTCTTTGCTCAGTTTTTGCCTCCCGCTGCCTTCTCTTCTCCAGAGCGAGAACTTTGAGGTTTGCCGCCTTTTGCTGTCGCTCAAACCTTTGTCGTTCTTTCTCCAAGGCCTCTTCTTGCTTCTGAGTCTCCATGGCTGCTTTCTTCAAGCGCGCTTGGGCCACTTTTGCAGGGCTAAATACCTGCGCCGAGTTAGGATCTACACGATCGAAAAGGTAATCCTTCAGAGCTTTACCGCGCATTCTGCGCTGCTTTTCGTGAAAGATAGTCTCCCGAAGTCCCTGATTCTCATATCGAAGCAATTCGTTCTGAGATTGAGACTTTCGAGAGTACTTTGAGCTTCCGACTGTCTCGGCTAGCGTTTTTGAGGATCCATCGACTACCTTGTCGACAAGTCGGCGCAAATCCCGAGCAGTGGGCTGCTGCAGGGCGAGCGAGTCAACGGAGCTGTCGCCAGACTCAGACTCATCTTCTGTTTTCTCCGCGATCTGCGACAAAACGACTTCAGGGTCAAATGGGAGGAGTCCGGTCCGTTTCCAACCACTTGCGATGTTCTCCGCCGAGAAAGATGACCCGAATGCGTTCCAAAATAACGACCAGAACTCGCGTTTCGATAGCCCGATGAGTCCCTGTGTCTTTGCAGTCCACTGGATGAGCTGGTTGGTGTATGCGGTCGAAAGAGGGCCAAAAAGGGACACATCAAGGGGCTGCAGCCTGTGCGTGGAATGCGGCGGAAACACGGCAACGATTATCCGATGCTGGTCACACCACTCCAGGAAGTCCATATTGACATGACTAGAGTGTCCGTCGGTAATCAGGAGGCGGTAATCCCGGCCGTTTCGCGCCTTTTCTTTCGTGAACCGGTCGAAAACACCAATGAGCCATTCCTTTCCAAGTTCATGGTTCGTCCAACCCGTTTCTGAGGTTGTGAAAACGCCGCTTGGTGCTCCGGATCAAACTCCGTGAGCCAGGAGTCCTGAACTTGCCCTGGCTTGCCTTGGTAGATGAGAAACGGGGGTAGCGCTGTCAGGTCTTGACAGACACATGCCAGGAACGTGATCCATGATCTGTTGCCATCCTGCGCAGCACCGATCAATTTTCCTTGCTTCTTGGCACGAACAGAGAATACTCTCTTGGTACGATTGATGACGCCGAGGAGAAAGCCCTTTTCGTCCACATTATACGTGTTGCAAGGCAGGATGTCGTATTTCTCGATTTTCTCGCCAATCTTGTACGATCAGCAATGAAGGGATGGACTTGGGCACCTACTTACAAGCTCATAGTAGGCTCTGTATCTAGAAGCATTGTCTGCTCTCTTTCTTGCGATATCAAAACCGTCGAACCAAGTGCAACCGAGCTCATCGCTGTTACGTCGGACGAAGCTATACGGCCAGTCCTTTCCGACCTCAATTTTGGCGATATCCTGGGCAAAACTTTTGATCATCGGCAGCGTAGGCGGAATCCCACGTGATGAAAGCTTGCGAATATACGCAACAAGATCCCTTTCTTGCTGTTTTGAGAGACGTGACTTATACAAACTGTCGGCATCCCGTCTTGACCTCTGTTTGCCTTGGTGTCGCCGTCGCAGGGTAGTCTCGTCGCAATTGAACTGACGCGCAGTCTTGGCATAGTTAACAGTGTCACACAGCTTCAGAAACTCAAGCGCTTCATCAATCGGGGCCATGGTGGTGGAGAAATTCAGGATTGAAGTGGAGACGTGAACTGGCGGTGAATCCGGCGAATCGCCCGATCCGGCAGATCACCGGGAAATCCCTTAGGGGTCACTGTTGCAAAACCCAAAAAGTCACCGCGCGAGAGTCAAAATGGGTTAGCGGCATGAACGGCCCGCCCCACGGTACATTGGTCTATGTATCTCGGCCCAACTTCGTTGGAAAATTTGGCGTTACGGCAGGTGTAGTCAAAGCTACGGGGCCGCTGCGGACCAGCAGCGCGTCTCTGCAACTTCGCACAGGCAAATCGAGACTCAATAGTTACCTTCATGGAATACAGGCGGCAGAAAGCGACCTATGTGGCTGTGGTCAAGCAATCGAGACAGTGGAGCACTTCCTCTTTCGATGTAAGGCATGGATCTCTGAAAGAGAAAGCATGATGAAATGCAATCGAACCAAGATGGGAAATCTGTCTTTCTTCCTAGGAGGGAAGTCGATGTCCGATGGCGACAAATGGAAGCCGAACCTACCAGCAGTACGCGCTACGATCAAATTCGCGATGGCAACCGGGAGACTAGACACGGACCAACGATGACAGTACTGGCAAACCAGAGTGCACAGTACTAGCACCCTACAGCCTCTCATTGACAGACCGGGCTTCAGCTGCTGAGAATAGGATGCTGAACACTTGGAGAAATGGGCCTTCAAGCAGGCCTGTCAACGGCGAAATTGGAGGCTGAAATGTACGGATAGGAGCAAAATGTGGGGCTTCTGGGTGTTGCAGTCGAAAGTGGAGGATCTGTAAATAGCTTAGTGTCGCGGCCCTCTAGGGTTGGTCCCTCCGGGCGGAATAAATTGCATTGCATTGCAGCGCGTCTCTCGTCACAAACATATCAGTCGCCTATGGCGAAAATACCGCACGGTAATTCCAACGCTTTAATGTGTTCCCTTATTCTATCTATACATTCTCCTCGTCCTCATCCTCCGGCTTGTTAAGCTGCTATATATCCAGTTAGCAGCCGAAATGCAACTCACAACTTCAGTTCGCTCACAATCTGTCACGACCCTAAGCGCCAGCGTAGAGACACCAGAACCTCACCAGTGTCACGTGTCCAAGCAGCATCACGTGCCCACGTGCGACCTCGTGCTTACCTGAGCGCTGCTGAGGTAACCTCGTGCGTATGCACATAAGGGCCAGCTCGGTCGTGTAGTCTAGTCTTTCTTTCTTGCTCCTTAGCTTTGAGTCTTCGTTCATAGTGCCAATACATCTCTATAGCCGTCAAGGCTCGTATGTGCCTGGCCGTAACACAATCCAGAGCCGAGCAGCCTCAGCGATGGTTTCTAACGCCATAAGCTTCCGCTCTTCGGGGGCCAAAGCGGGAGCTGGTCCTGAAGCGGTAGAAGGAGCCGCACTACCACCGCAAGCACGTAGCTGTTGTGCTGCTCGCTGCGCAGCGATGCGCCAGGTGTCATCGGGTTCGGCATCTGCAAGCTTGAGATGCCGATTCACGTCCCAAAAGGCACGCACGGCAGCAACAGCCCCAACAGGGACCTAGAACATTCAACTCGATTAATTTCTCGCTTCTTTGGAGCAAACAAAGGTCTCATACTGGCCTGCACGTGTGAGCGTTCTTTGCGCAGTCCCAGCACGCAGCACCGGTATCTATCCCGGCAAATTAGTGAGGCAGACGTATACTACAGGGGACAATCAACGTACTGTTCTGGGAGGCACATTCATGGCCGGGAGTCTTGGTGGCGCGTGTGACGCAAGGACAGCATGGGAAGTCTCGCACCGAGCCGACGGGAGGGGCCTTTTTTGTCTGCTTCTTCTTCTGCTCGGGCGAGCAAGTTAGCAGCCGCCTCTTCTTCATAGAAGAACTTATTGGATTGTACGGTAATCTTGGCCGTGGATTTGCGGGCGTTGGGTCGGACCAATCCTCTACCCTTGACTATTTTATTCCTGCTGGGCGAGTCCCCATCCATCGGGCCAGCGACTGCAGTTTCACTTACGATAGCGGAATCTGCTGTGGACATGACAACGCTGCTGACCATTGGCTTTCCACGGCAATGATGATATAGAAGGGAAAGGTAGGAACTAGGGTTGGAAGGGATCTGGGTTCTGTAAATATTTGCGGGTGAGCAGCGTCGATCTGTTCCTGGTTTGGTAGCCGTTCCACGAACAACCCCCTGGCACTAAGCCGCTGCGGGCCAGCGGCACCACCGCTGCGGGAAAACGCGGTAAGTCAATTTATATCGCTGTCCCCCTTTTTCCTGGCATAAGGACTAAGAAAATCACCATCCCTTCGACGTTACCGGCAACAATGGCACGTCCGCCCAATCCAATCGATCAATACCGTACCTATATCACTCATCTATACCTCAACGGTGTCTCGCGAAGCAAGATTAAGTATAAGCTTCGGAAGCATTACCATGTCGCCGTCAATCTCAGTACACTCTCTCGCCGAATCGCAAACTGGGGTCTCCCGCGCCAGCAAGCCCGTACCAAAGAAACTCCAGAGCTGATAGAAACCATCCGTGACCTGATCTTTCGCGTTGGGCTTACCGAGAAGCAGACGCTGAGTGTGCTACAAAGACAAGGCTGGCCGATCACGAAACGAGGTCTAAAGCGCATCAGACTTCACCCGGACCGCCGCTGGGTACGCAGGCTCAATAGTGACGAGGAGCGCCTTGTGTTGCTGGAAAAGACAGAACAGGTTATCATCGAGATGACGCGACGGTCCAATGCCATTTCGGGATATGGCAAAAGCCTTCTCCAGCCTTATCTTCGTCAGCAAAGCAGCTCTGGGTCCCGAGAGACCCCTCTTGGGACAGTTTCTTGTCCCAGGACCAAACTACCAGTGGTGCATTGACGGTCACGACAAGCTCAAGGCGTATGGATTCGAGATATATGCAGCAATCGATGCATACTCGCGCAACATTATCTGGTTTTATATTGGTCACTCCGCTACAACTACTTTGAGCGTATTGAAGCAGTACTTGGCCGCGTGTGGCGCCTACGGCTTTCGGCCATGGTATTTGCAAGCAGACAGGGGGAGCGAAACGCCATTGGTCGCAGCAGCACACTGGAGCTTTGTCTTGGCAACGGACGGGCGAGTGGAATGGCATGGGCAAGTTTTCCAACAAGGAAATCGACTAAAGGATTCGTACAAGGCGGCTCCAAGTACGAAGAACGTTAAGATCGAGAGTTGGTGGGAGCGCATGCGGCATGTCTCGTCCCGGCAGTGGGTAGACTACTTTGGAGAACTCGCCAGGGACGGGGACTTCGACGGCGATATGCTGGAAGATCAGATTTCCATCTACGCCGTCTTCGAAGACTTACTACGCCGAGAACTCTTCGACTTCGTGGAGGCGTGGAATCTTCATCGGATACGCCTCCAAAAGAACCGTCCCCATGTGGTCCACGGCCAGCCCTGGATGAACTACCATTACCCCGACCCAGACAAGGCATGCAATTGGGGTATCCCGATTGACCGCTCCATTCTAGACGAAATGGAGCGGCCGTTGGCTGATATTGACATTAGCACGAGTTTGGAGCCGAGACAAAGAACTGGTGCCGCCAAGTTCTCCTTGAAATGGGCTACGATCACGTAGTCCTTGGAACTCACCAGGAGCCGGACAAGTTGCGACCTTTCAAGCGTTTTTACCTTGGTCTTCGAGATAAGATAATTCAACATATCGAAAGTGGCCGACAGCCTACGCTGGCATACCGTAAAGCGCCAACTGGAGGCGTTGCTGAATATGTAAGACATACTATTTATTTGCGAGTTGACCAATCTAAGCGCGTATAGCAAGCATTACTTGAGCAATCAAATCAAGCCCGAGAAGGTGAATTTGGAGATGGGGAACCAGCAGAGCAGCCACTTGTTGAGCTTGGGTTTGAGGACGAGCAGGGAAGCGACATGGAGAAAATACCGGTAAGTGATGACGGGGAGGATAGCGATGGTTCGAATGGGGAGCCTGAGTAGTTAATCCTTCCTTTTCCTATATCGAATAGCAAACGTTATAGGGATCTTTGCACCCTTGAAGCGTGTAGAGTGAGCTGGAGGAAGCGCTTTAGCAGCGTTAGTGTCGGATAGTCGAGTTTAAGTTCCCTTGAAGGCTTGGGAAATTGACTCCGGGTTTACCTGTTGAAGTTAGCGCTCGGCTCGTTGATAAGTTGGTTCGGTTTCTTACGAACTCCGGAACAAAACTTGTCTCCTCCTCTCTATCTTCTTCGTCTACTTCGACTCCTTCGGCCACCACGCCTTTATACACCTTTCCACTAGGGTCACTGCCAAACACTAAATCGCATAGTGGATCTTCCAGCTCACCAAGGCCTACCGCATCCCCATGTCCAACAATTTCTTTGGCAGTATATCCAAGCTCGTCGCGTGTCGGGCTCTGGCAGGATGAAGTTGAAACGGGCTCTTCGTGCTTAATCTTGACGCGTATCTCTTCCTTGACCTGCTCCTCTTGCTTGACGCGCTTCTTGCGTCTAGAGGCTGGGCTTATGTCTTCTTGCTTGACCCTCCGTTTCTTGTCTTCCTTGACTGGCGTCGAGCATTGATCTGGCCTCAACGGTGTGACCGGCTCCTGCTTATCAACCACATCCGTGGATGTCAGAACGACTAGCACCTTCAACTGCCCTGCTTGGTTGTTCGAAAAGTGCCCCGATGCGAGCATGCTTGACGGTGTCGTGTACTTGTCGGTGTTTGGAACGGTAACGATCTTCTTGCCAGAGAAGGTCGAAGCGTAAGAAAGGTTCCAGAGATCTTTATTGGCAGGATCGATCGTGGGCGGAAGCGGACGGAGGTGATCGAATAAAGTCTCGGTGAACGAGGGCCAAGTCAGTAGATCTGCCGAGGGAAACTTGATCACCGTATCCTTCAGAGGCAGCACCGTCTCTGGGACCTCCATTGCAAGCCCGTTGAAGTACCTGGTCTCCAAACTCACAAGCAGCAGGCTTACATGGACCCACCGGTAGCCAGTTCGGTGCCTCGCAGGCTTCCTGGTGCTGCCTTTGGAGTTTTGAATGGCTCGACTGGCCGTTGATGCGACGGTCATGAACTGGGGATTGCTTGACGCCTCGAAGGGAGGTATGCGTGCCCGTGTATTCGTCGCACCGGTACCAGCAACTTCATTGGGGAGTAGTTGGGCGGCGTGTCCAACGCCGATGGATGACACTGGTTTCAGTCTGTCACGCAGCAGCTGACTTGCTGGACAGACCGGCCGTGGCGGAGAGTCCTCGACCTCGACTACCTCATCATATGGGCCAGGAAGTGCCGGAGTTTTAGACCTGGCCCGACGCTGCGGCCGAAAGGGGTTGGCCAAGCCGCAACGGCCGCAATAGTTCGCGCCAACGTATATGGTAGTGAAGAGGTCATAGTGCTTCTGTCCGGCTTGGACGCAGTAGACATGCTCAGGGGGAATCTGTGGAGGGCCCATTTCGGTTGAGGAGAAGAGGTAGAACCAGGGGAAAAGGAGGACAAATAGGATCGGACTCGGAAACGGGATTTTAATATAAGCAGAATAGTTACAGAACAATATCCCCTTGCCATGGCGAATGAAGATCGCCAGGCTTAGCAAGAGACTTCAACGCTAGTCCGGTGCTGACCAGTAGCGGGATTACTGCGGTAATCCTCTGCTGCCTCATGGCGCCGCTCCTCGTCCCAGTTACTCCTACGAACGTTAGAATGAAAACTGAACACAGCTGTGGTGGCCAGGAGGGGAAGTGGAAACATTAAAGTCCAAAGTTTCAACTCGGCACCGTATAGCAGAAGACCTCAAACTCTCGTGTGTATTTGCATTCTTTGTCTGTAGGGGCCCGGCTTTCACAAGTTCCCAGCGCCATCCAGGGGAGGGGACTTGGCGATATTCGCCGTCTTTGTCTTTGGTATTGTCGCTGTCTTCGGGCCGCGACAATACCAAAGTAAAGTTGTTTGGCGAAAACACCGCGCCGCTCGCTCGATTTCACTTGGAAAAATATCGATCAGCTTTTCAGGAACGAATTTTGGGTATAGCATCATGCGCATCCATACGTGTGTAAGTGGTTTGCGAGCCGGATACCATTTTACGACTGGTGCGGCAAACTGGCAATTAGACTGGCAGAAGGATGACCGTGCGGGCCCGCTGCTAGTCCGCAGTACATACTCTCATGCTGACCTGAAGTATCCGGATGACCAGGGGGCTGGGCGCCTAAACCCAAAAGAAAATGACAGGGAGTTTTGCAACAGTGACCCCTATCGCCCACCGTAGGCGACAGTCAGGGAAGCAGTCGAAGCAGCTATGGGAGGCAAGACCATGAAGAAGACTTGGGCGGAGATCGCAGCCGGCGCGCAGACTGCCCGCCAACACCCGGCCCCCGCGGAGAAACCGGTCCCTGCTCGCTCGACAGGGAATTAGTAGTCCGCGGCAGCGGCATCACCCAAGATCTAAGACAACGTCGCCCCCCCGGAGATAGTTCAGGCTGTCAATCGCGCTTTCGGCGCTACCGTTGCGATCGCGGCCCGAGTGCTTCGAAGCGGAGATACAGTCATTACCTTCGAGAAAGACGCTAAACAGTATCGCATGAGGACGGACCGGCTACGTGACGCCTTCGGACCGCAAGCGACGCTCTCTCAGGGCGGCTACACGCTGATTGTTAAAGGAGTTCCTATCAAGGCACTACAAGACCGAGACAACGAGACCGCGACGAAGGCGATTGCAGCAGAGAATAAGGTCGAAGTCATCCGCCTTAAAGCGCGTAGAGCAAAGGGCGCCGGAGCGACGAAGACGACCCTCATACTCACAGTAGACGGGGTAAATGCGGCGAACAAGATTTGCGATCAGGGACTGCTTCTTCAGTCCGAACTTTTCAACTCAGAACCCTACGACGACTCGCTTGACCCAAAACAGTGCTTCCGCTGCTACCAGATGGGTCACCTTGCCCGCTACTGTGAAGCGAAGCCGACGTGTGGACGGTGCGGCACTGACCCGCACCCAGACAACGAGTGCCCGGCCGCCCTAGGCCAATCTCCCCATAAGTGTCCCCTTTGCGGCGGCGCACACCCAGCGTGGGACCGCCGCTGCAATAAGACTAAAGAGCACTGGGATAGAGCGCGTAAGGCCTACGCCTTTAGAGCGAGGCGGTTCGAAAGCCGCGGCCGCGTCCCGACGCCGCGCCCTCGGCCACCCGAGCTGACGACTCGCTACTGCCGCCCCACCCCAAACGACCTCGACCAGCCTCAGCCGCCCCTCGACCAAGACCGCACGCGTGCGGGGCCAATCGGCACTCTCGGCTTCTACGGTTAGCCAGCGGGCCGCTGACACGATAAGAGTGTCTCAAGAGAGAGTCGCCGACGTCCTTATGGATAATGCTGAATGTTAATTACAGTGATGTATTGGAATACGAACCGACAACCCTTGCGCTCCAAGCCCCGCACGCCGCCGACGTCATTGCAATCCAAGAGCCGGCTAAGAACGCTAAGACTGGCCATCCAATATGCCCGAGCAGGAGCAGCTACCGTCTTGTCTTTACTGCCGGCCGCGCGGCGCTTTATGTCCACAAACGGGGGCACGACATCGGGTCGTGGACCAGCGACGGAGGCGTCGACTGGTGCAGCGTCACCTTCACTAAGCCCAACACCACAATCTTCTCCGTCTATTCCCCGATCTATGTTAGGGAGCCTAAACAGAGCCCGCTTCCCGCTCTCGCATCGAGCACGCCGTGCTGTAGAGCCGCCTTCGTCGGAGACTTCAACATCCACCACCCGCTCTGGGACATCCATAACCGAACGTCGGACAACTGCGACGACATACTAGAGCTGGCGAGCCGATGGAATCTTGCGCTCGCCACGCCCGAAGGCGAAATCACTCGTCTTGGTGGGCCGGGTAAGCGTGACAGCACGATAGACCTCGCCTGGGTCTCGCGGGACCTCTCAGCGACGTACCTCGGTAGAGCAGATATCACAGGTTCAGAACACATCCCGCAACTCCTACAACTTGACGTTGGACCGCCTCCGCCCCGCTTACGGCTCCGAGGACTTCCAATAAACTGGCGCCTACTTGAACCCAAACGTGCCCGCGCGGAGGCGACGACGCGTTTCAGGCCCTCGATCGCCCCTTCCGCACCGCAATCCCCTGAAGAAATTGACGATTATGCCGACTGGCTGGTCAACCAACTGACAGAAATCGCCTATCGCGCTGCGCCCAAGGTCCGCGATCGAGCTGATGGAGGCAGGGAAGAGTGGTGGACCCGCGATGTTGAAAACGCCACCCAGGCGGCTAAGCAGGCCGAGAGGCTCTACTTAAGAACCAGGAACCCGGCCCACTGGGAAGCGCGACGCGACGCCGTAGCGGTGCAGAGTCGAGCCGTACACGAGGCGTGCAGGAGCGCATGGAGGAGACATCTCCACGACGCCTCAAAGACGAAAGGCATCTGGGCCTTGGAGCGATGGGCCAGACTTAGAAGCACCCAACCACCTGCACCATTACGCCTCCCCGACCTCTCACGAGTAGAAGGCGACCCAACCCCAGTTCGCACGCGCGCCGACAAAACCAGAGTGTTGACCGAAAGATTCTTCCCGACACCCTCGGCCGCCCATCCCGACGCTACCGGGGGCCCCGCCCGCGAGCCGGTTACGATCAGCAACCACTTCTCCCTCGTGGAGGTCGAGCAAGTCATCAAACGGACGGCACCATGGAAGGCGGCGGGGGAAGATGGTCTGCCCCTGGGGTTAATAAAGCCTGCGGTAAACCAGTCGCTATCTATATCCTTACATTGCTAAACTCTAGCTGCGCTCTCGGGTATTTCCCAGAGCGCTTTCGCCGCGCAGACGTGGTGGTTATCCCCAAACCCAACAAGACCCAGGCTCAACTTAACCTAGCAGGCAGCTGGCGCCCAATCTCCCTCCTCAGCACGGTGGGCAAGATAATAGAGGCGACGATCGCACGGCGGCTCGCCGATACTGCGGAGACGCATCTACTGCTCCCCGAGGGACAGATGGGCAATCGGCCTAGACGCTCTACGGAAGTAACAGTCCATATTGTCGCAGAACTGGCGCGCACAGCGTGGGATCAAGGCGGTGTCGCGTCCCTTCTTCAACTCGATCTCAAGGGTGCTTTTGACAGGGTAGACCACACCTGCCTCCTCCAGGCTTTAAAAGGGAGAGGTATCCCGGAATGGCTCCTAGCTTGGATCCGGAGTTTCGTAAGCAACAGAACAGCTCGCCTACTCTTCGACGGCGACGCGTCGAACCCCCTCAGCATACACGCAGGCGTCCCCCAAGGATCCCGGCTTTCCCCGATCCTCTTCCTCTTCTATATCGCCCCCCTTTACGACGCTCTCGAAGCAACGGCGGGAACAATACTAGTCGGCTTCGCAGACGACTCGAACATTCTCGCCTTCGGCAGAACCACAGACGAAACCGCCGAAAGGCTCGAAGGAGCATGGTCTGCATGCGAAGGCTGGGCGCGCGCTGTAGGGGCAGCGTTCGAACCGGCGAAAAGCGAATTACTGCACTTCATACGCGCCCACGCCCCGCCCGAGACGTGCGTTCGCCTCGGCAACACCACGATAGCGTCGTCAGAGTCCTCCCGCTTCCTCGGAGTTTGGCTTCACCGCAAGCTCCAATGGGGCCCTCACCTTAAGCAAATCCAGACCAAGTTTCAGCGCCAACGGGTGGCACTTACCGCGCTCGCTGCGTCTGCGTGGGGATGTCGACTCTCGCGCGCACGGGAGATCTACACCAAGGTTATCCGCAGCGCCATCGTCTATGGAGGCCCAGCCTTCCATACGCCTACGCCACCGAACGGACGGCCAAGGGGAGTGGCTCGTGCGCTCTGCAGCCTACAAACGACGTGCCTTCGAACCGTCGCCGGCGCGTATAAAGCCACACCAACCCGCACCCTAGAAACAGAGACCGAAGTCCCGCCGCTTGACCTCTACCTCAACGAACGACTAGCGAGATTTCAGAGTCGACTCGAGACCTCGGGGATGGCGGGCGCGGCTGCGTCTGGCCTGCGCAAAAGTCAGCAGCGTGCTTCGAAAACGCAAGGGTCCATGGCGCAAACCCGGAAATGGCGGCGAGGAGTGGCGACAGCGCTGGTGCATAGGCTCGACGGAGCCTCGTGAAGCTCTATGGCGTGAATGGACGAGAAGGTGGGAAAGAGAGCTGCGAGACGCGAAGGCACGCCATCCTCGTCGTGCCCTCCAACCATCAGACACGGAACCGCCCCCTCCGAAGCCCTGGAGAAGGCTGAACGCCCACGCCGACCTCTACAAGCACGAGAGCTCCACGCTTATCCAGCTCCGCACGGGGAAGATAGGTCTTAACAGCTTTCTCTATCACAAGAACGTTCCCAGCGCGACGACCCCCCTCTGCCGGTGCGGTGGCGGGAGGAAACAGTGTTTCACGTCTTCCTCCGCTGCCCCCTACAAGCTGACAACCGCAGGCTCCTCCCAGCCGCCCTCCGCACTGACGCCGACCTCCGCGCGCTTCTTATGCGACCCGACACAGCCCCATACCTCGTCCGATGGTTTCTCAACTTTCGGCCGATACCCCACTACAAGGTAGCAGCAGATCTCGCAAGAAGCTGGACCGCCAGCGCCGCGACAACGACACGATCACGAGCGGACGGAGGGTAGAAAGAGAGAACAAGGTAGCAGTGAATGTCTTTACTCTTGTCGGCTCCCAATCCCAAACAGCCGCGAAGGGCCTGCACGCACTGCCGGGCCTCGACCCCCACAATGGTGTCAATCGCCGCCCCTAGTACGGCTCACACTCGGGAGCCTGGCGGGCCGTGGACGACCGACCGAACACCAGCAAGAAATTCCTGAGAAAGGAGGTATAAGCGGGATAGAGTTCTCCGTCGCGCTGCGCGCGCGTTGACGGCTATTCGGGTACAACGCGCCTACGGGACCTGACGCCCCGGCCCAGTTTGGGACGGAGGTCCCCCACCTGCACCAGGCTGGCGGCTGCGACCCAACATGCTCAACATCGCGACGATGGCGGCCCGCGGGCCGAGGCAGATGAGAAGGTTGTATATAGGTTTTCCTCCTGGGCCACCGGGTTTTTCCTATATAGGTAACGAGTAGAGGCTCTAGAGCCTGCAGGCTAGCTAGTGTAATAAACTACTACTACTACTACTACTCATCTGTCGCCATTCGAAAGCCTTTTCTGCGATCTAATAAATAACACATCTTTTGGATAATAGTTTGCGAGTTCCTATGCCCATCGTCCCTTATAAACTCGTCTGCCTCGTCTCCCTTTTTACTGTTCGGGCGATAGCCGATAACGCTTTCGAAGCCGAATTCGATTCTTGCAACCAGGTGTTGCGTCCCCCACCTCTGGAGAAGGGCGTCGACTTCGTGCCACTGAAATGGAAAACTGAGATGCTAGACAAAGAGATTGTTCCAATATCGTATGGCACGTTCCTGGAGACGTGGAACCGTGTGTACTTTGTGGCAGGTTCGCGTGAGAGGAAAAGGCCATACTCCCTGAGAGTCGGTGCTGGCGGCCGGTTGAAAGGTGAGGGCGATTCGCGAGTGTTAGAGCGTCTCGAGCATTATTAATCTACATGGATCCAGGGAGTCTAACACCGGCGCTACGCAACTTCATTCTCTCTAACTCGACGGATGTTTTTGAACGGAGCTACTGTCAGAATGTGCAGGTGCGAGACCTCCCTGTAAAAGCTGAGTCAAGACCCGTCAGGCAATAAGGCCACAAGATCAGGAGCCTAAAAAGGGGCACAGGTGTCAGCCGCAGCGGGGTAATGAGCATGATCCTCCTGATCCTTTTTGATGAACTTTTTATTGATTAACTATTTCGTTCATCCTATGACTGCTGCCTCTCTGCTACGTCGGAAGGTGACAGAAACCTAAGTTTCTGACAGCTACCAGCCGGTTCAGGTTCGAGAAAAATTAGCGGAAATAGCGTTTGGGGAGCTCGCTAAACAAGACGACGCCTTATGGTCTATAATATCGAACGCCTTCCTACAACACGATCCCCATGCTCCTGTCTACCTTACGCAGCAGGAGCTCGACCAATTTGAGGAACGACGAGACATCACAGGCCTACGGGAGCGATTGAAAGTCGCAATATTAGAACAAGGCTCAAGGTGTCGCGAGGTCGCCGAGATTACCGGACGTATACAGCACATTTATAACTGCTTGGAGGAGCTTACATTGCAAGAGAAACGGCGCCTTTACTTTCGCAGAGGTGGATAGATTACGGGTTCTTGGGCAGACGACCGACCATCTACATGATCCCTCCGCGACCAACCCGAGGCGGAAAAATAATGGCCCTAGCAGCATCGTTGCCGCGAACATCTCTCTACTGTTTACGGACAAGCATCCTCGCGACAGTCTTCCCGACCGGTTAGTAGCCTACCTTTGGGGCTGGTCCCAGCAGGCCATCGATGATGATGAGGACGACGACAATCGGGGAATGAGTGGTTGCGCGAGCGCCGCTGCCAATCACGAGGCAGAAAGACCACGATGCCTCTTTGGCTGTGGGACGTACTACGACAACAGCGCACTCACTAGGCATGTTCGGCCGACTCACATGGACAACTTCAATCTCCCGTTCACATGCCCGGAGTGCCAGCGACTAGGATGGGACGAGTGTGTTATTCCAGCTAGCCCATCCGCCTGAAGCAGCCATGTCCTGCGAAAGCATGGCAGAGTACACACCCCTAATCTTCGGCCTGGGATGACAATGCCTGCGTACTGCATCTTGTGCGAGAAATACTTCACAAGAGCGGGGTTCACGAAGCACTTCAATACGAGACACCCTGAGTCAACGTCCTGGCAGCTCCGTCAATGCCTCATATGTCAGCAGGGCCAATTCGAGCAACCGTTGATCATTGATCGATCCGGCTGGATAGCACACGTAAGGGAGCTTCATGCAGGAGGGGAAGTTCTTGGGGCCGTGCTGGTGAAGAATGAAGGGGAGATTGTGAGTCGTGGATTGGTCGAAGCGAAGAGGGGACGAAATGGAGGAGACATGCCACCCGATGACGACACGAGCAACGGGACCAGTGGCGGCGAGGGCAGCGGCAGACTCGGCAGGAACAAGATCAAGATCAAGAGGAGTCTCGACGACTCCGCGGCTTACCATACGGCTGGCCCTCAGAAGCGAAGGAAGGAGCGCTCAAGCAGGAAGATCATCCGGGCGATGGAGGATGCCGAGTGTGATGATTGGGACTGGAAGGAGGAGGCGACACCTGATTCCCATGCTGGCGAGGAATTTTGGGTTGATGGCAGGGAGTAATGGTAGACGATGACGGCGTGAGCAAATGGCCGCCTCTTGGACGACCATACCCGTGACGTGAAGCCCCGACAGGATGTGTATAAAATGGACGGCCCCCTTCCCAGGAGTCCGGGCTGAATTCTGCTCCTTACATCTCACTCCTCGTCTCTTTTCTCATGCCTACCTTCTTTGGATCATTCTGGCCAAGTGACGCTGAAGTGCCCATGCCTATCCAGACCCTCGATGATGCCACCTTCGTGCCTGCCACTCCCGTCGACATTTCGATGATCAATCTTTCTTTGGGCTCGCTGGCCATGGATCGTCATGACTTGGATTCCACTGTCGACTTTACTGCCTCGGCTTGGGACTATGGACACACCTATGACTCTAGCCCTTCCGGAGACGACGGCGCAATGAATGACGACGACGCGTGGGATTGTGCCAAGACTGATGTTGACTTCACTCTACCCACCGAAGATATCGATCTCTTTGGCAGCAATTTTCCGTATGCGCCTTTTGGAATCTACGATGGGATGGTGAGGCTCATGAGTGGTGAAGCTACTAGTGACACATCAAACAGCTTCATGCCGGTGCTTGGGGAGTCTTCCCCACCACCACCGCCGGATCTTTCCCTCAATGAATTCTTAGAGTTGCGCGACGACGGTTTCCCGGACAGATTCGATCCTTACGATCCACAGGCACCCAATACATCTCCCAAAGCTACCTGTGAGCAGGGTGGTTTTCCATCACGATTGCAAGGGGTCTTTCCATTAAAGGTACAATGGACAATCCTTTTCCATTCTCGGTGTGTCAGCACTATAGGGGGTATACCGCTAATAAGGCCTAAAGATTTAGCGAGATTTAGTGGCAGACAAGCCTACTGTTTTAGTGGCCGGCCCCTTGGACTTTATGCCAGGAGTATGAGCAGGGGGGGTTGTCCATTCTGTCCATTATGGACAGATGTACCTTTGATGGAAAAACCCCTTGCAATCGTGATGGAAAACCACCCTGCCTGTGAGCCTCTTGTTGTTGACCTCATGGGGGATTCTTCAGTTTGTGAGGGCCATGCACCAAACGATGCCCAGAATGAGGAGCTTTCGTACTGTGATGCCGAAGATAACGATGGGTTCGCGGACAAATTCCATCACCAAGCACCGACAGCATCGCTCAGCGCCACACGCGAGATCGTGGTTATCGACCTTACCGGGGATTCAGAATACAGCTGTGGGGTGGAGGAACCAAGCGAGGAATCCAAGGATGGTCAAGTTAAGGGGCCAGCACACCAAGAGGCGGATAACACCTTTGTTGTTATTGCTGGACATATGTATCCCGTTCACAGACAGGGAGACGTCGAACTTATCGATCTCACCGGAGGCCCGGCTTAACCTTGAATATTCTAATTCTTTACTTGTAGCTATACGGTATTAGCTGATATAGTCCAATGTATACGTATACCTTCCTAGCTCGAGGCATTTAGTAGGTAGTAACGGAAAGTTATTGGTATTGCGTGTACATTTAGACGGGCGTGCCGCGTTTATATGATCAAAGCCCAATTTCTATCTCTGGGCTAGCCTGTACCGTCTATAGAAATGTCGCATTCGTCATTAGCGTGGCCCCTGGCCTGTGAGTGACGCCGCTCATGAGGGCCGCTGCGGCCCAGCTGCACGCTCGACTGGAGGCGATCCGGCCTAGGAACCCGGCTCTCCGTTTGATCAATCTCAAGTAAAGCTGCGAGCACCTTTTTCCCGCTTATTCTGTCGGGCCAACCGGTGCTGCTGCCTGATAGCGAGCTCATTCTCCGATATTCGAGCTTCAGCCTTCAAGAGCCTCGCGCTCCGGGCCCCGGCATGGTCCTCCCTGGTGGCTAGACTTCTTTACTTCCCCATGGTTCTACCATAACCTGCCCTATCCACTTCGGACTATATCATCTCGGCCCAGATCTAGGGAACCAGCCTCTTTGATCGCCTGAATGTAGAGCAGCGCATTGTGTTCGACCTTTACTAGGCACCTAGCCAAATATGCAAGGGTCTATATACGGAGTTACCACTAATCACTAAGCGCCGCCTCGCTAGGCGCCAGTAACGACGACACGCTAGAGCCGCGGTTGCCAATAACGCCCTGCTGCGAGTTTCTGTCAACTAAGGGCTACTGGTGACTAATGTGCGTCGGTTGTTGGTACCTTAAAGGGACCGGGAACCTCCGGGCGCTTAGCGATGTGCTCCTAGTAACACCTATTAGAGTAAGTGCCAGTAACTAGCACGGCATGGGGCATCTTGTCACTAGTAACTAAGCATCTTCTGCTGTGTTAGAAGGCGCTGACGCTGCCTTTGCTACGCTGTTCCCAGTAACTACATAATGGGCTCGGGCCGGAAATAACGCCGACTACTCAGTGGCACACCATAACCCAAGGTCTAGTAGGGGTCGTAGGACCTCCCACCCCAGACCTAGGTGCCAGTAACCGCTCGGGCGCACCATTCACTCAAAAGCAGGGTGGTTTTCCATATATGGAAAGGTGTGCAATCCATACTGGAGTATCGCCCCACATTTATTGCAAGTATTGCAATACACCTTTCCATTCTTGGTCCGTGCGCATCCCGCAACAGCTCACCTATATGGTCTCGGCAAAACGTGCCAAACACGACATGAATCAATGAAAATCAAGGAACAGTTAACGTGAACGTAATGACAGACGACCGGTTAAGGGGATGCCAAGCAGAAATTTGCTCCTTTTGCAGGAAACAGGCGTAGAAGTTGAGCCAGGATTTTACCCAAAATCTGGGGACCCGCCACCACCCTCGGCCCTTGCAAGATATCGTTCTTGAGCCAATGCTTTAAGCATTCTCCCTTTCGACTTGTTTCGCGTCCAATTGGGCTCTTTCCCATGAGATTGTGCGACGCGCCCTGAGAACACCCGCTCAGGTTCATCACTCATCGCCGGCATTGATAGGATGTCTATGGCCATTTGTGATAGCTTGTGCCATCGTTTTCTGTTGCTCTTGAAGCCACCATGACAAGGCCGTCGTCGGCGTAATGTCGTACGGATCACATGAAATGTAATCTTCGTACTCGTCCTGGCTTGACGGTCGAGTGCAATTCTGCAGGTTCCTTGAAATGCGATCAAACGCGTCAAGGTCCTCGTCATCATCGTCATCTAGTAAATGTTGCGAGAGGGCGCCATCCACAGTGTCTCGGTATGTGAGCCAAAGGTCTTTGACCTGTTTGAACGCAGGTTTTTGCCACTTCTTCTTCCAATTTGCCTGGATGTATGTTGTGCGATAGCTGGGATGAAGGATCAAGGCAGCTGCATAATAGGGCGATGTAACGGGCAAGCCGCTTTAACGGCGGCTGCGCCGCCTAGCTTCTAGAACCTTCCATTGGCTCGAAGCTATAAAATGCTATTGTGCTCTCATGTAGTAGATTCTCTTTCTTTCTTTCTTTCTTCTCTATCTTGATAGTAAACAGCATAGGGACTAGTTAGTTGTATCAACTCACTAGAGGCCTTTCACAGGCGATGCTTCTGTCTTGCTATAATATTTGTCAAAGACTTCCCACCCTCGTTTGATCCTAAAGGACAGCTCGGTGTCTGATTTGTACGAGACCTATTGCACCATCTCAGCGCTTGCACAAGGAGATCAGAGGAATGGAAGGCATGGTACCAGGGCTTCATCAAAGCATCGGATCAAGACGTCCATCGTGAAGAGCACTTTGTCCAGGGTCGCATGATCCCCTTGTGTTGCTAATGTCGCTCGGGCGAACGGTTGAAGGATCTTCTCAATTATTCGGAGCCGGGCCCAATCTTCCGGCAATAGAAAATCTGCAGAAAGATCTTCGAAATGATTCTTGGTGTAGGTGTCCAGAGCGCTGGCAGTTTCCTGCTGAGTGGCAACATGCAGCATTTGATACCAGCTATTCCACCTCGTACGATTGTCAAGTGGAATGCCCTCTCAGCGAGTTCCATAAACTCTCCACTGCGTCCTGATGAACTCCGGATGTTGACAACCAGGTTGTGGAGCTTACCAAGTGGTCCAAGGCGGCGAAATTCGGTGCGCTGCCTTTGAACTTTGCCAGGTCATCTGCGTCTTCGCATATTTCGCCCTCTTTCAAGTCAATAGAATTCTGGAACAGGAAAGCTTGAACTGCCAAGTTGATAACGTGGCCTAGGCATCGGAGGCGGTGAACTTCAGGATCCCATTTGACGCCCTCTTCCTTGAGATACGTGCTCACTGCCCGGCAGAGGGTGTCATTCGTGCTCGAATTATCCCCAACGATGCTTCCAAGGCGTCGCAGAATACCAAAGTCCCGCAAGATGGGAAGAAGTGTAACGAATTGCTCCTCCCGGAATGGTTCCCCACAGGCCGAAGTGCAAGGAGAGCTTTCCGTCGTGCTTCTTGTGCGTGGTCAACAAAGTGGAGCAAACTCCGAGAAGAAGGAGCCGATTGGGGGACGTCCAAATGTCAAGCGAGAGGTGAACCTTGGATTTTGCTGACTGGAGCTTCATTCGCACGATATCCTTGGCCGACTGGAAATGATTGTCGATAATTCGTGGAATAGTCGAGTGGGCGGAAGGGAGATAGTCCTTCGCGACCGGGTTCAAGGTCGAAATGAAGAGGTGAAATTCGCGGATTCGACAATTCGATAAGGAAGGTTTCGTGCGACGATCAGCAAAGCTAAGGCTTTGTTTATCTTGTCTTGGTCCAGGTAGCGTTTGAAGACCTCCGACTCAATCTCCGTTGTGCGGCCCAAGTCCCGTGCTTGCTGGTAGAGTTGCTCAAACCCTCAAAGATGGACGATTGAAGAGGAGTCAAATCTTCCACGACTCGAATATCGTGCTTTCCTCCAGATGTTTTCGAAAGTTAGTGGTAACTGAAGTTCTGTACGGGTTTGTCTGGGGACAATGACTGCAATAGAGAAGGCGATTTCGGCCCTTAAACTCTTCCTCCCCCTCTGCTGCAACGCGAGCATGCTTCCACGTTGCGATAGCCGCTTTGCCTCTTGTATTGCGAGATCTTGATGTCGTAGAGTCCGACAAAATAGATTCAGCATCGAAGAAGGATAACGTACTTGCAGTATCCATAGTTCGACAACTGACTCGTCCGACGCGTTGGTGCAAAATGGTGGGAAAGCGATTTGTGTTTGTGTGGAATTAGCGGTGTTCAAGGCCCTCAGACCCTGGACGATGGCGCTGTAGGGGTCCCGGTCAGTGGCGCAATTTGGCCAATTATCGACTGAGTATTGAAATACTATGGATCCATATCCATACCCTGTCCATGCCATAGTATGGAAAGGGTATTTCCATACTTGGGTATGGAAAACCACCCTGCTCAAAAGGCCACCCGGGATAGAGGCAGAAATGCCGGTGAATACCTACACAGGAGACCGGTCCTCTATAAGGCCCGCCAATGCCTTTTCGGAACAAGCTTAAGAGCTTGAGAAGCAAGGGTTGCCTTGTGAAATGATAGAATGAGCCTAACATAAGCACTTGTAACACCTAACACATGCGCGTTTATATATTAGGTAGGTGGCGATGAAGCTCTAGGTAGGTATCGCGTAATAGCCTTAGGGCCATAGGCAACTGTAGATGCCCTTTTAGCTATCTGTCTAAAGGGAAAAGAGGAAAGAAAAGATTGCGAGCATGGGCGCCGAGCAGTGAGCGATATAGACGATTAGGAGACTGTTTTATAGACACTAGTGGCGTCTAGAGGGAGGTGACCAATTTTTTTGCTTTTTAGGGTTCAAGATGCTAAGGGATTTACCGGTGATCTGCCGGATCCCGTGACCCGCCGGTCTTACACGCCGCCACGAGCCTCCATGGCGTAGTGGTGACACGTCTGGAGCCTCTGCGTCGCAGAGGGGTCGGTTCGAAGCCGGCTGGAGGCACCCCTGGTGAAACAGGGCACACCCGGGTTCCCGCCCGTCAACAGGAACAGCGTCATGAGAAAACACAATCGGCGTACCAACCACCATCAGTGACTAACACAACCATGCTTCAACTTCGACACATCGCGCTTCAGTTGCTGGGAATAGGATGCTGAACACTTGGAGAAATTGACCTTCAAGCAGGTCTGTCATGGAGCGAACAGTGGAATGGTTGGCGCAGCGTAAGATGATCTGTGGGGCTTGGGGAGTCAAGGAACAAACGTGTTGAACTGTACTCTAGACAGTGTAAAGGCCTTATAGGGACCTCCCTCCGGGCGAAATAAATCCTACTACTACTACGCCGCCACGAGGGGACCCGGAGGAAAATGCGCAGCTGGCTCCCCCGCTCCGGCCAATCGCGCGACCGCGGGTGAGCCGGGTGAGCCCCACTGGTGTGCGTCGCGCGGCTGGGTGAGCCAGGCATCTCTGCAGCAAGGGAAGAAGTGCTGCAGAATCCGTGCCTTGGAAACCGTACTCTCATTGGCCACGCGTCGCGCTAACCCTCGCTTCAATATAATGGACATGAAATGCGCGCCAACCCCGCGGTCTTTTCTTGCTCTCGCCGGAGCTCAGCTCAATATGGAGTTTCCCTGTATAATTCTTCTCCTGAGAAGTAACCTTAAGCCGTGATCAACCGTGGCGAAATGGGCTGGAAGACAATAGCGCCCCTGCCGCCTCATCCTTGTCGTCGTCGGGTTGGACAAGAACACCAACTGGAGAGACGGGTAGAATGGACGCCCACAGGGTTTGGGCGAGGGAAACCATCAAGCGACCTGGATGAATGATATTGTCACACACAGACCAAGTGCCATAACTGTGGACAGGCTCTTCACTGCAGTGAGGTTATTCGAACTGGTTCAATTGGTTATATCTTGTGTAACTAGGGAAACGTGTCCCATACAAACTGTGTGCAAAGACCTTCCTCCCTGTGTCTCACCTCTTACTCGCACGTGACTAGCGCGGTCGATTAGTTATACGTGCGCGATCGGTGCCTAGTGCACAGGTGGATCCAACACTGGAACCTCTTTCTAAATCGATGATCGCGCACTAATCAATCCACCAAAACACACCAAACACAGCGAATTAAGATGAGATAGGAAAACACGAACAAGAACACCAACAAACTCCTACCACGATGCATCACTATGTTGGATAGTGTGCTCTGACTGTAGCTCTCCTCCCCACACTGGGTGTGTTCTGCCACACGCCATCATGGGCCGCATTTCGAGCGCCGGATGCGCTAGCTGATTCCATCGGTCCCACGTTGGAATATGGACACGAGGATCTCCTCGTTAATGTGAATGGAATAAAAGAACGACGGTAAAGCAGAAGAAGGGAACGAAAAAAACCGATTAAATCTCGTCGAGAATTGTTGTGTTATTGCGATGAACGAATCCTTCCACCCTCACGTTTAGCTGATTGTCGCTAATAAACTGCGTGAGGGCGCTGTTTGGTGATGCCTTCGTCATAGCATCGGCAGGGTTATCTGCGCCGTTGACCCAACGGATTTCCGCAATATCCCTTGATTCATATGCCTGCCTCAGCGCCATGATATCTATCATGAGTCGCTTCTCTGTTGTGGTGCCAAGTTTGACGAGGCACTCATAGAGGCTATATGAATCTGTGCAAATGACGAGCGGGATTTGCTTCAGATCAAGGCGTTGTGCGATCGTATTGACCGTTTGCTTGATCACAAATGCGAGATCGAAGCCCGATGTCAATCCATAGATCTCTGATGCAAGAACGCTTCGAGTAACGCGCTTGCATTTAGTTGAGCTCCAATGAAGAATGTTTCCGCGGATGGAAAATGAATCGGTTGATTGCGCGGTCTCATTGGCGATGATAATCACAAAGCCGATTTGAGAGCTTAAATCCTTATTGTTGGCGAATGATCCATCGGTGAACACAAAGATCTTCGCGCTCTCGAGATCGATGGGTATGTAACATAGGCCACGGTCGGGATTGTTGATCTGCCATTCAATCCGCTTGTTCAAAGCCTTGAAGTCGGTATTAACGGGCTCTTGGGCTTGTGCCGCAACGGAACAATCGTATGTTGCTTCGGGTTGGCAAATCGAAGCGATATATGCCCCGGGCGCGTTGAGCAGCATAATCCTGATGCCTACTTGATGCCTGAAGATTGATCTCCTCGAGGTTTGGGCTTGCCCTTCTGCCTGACGATGACACAGCCATTTTGTATGGTCAGGCGGCTGCCGTTAAAGTCGCAGATGGAACCTTCTTGGAGAATCTCTTTGGCTTGGCCTTAAAGCAGAGTTCTTTCTCCTCGATCTTGAGAAATGCATCTGTGCCAACAATGAATGTGTCATCCGTTTGCAAGGCCGCGATGCCAAACAGGTCCTTGTCGGCGATGTTGTTTGCCGTGATCAGAAGGCACGGGTCAAACGAAGAGGTTTCCATATTAAGCTTGCGGCAGTGATGGTCGTGATATGTGTTGAACCAGTGGGCTCCTGCCTCTGCGATGCCATATAGCGGCTTCACGATTCGCAGGATTGTTCCCTCTGGATATCTTCTTTGAGTTCTTGAGGAAGGGCTGCAAGGATGACACGGGCCAGCTTGGTCTGGGATTGTGTGTATGCCATCGTGATGTCTCTGATCATGATGAACATATCCCGTGTGCAGAGAAACGGTGCTAAGGCCAAGGCCACGCGTTGTGCGGGCCGGCTGATGGTAGGGGCTTGTGTGAGGATCCCACGTTTCCCATCATCATTGTATCCTTGCACAACGAGGCGTGATTTCTCGTATGGCGTTGCAGTATTTCTTCCCTTAACCTCTCTGACCATTCGTGATTTGAAGACACGATATCCACCATGTTTATTCGCATCGAATTCTTCGGGTACAATGACCCCAGCGGCGAGGAGGTTCGTGAGCTCGAGTGTGTCGGAAGCTTCAAATGGGAAACCGGTGCTTGTGATCTTTCCTTCAGCTCGTAGCCGCTTGGCTAGGCCGAGATGTTCCATTTCTTTTCGAACAAGAAACGCATTAGCTTCATGATGAACGATAAATTGAACGGGTGAGCAAACAATAGTGGATTCTGATGTGCCATTTTGTGCAGCATCCTTCCTAGGTCGGCCACGCCTGCGCGGCCTCTTTGGCTCAGGGTATTCGAAAGGTTTGGGTTGGTCTTCTGTGGTAGGAAGAGGAAGAGGTTGTTGAGTTGTGGGTGGAAGGGAAGAGGGTTTTGAAGAGGATGTTGTTGATCGGATTGTGTTGAGGAAGGAGTGATTGTTGTGTTGATGGGTCTGTGCGGCTAGGGCTAGGGTCGGGTTGCAACTGAGGAAGGAGCGATTCCGGGTGACGATAGTACGGTTGGACGCATGTACTGCGAAATTTCGCTGGTCCGTTGTCCAGGTCAACTGCGATTTCCGTATCCGTCACCTCGAGCACTTTATATGGGCCTTGCCATCCGTGCTTCTCGCGAAATACGCGAACTTCGCTTCCTAGCGCCAGGGATAGGGGCAGGCGCAACGCTGTATCAGGCCCATTACGCGTATTTAACGCGGTCTGAACCTTCCTCTGGGCGTTGATCTTCCTCAGCTCTGACATCGTTCGCCACACCGCCTTAGCTCTTGCCATTGCGGAAGGTGTAGGCGGCGAATCCATCGTCATTCGAGGCAGAGCACCGAAGACGAGGAGGGTTGGAACGAGGCCATCCGGACCGGCTGTGTCGTTGACAGCCTTGAAAGCCATTTGAAGGACTTGATCAGGGCTCACGGTATCCTTCAGCTCTGCCTTTAATATATCATATGCTCTTCGGACGGGCACATGATACTTCTCAACCTTCCCAACAGCCCAATGTGCTTCCACAGGCACCTGATGACACGTTATTCCCATCAATTTCGCTTCTGCTTGGAACTCGGCAGCAGCGAAATTCGTGCCTGCGTCATGAGTGATCACATCGGGTGGTCCAAGGTATGTATCCATCCAACATTGTTTCAACGCGAGCCACGTTTCCTTGGCCGTCATGTTGGATAGGAATCTCCTGCCTGATAGGCAGTGGCTTGATCAACAACATGGAGGACTGGTCTGCCACCCAATGTCATGACATCAACGATGACTTCGTAATTGAAGTCACAATCATCCTTCAAGCTGAACTTGAACCTTCGTGGCGGGTCGGATTTCATCTGACAGTAGTGGCAGAACTTCTTGATCATTTCCAGAGCTTCGATTTCCACATCATGGCCAGCCGAATTCAGCAGCTTGTGCAGCCGATACACGGATGGATGACCAAAACGCGTGTGGAGGCGCCGCAATTCAGCCTCCGTGAGATATGCCACTGATGCCTCTTGTTTCCGCAAGAAGAACCACGCGTGACCCCATCTTCGAATCACTGGAACGCTCACACCATTGCCAACGAGCTCGTTCGTGACGTTATTTAAATATACGCCGAGCCGATCCATATCAGCTAGGCATAGGAGGAATGGCGTTGGCACGTTGACTATATGAAAATCAACCTCTCCCACTGGTGTGTTCAAGGTGATCACGCCAAGTGGTGTTTCCAATCTTCCTGCACCAAATCTAACTGGTTCGGGCTTGCGATCATCACGGAATTGGACTGGGGGCATCTCTCGTTGGAGAGCACGCAGTTGTTCGATTCCTCCGTCGATATGCATGCCGCACCTGTGTCCGGCATGATTCCTTGGAACGAGTCTTGAGAGTAACGATCTAGTATGAATTGTGTGGGTTCGTCACTGTTGAATAACTTGATGCCTACTGAGAGATCCGATGATGGAAAGCTTCGTTGGACAGAAAGGTCGCAGCAGCGTAGAACGATTCATAAGGGTCAGAGGAGTCAGAATCATCGGATTCCTCGGTGCTCGAGTCATCCTGATCCTGTGATTCCCCTTCATAGTCAGCCAAGAACATAGCATACGAACGAGATTGACCGTGGAAGCTCTCTCTCGTAGATACTTCTCTTTGGCTGCTTTTCTCTCGTTTTCAGGATGTCTCGTTGAGAAACAACCTTCCTTGCCGCAAACGTAGCATTTCTTCTTCCAATTTGGCTGACGCCTTTGTGATTGACCTCTTGTTCCGCCGGAATTTCGCTGAAATTTGCGATCCACGAAGTGCTGATCATGTCCTCTATCCAGGTCTTGGGGATATTGGCCACTGGGTTGTTCAGATCGTTCATCTTGCATGGCAGATAGCGATGATCGAAGCTGTGATGCCAATCCCTCAAATGTAGGTGCGGAGAGTATATCGCGAGTCGGAATTCAGGCACACCACGGCACGCCCTGAGCGTTGCATCGATCAGGCCACCTTCGCCGCCAGACTTATCCCCGAGTGCTCTCCTACAGAGCCGCAATTTCGTAAGAAGGGCCTGGAGGACCTCGTCAGATGACTTACCGGGCATCTCAGCCCGAAGTCGGCTGAAGGTGAGGGTGCTCCAGTGGGTATGATACATCTTCTGGTTGATTTCGGTGTCAAAGTGCTCTTTCATCTTCTGATACATCTCAGCGAAGGTTAAATCAGTGCTGATTTCGTGTAGAAAGAAGGACTGAGCTTCCTTGGCCAGAATCGAAGGAAAACACCATGGAATTTAGACGGAGGAATGTTTGCTTGACGGCACACGCTCATGAATTTCCGGATCTTGTCATCGAAGATATCGTATGGTTCGCCGGTATAGGCTAGTTTCTTGTCCCATATCTTAATGAATCTAATCGTGAGATCGGCCTCAACTTCCTCGTTCTCGAATCGAACAGGTGGAATGCTCGTGTATGCATCTCGGAAGTTGGTAGTCCGTACGGGAGCGTCTGCTGATACCGAGGGATTCGCGCCATTGATGCTGAGGCTCTTGCTGAGCGGGTTGATGGGTCTCAATGATCTGAGGATTCCGGTTCCGCCGGTCGGGTAATAGTTGGCTGCTGGATTACTACCGGTGCCGGTGACGATATAGCCGCTTTAACAGTTCCTTGGAGCAGCTTCTGTTTCACCTTATATGCCACGGTGTTTTCAGCAACCTCTTGACCAAGCAACTCGTTCTCATCCCATTCAGGAAGTTCGTTACTTGTTAGAAGGCCACATAAAGCTCGAGAGATGCTAGAGTTGGCCTTGCCCATATAGATCCCCCTAATTCTGAGAAGCGTCCGGAGTCTTGATCTAAGGCGTGGGTTGATTAGTTCGAAGTCATCATAGCTCCATCCCGTGAAGTCGTTATACAGATCCCCAAGCAGGGCAATTCCGTGGTTACGTTTATCCACCGTGTATGTTGCCACACAGCCTAAGAAGAAGCTGTTGCGGTGGACAAGGAGGAGCTCTGGGTGATAGGTTCGTTGAGGAAATCCGCGTCGAAATGCCTGATCGGGAGTGAAGGGAGCTCCACGATCGTCAGGTTCCGTTCAACGAGTTGCCTGTCTTCGAGAGACACGTTGGCCGGGGTATCCTGGGCTGTTGCCGGGGCTAGTGCGGCAGATGAATTGTCAGACATATTGACAGGCTGTGTGCTGAGAAACAGGGCACAGGGTGTCAATGAGGTTATCAATGTGCGATAGGGCACGCCTAAGGGTCGCTGATGACAGCAAAGCTTAGGCACGGTTGGATAACTAGAGTGGGCTCTGATGCAGAGTCTTCGTAGCAATCCGCGCGTTGTAGCAACTATCCTACCGTCAGGAGCTCGCTTTGCAGAGCGTGACGATAGGTTAGCTCTCTTCCGTCTTGCTGTTCTGTGTCACCTTTGCCGGGCGACACTGATCAGTGTGGACAGGCTCTTCACTGCAGTGAGGTTATTCGAACTGGTTCAATTGGTTATATCTTGTGTAACTAGGAAACGTGTCCCATACAAACTGTGTGCAAAGACCTTCCTCCCTGTGTCTCACCTCTTACTCGCACGTGACTAGCGCGGTCGATTAGTTATACGTGCGCGATCGGTGCCTAGTGCACAGGTGGATCCAACAGTCACCATATTATGCGTCGACATCATCGAGGTACAGCCCATTCAGACCCGTCTACCCTGATATACTCATGGTTTACAGCTTATTCAAATTGTCGACCCTTTGATACACGCCTTCTTTTCTTGCGCCATCGAACCTAATCCCTCCATTAAGGCGAGAATCATAATTTTTGGGCTAGTATTAGTCTTTCACCTGGCCTTCGTTGGGGCGGCCGTCTGGCAATTCAGGCGATGTGGCGTCGAATACTGGTGGGCCGCTCCAATCGTGTCACACTTGACTACCGTTTTCATGACTATTGCGATATGGAGGAAAACACGGTGTTTCTGTCGCTTTGGCCTGCGCTGTAACCAGCCTCAGCCAGAGCAGCCGACATCAAATCAGGGGATGCTGTTGGATCCACCTGTGCACTAGGCACCGATCGCGCACGTATAACTAATCGACCGCGCTAGTCACGTGCGAGTAAGAGGTGAGACACAGGGAGGAAGGTCTTTGCACACAGTTTGTATGGGACACGTTTCCCTAGTTACACAAGATATAACCAATTGAACCAGTTCGAATAACCTCACTGCAGTGAAGAGCCTGTCCACAGTGACCCCTCTCCAAGCTGTGAAAAAGGGGTAGGCAAAGACGCTTGGTAGGAATGCATTTCTTGCACTGCTGAAAAAAGCGGCGAATACCAGTCCGGTAACCAAAAAGAGACAGGTCGTGGAAATCAATGCCCAAGTCCGACTACACGAAGCTTCTCGTGGCTTGACTTTGATCATCCAGTACAGATAAGGCGCCAGAAAGACCGTGGTCACGGCAAACACGACACCGGCCTCGGTGATCTCCCTGACGGTAATCTCGTCCTGCATGTCGAAATGTGGCAACCTTGAACGGTGGAGAGAGCGTGATTCGGACTTAGAGTAATGAGAAAATGAGCACCGGGCTTGCTCGGAACAAGACGTGCTTTATATAATTTTAAGTCGTAACAGCAAATGTTGGTACTTGGAAAGTAACGCTTGGATGAAGAGAGCCTCAGGATGTTGTCTAGTCGTTTGGCAAATGGGCAGACTGCAGACATGCCTAGAGTGAGGTGGTAATGGGTGCTTCGTGCATAGTAAGTTTACACCGTCATTGCCTTGAAGAGGGGCTATAGTTGATATGATAACTTACATATATGAGGCGGGTAAGCTTCCTCCACATTCAAACGGCCCTGGTCAGAGTAGGGTGTGTGGAACGGCATGTCTTCAACTGGTCAATGCGGCTGGCCGCTGGATATGAAGCCATCTAGCAGTGTATATAACCTGGTTCAAGCACTTTGGCTTGCATGCGTCTAAGCTAACCTTGACCAGGAGGTCGGAACGCTATGGACCTGCGAGGACAACTTGCCCGGGTCTGCAGTCAAAATGAACGTGGCCGTGACGACACCACGAGCTCTCTGGTGGACATAAATCAAACAAGAAAGGTCAAAGACATGAGCAAAAGATGTCGTTGCTCCGTTGCTCGTCGGGGCTGTTGGTTGCGAACATCAACAAAAGGCAGACGGGGAGGAAGCAGCGCAGGAAATTCCTCCGACTTATTCGTCTCCTTAAGAATCATCTCCATTACCCTTTCTAACAGTGCTGTGCCCTTAACGCTCTATTCATGTAACTCATGAACCGAACATCATGCTTGACCTTCAATGAAAATCGCAGTCGCACTGCGACTTGCTGATTGGACAAATTTTCTGAAGTCTTTCTGCCATATTTCGCGCATATAACTTTCCATTTCGGCGCTAATACTCTTAGGACCAGGGATGCTCACTCCCTCATGTAACCCAAGAGGCCCCCAAAAGTTTGTATCCCCACTCAGGCTTCCACAGTACCAGTAACGGAGTATATATGATTCATCTTTGAGGCTGTGGAAACTTTCGCGGAGTCTATTATCGTGCTTACACTTCTTGCAATTGTCAGTGATGATCTGAAAGGATTGGACTCCAAGTTGGCACGGCTCGTCGTGGCTGCATTTCTCCAGCTTAACCTTGTTGAGGTGACCGCATCTAACCGAGCCTTGGGTGATAACATGTGATGCCATCGTCTTTTTGCGGGTAGCTTGGCAGCGCTTTTTTTAGTTGCAGGATGAAGACTTGCAACGGCGATGACTATGTTCATATATAGGCCATTCGATGCCTTATATCATCGTCATGCAGGGTTGAAAGCCACTCCACTCAATCCACGCAATGGAATCCACTGGCTTTCTTTCAGTGGATTGGCCAATCCGCTGAATCCACTGTCAGCCGCCGTGGATGGATTAAGAATTGTTCTTCTGTTAGCGATTCCCATATATCCTTCTCCATATCACTAGCAAACAGCCCCGTAGCTCCCCCAAGTTGGTGATGTCCCTACCCTATGCTTCATGGCATCCCATTTTTTGGTATGTCGGGCATCCTTCCTTGTATTTTTACTTTCTTGGCACGCAAGTGTTAAGAAAGTAGCCTATTCTCACATACTTTCGCTTAACAAGTGCTCTTGACAAAACTCCAATTGAGCCGCGCGCAAGCGCCGGCAGCGACCATGGCACCAGCCTCAGGTTCGCATGTCGACTCCAATGCCTCGAGACAAGGCATACGATCGCCGCCAAATCCGGCGGCTCACATATCGCATCTCCGACCTCGCTACCCGACGGAAGCTCGCCGAAACGACTCGTTTCCCGCGGCCCAGCAGCTGGCCCAGTCAATCTCGTCCACCGAAACGCCTGAAGCTGCCGTCACGGAAGGAGCGCAGCTGGAAGAAGCCCCGAATCTCTTCGACTCGGCCCAGCCCACTGAGCACGCGCCAGTCTCAATCCTCGAAGCGGCCACGAAAATTGCTCGCGACAAAACGGCAGCCCATAACGCCAAGCTGGCAGTCTTACGGGTCTTTAGCGAATCATTCGAACAAGCAGCAAAGCAGTTCACGTCTGGCACCGAAAACAGCATCGCCAAGCAAGTCGCCACCAAATTTCTCAAATTCTGGACTCAATCGCTTGCCGAACTCGAAGAACCACCGAAGCCCACGTACAGCAGCGTTCTCGCATCCGGCAAGCCGAAGCAAGGACAGCTGGCCTTTACAGCCTCCGCCCCACCACAGCGAAAACCACAGACCACCACTCGTCTGCCAGGACGACCGCCCGTAGCCCCACCGAAGGAAGACCTCCGTGTCTTCGTCCGACTTGACGCTGACGCTCCGGCCCGAAACCACGAAAGATACGCAATCCGGACCCACATCGCCGCTAGAGTCGGTATTGACCTGCGCCGCATTCCGGCAGCCTTCCCGGTAAACACGGGCTGGGCCATCCAGGCATCGGATGTGGCCACGCGTGACTTACTTGTGCAACGGCAGGCGGAGTGGGCTGCAGACCTGGAAGCCGCGGCCGTAGAGATAAGCCAGAAATGGCATTCGTACGTGGTAGCCGATTGTCCTCGTAGGCTCACAGACCTACGAGGTGTCGTGATCAACTACGAGGAGGCGGTCAAAGAAGAGATTGCCTGCCAAACCGGACTGAAGCCCATCAGCATACGTCTATCGCGACACGACTCGGGTGATATGCCCACCCAGACCCTGATTGTGTCCTTCCTGGAACCCACACGAAGACCCTGGAGACTTTTCGGCGCCAGCCGTCTCGCCCGTTACATTGACAAACCCAGCATCCCTAGCCAATGCGACAAATGCTGGGATTTCCACGCTCGCCACAGCTGCGACCGGATGGCGCGCTGCAGACGTTGCGGCAAGACCAACCATCGTAGCCAAGAGTGCGCAGCCCTAGAGCAGTGCGCAAACTGCCTCGGGCCACATTGCGCTGACGATCCTAAATGCCCTGCCCGCCCCAAGCGCGTTCATGGCATTGTACGGCGCCTGACGAAAGAGGAGAAGGGTCTGGTGAGGCAGGCGGGAGCTCAGCTCTTCGCGCAGCAGAAAAGACAGACACCAAACCACAACGTGCCCGAGCAGTCTTGTCAGAGCCCTGATTCGAGTCAGTTACGTTCTTCGGAGTCGCAGGCAGCTGGAGAGGATGGAAGCTCCGGCAGAAGCGCCACTCCAGAGCGAGCCGCTTCCTCACCCCCTTGCATTGTCGTGGCCACGACGCCGCCGCACGCTAGCGATGACAACCAGTTCACCCCTGTCGTCCCGTCGAAGAAACGACGCACTAGCCCTGTGACGCTGCCCTAATGCATCGCCGTCATCCCAACAATCGAAGCGACAGGAGGGCCTTGCGAGTCTTCCAAGCCAACGTGGGCAAGATCCCTCCGGCGCATGACACTGCGCTCGCGCTGGCTGATTCGGAGCGATACGACATTATCCTGCTGCAGGAACCATGGACAGGACTTAAAGACGGCCGATGCCTCACCAAGACGCATCCGGCCTACGACACATTCTCACCCGTCACCGACTGGGACGGCCGCGACACTCGTCCGAGAGTCATGACATACGTCCGGCGCTCCGCAGGCCTCGTCGCTGATCAAAAGAGACCTGTGGCGACTCGTGACATCCTTTGGCTCACCGTGAACGGGACGACGGTAGTTAACTTCTATCGGCAGCCGGACTACGACGCGGCTTTGGAAATACTGCTTGGCTGGTGCGCGACGGATAAATGCCTTGTATCTGGCGACTTCAACGCCAAGCATCCCAGCTGGCAGGCCGGTCGACAAGAGCACCGCGGTGAAGACATCGCGTTCTGGGCCATGGATAACCGACTCAGCTTATTGAATGCTGTCGATGTCCCGACTAACGCGCGCGGCAGCACGATCGATCTCGCCTTCTCCAATATACCTTTGGCGGACGCGGTTGTTGAGGATCATTTAGCAACCGGGTCCGACCACTTTACCTTAGTATCACGGTGCCTAGTCAAGCCCTAGCACCCTTCCATTATGCAAGATCCGCCTCAACTCCGATGAGGAATTGAAGCGATTTGTCGAGCTGGTAGAAGCCGGTGCAGCTTTCATCCCGACTACAACCTCAACTCCCTCCGAGCTGGACAACTTTGCGTCGGCGCTGGTGGACCTTCTTGGTTGTGCAGCGAGAGCTGCGGGCCGACCCGTCCGTAAGACGACGCATGGGGCGCGGTGGTGGAACGAAGAGTGCGCAAAGGCGGCGGCCAATTATCGCGCGTGGAGGAGGGTGTACCTCTCGGCTTCGACCGAGAAGTGCAGCTAGCCAAGCGGGAGCTTCACAATGCAGTGCGCCGAGCAAAACGCCTTTACTGGCGTGACTTGATCGACAGCTTTGCCGACGGCGACTCCGTCTTTCGGGCGGTCCGCTGGCTAAAATCCTCAGGGCCGTGCCAGGCACCTCCCCTGCAAGTAGACGGCCGAGTGTACGAGACGCAGCTGGAGAAAGCCACCGCCTTGCGGCGAGCAACCCTGGAGCGGCGCACAGCGAGCGACGACATCCCAGACCCGTGGATTCCCGTGAACACGGATAAGATGATTCCCTTTCCCAATCAGGTCTCCTTCGAGGAGGCTCGCGACGCCACTCTACGCACCGGGAACACGTCTCCAGGCTCGGACAACATCACGGTGCGGATGCTTCGCGCTGTCTGGCATGCAATCGGCAGTCTCGTCCATCAGCTGTATCAAGGCTGCCTCACCATTGGTCACCATCCGAAACCTTTTCGGGAGGCAGAAGTGGTTATGATCGCCAAGCTAGGACGCAGAGATCTGTCTACACCCCGCGCCTGGCGCCCCATCTCCTTTTGTCTTGTCTCGGCAAGGGCCTCGAGCGGCTCATTGCACGGCGTCTAGCGTGGGCTCAATCCACTTCGGCGTACTACACCCACAACAAGCCGGCGCGCTCCCGAAGAGGTCGGCCGTGGATCTCGTAGCTGCCTTGGTTCACGACATCGAGGAGGCATTCGCCCGGAAGCAAGTCGCAACCCTGGTGACCTTGGATATACAAGGCGCCTTCGATACAGTTCTCTGCAATAGATTGGTCCTCCGCTTACGAGAACAAGGATGGCCATCGAACCTCGCGCGCTGGGCCGGCTCGTTCATGCAGGACAGATCGGCACGCATCCGCTATCAAGACATCGTGACGGATTCATCGCCCTCCAGTGCGGTCTGCCGCAGGGTCGCCCGTCTCGCCGATCCTCTTCCTGTTGTACACGGAGCCGATATATCGCCTAGGTCACTCTCAGGGACGCTTCGGCTACGCGGACGACACTGCCATTCTATGCGTCGGTAATAGCCTTGATGAAACGACCGCCGAAGCATCTCACCATGTACGTGAGCTTCTTTCGTGGGGCGCCGCTAACGGGATCTCTTTCGACCCCGACAAGACAGAAGTGATGCACTTCTCTCGAACGAAGCCCAAGACGGCGCCGCCGGTGCTCCACGGCGAGTTTGAGAAACGGCCGGATCGAGCGATGCGTTGGCTCGGCGTTTGGCTCGACAGCTCTCTCTCTTTCAAGACACACGTCGAGAAATGGACGGCCAAGGCGCAAGCTGTTGCCTTTCATCTTAGGAGACTGACGAACACGAAACATGGCCTCTGCCGAGTGCTATGCGACGAGCCGTCTGCGCTTGCGTCATCCCCGTGCTACTGTACGCGGCGGAGGCCTGGTACCCTGGTCCGAAAAGCCCGCGCTGGACGAAGCCTTCCAAGGAGGGGCCGTCGGGGATTGGCAACCTCGTCAAGAAGATGAGCAAGGCACTCTACACGTCTCTTCGGGCTATTCTGCCAGTGTGGAGGACGACACCGACGAACGTGCTGCACAGGGAGGCGGGAATACCGCCCGTTCCTCTACTCCTCGAAGGGCGTCGGACGGCCTTTGCTGCGCGCCTTAAAGCTCTCGACGAAGCTCACCCGCTCGTCCAGCGCACGTCGCGACCAAAAGCTCCCGTCGTGACCGTGAACAAACTTATCAAGTTGAAGTACCAGAAACAGCCACAGCCCTTCCGTACCAGACTGCGGCGAGCCGACGAAATGCTATCGAGCTGCCCGAGACCTGCTTTACTGCAGCGCGGATTTGCCGAAGAGCAGACTGCGCCTCTGCAGAGTGCATCGAAACACGAGACGGCGAAAAAATTTCGCGACTGGCTTCAGGCACTATCGCCCCGAACTCTTGTCGTCTACTCCGACGGGTCTCGTTCTGAGGAAGGCCACATCGGATACGGCTATGCTGTTCACCGGGACGGATCCACCGTCTTGAGCGGCAAGGGCCGTCTTGGAACAGCTGAGGTTTTCGACGCTGAGGCGAAAGGTGCATTGGAGGGGTTGAAGGCAGCGGTGAGCCTTCCAGAAACTGACCGCATCTTTGTCTGCCTCGACAACCTCGCGACCGCAACATGCTTACGGGGCACGCCGAACGACTCCTCGCAAGAGGTCTTCCTTGAGTTCCAATCTTTGGCGCGAAAATACGGAGCTGTGGAGGTCCATTGGATCCCCGGCCATGCTGACATCCCAGGCAACGAGGAGGCTGATGCTCTGGCAAAGGCGGGAGCATCACTGCCAGAACCCGCTGATGGCGAACCGACGCTAGCGCATCTGCGAAAAATTGCCCGACTGCAGCGGAAAGAGGCTTTCAGTGCCTGGTGGGAAACCTCTGCGCCGGAGCGATACAGAGACCTGAGGCTTAAAGCCACAACCAGCTGTCCGTCAGAATTGGCGCTCTCTCGGCCCCTGCTTCATAACTTGCTTGCAGCAAGAACCCACCATGGGGATTTTGCTGACTACCACGAAAGGTTTGGTCACGACGATGCGCGACTGACGTGCTCGTGCGGACGACGAAAGAGCCAGCACACATCTTTTACTGCAGAAAGGTTGCGCCACGGCATCGTATGCGGCTTGCACCTTGGCCGGCTGCAGCCATCAACCGCGCAATCGGCAAGGACTTTGACAAATTCGACAGGCTGGCGACAGCGAGCTCCTTCTTCGGAGGGATCTGCCCACGCCACTAGACGGTCATCATTCTCCTCTCACCCTACCTTTCCTCTCAATTCTTTCTGTTACCTGCTCCGATCTCGGGCGGCGTCAAGGTCTCACGACCATGCGATCGCCGAGGTCATCAAGGGCTGCAAGGCCCCAGAAGCAAATTGGCTGATCTGACCACGGGACAGCTTTCTCTTCGTGCCTGGACGTCCCGCTGACGGGCAACAGGTTTGTCATGAGCGCCGTTGAGCCGATGAAATGCTGGATAGTGGGTGAAGTGTACGATATGTAGCATGTAGACACCTGCTAGCTCAGCACGTCCTGTGCTCCCCTGCGGAGACCTGAGCGACCAAAAGTTGCTGGACGGAAAATACACTAAACTAAACTAAACTAAAACAACTACAGCATGGCCACTTGCAACGTTTCCGTGGAGTTCTGGTGCGAATTCGGGGCCACGGAGCTGAAGTACAAGCATAGCATCCCGAAGACGCTCGTGACGCAGGTAGGCCAGGCGAGGCCGAACCACGCAGCCAGTGCACTGTTCCTACAGTGGATAAGGCCGATCCTACGGGAGCACGAGGCAGCGTGTCGGAAGGCAGCAGGGTGCGCTGCGAGAGCTGCGGCGGACTCGCAAAGGAGATTCTACAGAGCCCGATATCGTACCTACACGCAGAGAGGCCGTTTGTGCTCGTGGTCGTGTCGTCGTTCTGCGGCAAAGAAGGATGCGAAATTAGGACGAGGCAGGAAATGCAGGACACGATGGCAGAGGCGGGGCAGGCGGGCGGAAACAAGGGCGCGACGCAAGGGGCAGGATGCGCAGAGCACAGAGGGGAAGGTCTGCCGGGTTTGTGGAGAGATGGCGGGGGCGAGGAGGTGCAGCCGATGCCTGACGGTGGCGTACTGCAGCAGGCAACACCAAAAGGAGGACTGGAAGGTGCACAAGAAGGGATGCAAGCCAAAGGCAAGCTAGGAGCTAGGGAGAGGAGGAAGGAAAGTAAAGGGACAAGGCATAACGCGCAGGACATAAACAAGGTCACGGAGAACAAATAGAGGCAGGCACTATCGTAAGAAATAGGTCGCAAGCTAAAGTTGTTGTTTCAAAAAGAGATAAACGTTGTAATGTGTAGAGTAATGGTAATTTTGCAGCGATAAGTTTCGTTAGGAATAGCATCTCGAGAGGGAGAACGGTTTATTTTAGTAAAGGCAAGAGGCGTAAGAGAGCGATAGGTTTATAGTAGGCAGCTCATTTCTGCATGCGATAGCGGATAGGTCGAGCGGGCGGGTCGGAGGTGCTCGCGACAATAGAGTCAAGAGGAACCCGGCTTGGCTGCCGGAGCGGAACGGGCGGGACGCCGCTCGGTCGAGACGAAGAAGCGGCCGGCGGGGAGAGGAGGAGGGCGGCGGAGCTGACGGTGTCCGAAGACGAGGAAGGCGGCGAATTCTGCTGCTGCAGCAAGCGCGCCCTCTTCATGGGCGTATCGGCAAGGGCCGGGTGGGAGCGCTTAGGCGGTGGTGTGACGGGGTCGAGGGCGGTCGGGGCCGAGGCCAAGGAAGGGGAGCCGACGCAGCCGAGGCCGGCGCAGCAACGGAGTACAAGGCGGCGCGGACGGAATCAAAGGTAGAGGAGGCGGATAGGGTCTGACGTTTAGGGCGTAGCAAGGGGGGAAGCCGAGGCGGAGGCGGCCGCCGAGGGCCTGTCGACAAAGTTCCAGCTGTCCGGGACGACGATAAAGACGTAATCGCGCTCTGAGCCCGGGGGGCAGAGCATAAGACGGTGGTCGAGAAGGCCGACGACCTTTCCAGTGCAGGTAAAGGGGACGCCGGGCAGGAAGGAAGAGTTAGGCCTTTCAGCAATTTTCTTGCATAGCACGGCCCAAGGGTTAGCATAGATGGGAAAGATAACAAAGACCTGGAAGGGGTGGTAGCCCTTAAAGGAATCCGGTCCGGCAGGCCAGGGTGATGTAGGTAGTGAGCCGGACGAAGCCGCAGCAGCGGAGCTGGTCGGGCCCGAGACCTGGCAGGAAGTCTCCACGCAGGAGGTCAAGGCCAGGCCCGGCGATGACGCCATGGAAGGAGACAACAGGAGGCGTAGACGGGAACTGGCCGCCAGAGGCCAAGGAGCGTGGGAGGACGCTAGGGAGAGAAGTCAGCGAGGCGGCCGGTGAAGGGCAAAAAAAAAGAAGGGGGGGCGCACGGCTGGTAGCCTTGGTCGCGGACGATAAGGGCGGGCACTGTGTAGAGGACGGTATCGTCTGGGCCGGCCTCAAGACCGTCGCGGCGCTCCACCTCCCAGGCGAGGGCGTAGGGGTGAACGCGGCCGCTCATAAAGAACCATTGCTCGGACCAGTCCGTGTCGACGATTGGCTGGCCGTAGATAGAGAGGTTTAGGCTAAAGAAGAGAGAGGGGCCCAGGTCGTCGCCCTCGGCCCGGAGGGGTGCGTAGTCGGCCTCGAGCAGCCACGAGGGCACCGGCAGGAGGACGCGGGCGATAGCCTCAGCGTTGAGGCCCCTAATGCGGTGCTCGTCGTGGTGGGCGAACCTCGCGGGGCAGTCGGACTGGGCGAAGAACATCATGGACATATCGCTGCCCGCGCCCTTGCTAGAGCCAAGGGGCTTGCGGAGGTGCGGGGCAGAGCTGTCCGCCGACGGAGACGAAGACATGGCTCGGCCGTGTAGTAAAGAGCAACGTTGCTGGGGCAAAGCTAAAAGCGGCGAGGAAGATAGGCAGGGGCGCTCCTACCTATATACCGTCTTACGAGTTTAGTGTAAAGAGAAGGGCCAGTGGCGATGGTGTGTAAGAGAAGTCAAAGGATTCTAAACAAAGACGCAACATGGCGTTAGTGGTAGGTTATATAAGGAGCCTTTGTAAAGAGGGTTATAAGATGCGTATAGAGGAGAGTGCAATAAGAGAAGGGAGAACTTTAAAAGGCGGTCTAGTAAGATGTTGAGAGTTTTTAAGACAAGCAGGACGCGCGAAGCTATATTTGAGGAGTAGCAGGCAGCCCTATTCGCAACACGTGTAAGACATGGTTTTAAACTTCAGCGGGCAAGTGTCTAGGGGCATACGGAAGCTTTGACTGATAAGAGCTGGATGACAAGAAGGAAAAGCGTAGCATGCAAAGCATAGGCAAGAAGAAGCCGTCGCGGCGACGTACATATAAGGATCGGCCGAGGCCGTCTAGCCTATCGCATATAGCAGCAGGCAATGGCGGGCGGGCTTAATAGAAAGGCGGCGCCGGTATAATGCAAAGAGCAGCAGCACGCAAATAGATATAGTAGAGAGCTACGAGTAAGATATATAGACTTTTGTAGAGGATCCTATATGCGCAAGAGGGTGCCAGTCAGCAAGATAAGTGCAGGGCGAATAATCGAGGCAAGGATTTATACGCTGTTATTACACTTACGAGGATTTACGCCAGGGGCCTAGTGGCACCATAAGTAGGCAGGGCCAAAGAGGGCAGGTGCAAAAGAGGAAGACAAGACGTCCGTGGGGGCTTTGGTAGACCGGTGTCGCAATGAAGCCAGCCAACGGAAGGGACCAGTCCGGAGCGGGGGACGGGGCAAGCCCGGCGCCAGAAGCCTGCGCAGCGCCGTACACAGGACCAGAGTTCCAGCCGACCACAGCAGCGCCGGCACTTGCTAGCGGCGCCCTCGAGAGAGCAAGAAGAGGCGTCAAGGAGGCGCCTCCGAGGCGAGGGCGGGAAGACCGCCAGGACTAGGAGATGGAGGATCAGCGCAGGCCGAGTCATGCCGCGGGATATCCAGCCTCGGCCGACACCAAGCGCGGCGGCAACTTGGCTGCCGCCGACACCGAGGGCGGCAGGGCACTGGCTGCCGCAAGGCGTGCCCAGCGCCGTCTCGGCCTCAGGAAAAGCCAGCGCGCACCAAGAGAAATCCGGCCTCTGCCGACAGTAGAGGCCGCCGGTCCTCGCCGCCGCCGACGAGAAGTTCGGACGTTCCGCGGGACATTCGGCCACAGCCGACATGGAGGGCCGCCGGCCCTTCGCCGCCGACGAGAAGTTCGGACGCGCCGGGATATCCAGGCTCTGTCGACACCGACGGCGGCAGGGCGCCGGCTGCCGCAAGGCGGGCCTAGCGCCGTCTCGGCCTCAGGAAAAGCCAGCGCGCACCGAGGGAAATCCGGCCTCTGCCGACGGTGGAGGCCGCCGGGCCTCGCCGCCGCCGACGAGAAGTTCGGACGTTCCGCGGGATATTCGGCCACAACCGACTTGGAGGGCCGCCGGCCCTTCGCCGCCGTCAAGCGGGACTAGCTCGGCCGTAGTCTCGATCGGAAGCCAGCACTCGCCGCGAGCCATCCAGTCCCGGCCGGCCAGCAGGGCCGAGATCCCCGCCACAACTCCGGCCGCAGCCGGGCTGCTTGTTGGCGGCAGAGATAGCGCCTCGGCAGGTACGGTCGTAGAGCGAGGTAAAGGCGTGTAGCGGTGATAGCTAACCGGACGCAGGTAGATCGGCGATAAGACGGCAGGCGAGGGAAGAGCAGAAGAGGAAACGCCATCTTAGTAGTGGGCAGGCCGAGCGGAAACGCGCCCGGGTCGGTGAAAGGGTGCCGAGACCAAGGGAGCTGCAGGCCGAGGACCTAGCCAGCGCGCTGCGGCACCTCGACGAGGAGTTCGAGGCGGGCGAGAGGCTGGCTCACGAGCAGACGTGGTGTGCGCCGGTGCCGCGCGAGAGGCAGGTGAGGACGGTGCGGAAGTTCTACCGGGCGTTCCACGACGCTGGCACGCTGCCGATCGCGACCTGCACGCTATGCTACCGGAAGCGGGCCAAGGGGGAGCTGAGGGGAGGGCGTGGGGGGGGGGGGGGGGGGTCGCGGAGCGGTGTTGCGGGGGGCGGGCGGTCCCCGTTCGGGTGCCAAGCCTGCTTCCCGGAGGGCAGGCCGGTGGCGGTCTGCGCAGAGTGCGCGCGATGGGCCGGGCGTGAGGGGGCGTCGCCGGCCATGCACCTCCATGGGCGGCTCGGCTGCGAGCACGCGTACCCCGACGAGCTAAAGGACCTCACGCCGCTCGAGGAGAAGCTCATCTCGCTCAACTCGTGCTACGGCTTCGTGACGAAGTATAGCATCCCCGGCGGCCAGAGGCAGAGCGTGAGGTACCCGAGGCACGTCAAGGGCCATATCACGGTGTTCCCGAACGACGTGCAGGGCCTGGCTGCCAAGGTGCTCCCGCACCCGCTGGTCCGGGTCATGGACGAGATCCACGTCTCGTGGCAGGGCGCTGAGAGGCCCGGGCCGCGGGACCTATCAGGCCTGCTGTCGGTAAGGCGGTCGGCGGTCGAGAGGGCGCTGGCCTGGCTCAAGGAGAACAACCCGCTCTACGGCGAGGTCGAGATCGACGCGGCGGAGATAGCCAGCTGGGGCGCCGCCGCACGGGGTGCCGCCGGTGGTGTGCGAGCGGCTGGAGCGAAACGAGCCGTCGGCGCGGGAGAGGACGCAGACGGCGCAGGTGGTGCCGCCGTCGGAGCGGGCCATGGACGACGGAGGCGCGGCCGAGATCGAGGAGGTCCTCGCGATGCTAAGGCAGGGCCAGGACCCCGCCGAGGGGAGCCGCGACGTCGGGCTCACGTGCGAGGACGACGACAGGGACGGCGCTAGGCCCGAAGAGGACGGGGACGTAATCAATGAGGTAACGTCTTCCGGCATGTTCCCGTTAGATGGGGCGCCAGATGTGGCCGACGCCGAGAAGATTCGCTTCGCCGCGACGCGGTCGGGCCCGAGGAGCGCGCGCCAGCCCGAGGACGTGGGTAGGGACGGCGGCCAGAGGGGCGTCGGGCGACGGCGGCGACGGCGAGCCGTACATACAGGTGCGACGCGGCGAGGATTTCGCCGACTCGGCGGACGCCTCCTTCTTTGCAAAGGCCTTTCCGACCCTGTTCCCCTTTGGCTTAGGCGGGCCGAGGCTCGCCGACGAGGACGCCGCGGGAGAGAGCGCGGGCCCTAGCGTCGGGAACCAGGGCGCCCAGGCGGAGCGGGTTGCAGAGGGCCTTATGTCGACGCGGAACATGAAGCTCCAGGCATGGGCCGACGTCGTGCTGCGGCGTCACGGCGGCCGGTTCGCGACGCACCTATCTTCGCCTTCCTTGTCTTTAACATGGGCGTGCGGTCTAAGAACCGCCAGGCCAGCATGCTAGGCGTAGCGAGGAAGAACTTCGCAAGGGTCGAGGGCCTACTAAAGTCGTTAACGGCGCAGAGGCTCGAGGCGGCCAGGGCCGAGCTCGAGGCCACAGGTAAGACTAGCGACGACGGGGTAAAAGAGCTCCTCCGGTCCCTCTCCGTGTTCGGCTACCGGCAGCCAATGTCGAGGGAGAGCCGCCTTAGTATGCGGAAGAAGATACTATCCCTCATCGTTAGGTACGGGGTGCCGGCTATCTGGTTCACGCTGAACCCGAACGACATTACGAACCTAGTAAAGTTACGGCTAGCGGCGCACCGCGGCCGCGACCCCGACGAGGCCGAGGCCTTCCTAAGTGACCTAGGGACCGCGTATAAGCGGACGCGGCTGGCCATATCGGACCCGATGAGCTCGGCCGTCTTCTTCCACCGGGAGATGACGCTCTTCTTCGAGCACTACGTCAACGTCGGGGAGGAGTCGGTGTTCGGCCACGTCGGCGCATACTACGGGGCGGTAGAGACCAACGAGCGAGGCGCCCTCCACATCCACGGGCTCCTCTGGCTAAGGGGCAACGCGGGCATTGGCGACGCGCTCGCCGGCCCGGACGCGGAGGAGCAGGCGGCGTACCGGGAGCGCATCGTCCGCTACGTAGATAGCGTCTTCTCTGAGGTAAGGCGGCCGCCTTAACACAAACCCCCCCCCCCCGATGCCCCCTATCTGGGGCAGGCTGAGGGGCCTAAGCTGAACCGAGGCCGCAGGAGCTAGACGCAGAAGGTTACTGTGCCATGCAGGCAGAGCGGTCGGCCACGGCGGACATATCGTCGCGGCTCGACGACGTCGCGCGCTTCACGGACACCTTCGACGAGGAGGCCAACTTCTGCGCGGGCGCGACGCAGATCCATACGCATAGCGCGACCTGCGTAAAATACTCGCTCGGCGTGGGGGCGCGGAAGGGGGACCTCTGCCGGTTTAAGGCGCCGTGGAGGTTGGTGGAGAGGACGGCGCTGACGGCGGACGGGGTGCTCGAGATCCGGCGGACGCATAGCATGGTGAACCGGTGGAACAGGGCGATGGCAGTGGGGCTACGACACAACCACGACATCTCGTTCATCGCGACGCAGCGCAAGACCATGGCCCTAATCTACTATATTACTAACTATGCGACGAAGGTAGAGGACCCGGTGTGGAAGCGTGTGGCCGCCGCGGCCGAGTTCCTTCCTGTGCTAGAGCCGACGGGAGAGGGCAACAGAAGTGGCGCCGACCGCGACGCCGGCCGGGAGGGCGGGGCCGAAGGGTAGCGACGGCGGCGGACCCCGTAGGGGAATAAGACGAGAACGTTCCTGCTTAAGGCGGCGAATCGAGTCTTTACGGAGCGGCCGCTGTCGCAGGTCGAGGTGATCGCGCACCTCCTAGGGTACCCGGCGGAGTTTAGCAGCGGCTCAGCGTGGGCGTATATAAACGCAAACCAGCTCTACTGGGCCGTCTTCCGCCGGTGGCGGCACCTCCGACGGGCGAGCGGCGCCGAGGCGACGGGCGACGCGCCGGACGAGACGGTCGTCGTCGAGGAGGCTGGCCTGAGGATCCTCTCGTCGAGGCCTACCGGCACCGGGCGAGCTCCTGCGGGCCTCTGCCTTTATGACTACGCATCGCTTGTAAGGTTAAAGCAAAACGGCAGCGGCGCCGACGGTATGGCGGGCTGGGGTGAGGTACCCTTCGCGGAGAGCTGGGCGTCGGGGAAGGGCTGGGTGCAGGCGCTTAGGCGGCCGGGTTGCGGGGCGACTGTATGCGTCGACGGATACCTCAGCAAGGAGTTCAGCGAGGAAGACGACGAGTCGTGCCACCGGAGGTGCGTACTATAAGACGGGGGGCGCCTAAGAGGAAGGCAGAGCAGCTAGGGGCATCGGCTAACAGCATCTAGGGCGGCGGTGCAGCACCTGGCCCTATTCGTGCCGTGGGAGTCCTTCCTCGGCGAGGAGGCAGGCGACATTAACAACATCTGGGCACGGGCGCAGAGTCGCTGGCGCCGAGGGTCGCGCGGCTCGCAGACAACGTGCAGCTCCTCCGGCGGTCGGCGGAGGACGCGAAGCGCGACGCCAAGCAGTGGGCCGCCACGGCCGAGGAGGGCGGTATGACGGCGCCGCAGGCCGACGACGAAGGCAGGGGGCGGCCGAAGGGGCGAGGAGGCATACCGCGCCGGCGGGGCGGGCGACGCGGCTCGGCTCATCGACGTCGTCCGGAACGCCGCCAGCGCGGGACAAGTCACGGCGCAGTCAACAGAGCTGCTAGCGATGACGCAGCAGCTCTGCCGGTTCCAGCAGTCGGCGCTCGGGTCGGCGGCCGAGCTCGCGGCGACGGTGGTGGCGGACGAGAGGGCAGGCAGGCGGGTGAACCTACCGGGCTCGGCGCTGTCGGGGGCGGCACTGCCGCGGCAAGAAGAGGTGCGGGCCATCAAGTCGCAGCAGAGGAGCGCGGCGCGGAGCGGGAGCGGGCGATCCAGGGCATCCAGGGCGGCGGGCGGCGGCGGGCGTCGGGGCCGACGCGGCGCGGCCCTTCGCGGGGTGATGGGGGGCTTCGGCGAGGACGACATCGACGTAACGGCGGCCGACGGCGACGCAGACGCAGGCACGGCGGCGGGGGTGCGCGTGCGGCTCGGCCCGTCGAGCTCGTTCGTCGCCCCCGGCAGGAGCTGGCGGGCCAGCTCACGCTCAACGAGAAGCAGGCCATCGCCCTCCTAATCGTGTGCCGGCAACTCGACCGAATCCGGCGGGGCGACGACGCAGGCGGCGACGGTGGTGGCCAGCTCTGCCTATTCATCGGCGGCGAGGGCGGCACCGGCAAGTCGCGCGTCATCGAGGCGCTCGTCGAGCTGCTCGCCCGGAGGGACCTATCGAGCCGGGTACTGGTTACGGCGACGTCGGGGATGGCGGCAGCGCGGATCAACGGCATCACGCTGCACTCGGCCTGCGGCCTTACGGTCGGCCAGGGCGGCCGGGCGGAGGGGCGACGAGGACATTGACGGCGTACGGCTGGCGGGCCAGGGCGAGCGCTTCGTCGACGGCCGGTCGCGGATGGACTGGCAGGAGAAGGAGGTGCTGGTGATCGACGAGGTCAGCATGCTCGGGGCGCGGACGCTGCACGCCGCCAACGAGCAGCTCTGCCGGCTGCGGGGGTCGGCGCGGGACTTCGGCGGCATCCCGGTAGTGATCCTCTGCGGCGACTTCCACCAGTTCCGGCCGGTGCAGGAACGGTCGATCCTGCTGCCGAGCGCGGCGGTGGCGTGGGACGAGGACGGGGCGTTCGCGGCCGAGCAGCGGCGGCAGCACGACAAGGCGCACGCGCTGTGGCGGCGCTTCACGACGGTCGTCATGCTAGACGAGCAGATGCGGGCCGCCGGCGACCCGGAGCTGCGGCGGCTGCTCGGGCGGATCCGCCGGGGCGAGCAGGACCGGTCGGACCTAGAGCTGCTCAACTCGAGATGCTACCGGCCGGGCAGGCGGATCCCGTGGGAGACGGGCCTGACGGTGGTGACGCCGCTCAACCGGAACCGCTGGAACCTCAACCTAGAGGCGGCGCTCGCGTTCCGGGAGAGGCGGCGGACGGCGGCGCGCGTCTTCCTCTCCGAGCATAAGTGGAGGGACGGCGTGCCGACGGAAGAGGAGGCGGTGCTAATGCTAGGCCAGGGCGACGACAGCGCGACCCCGGTGCCGGCCGTCTTCCTCTTCGTGCCAGGCATGCCGGTCGTCGTGAACCAGAACACGCACCAGGGGCTAAAGCTTGTGAACGGGGCCGGGTACACGGCGGTGGACGTCATCCCCGACCGCGCCTTCCCCGGCCACCGCGTCTCGGCGGAGCTCATCATGCACTTCGGCCGCCGGCGGGCATCGTGCTGGCCTCGGAGACGACCAAGGACTTCCACTTCGTCGGGATGCCTGCCGGGACGATCCTGCTAACGCCCATCAGCGTCAAGATCACAGCGCAGCGGAAGCGGCCATGGCAGCGCAACGACGTCAGCCGGAGGGCCTGCCGTGCGCCGCGGCCTTCGCCTGCACCGACTATAAGGTGCAGGGCGGGACGCCAGAGCGCGTGGCGCTGGAGCTGCGGGGGCGAGGATGACGACGGTCGAGGGAGGGCGGTGCCGTCGTCGTGCGACCCGTATAGCCTATACGTGCAGCTGTCGCGGTGCCCGACGCTCGACGGCATCATGCTCGTATCAGAGGTGCGGAGCGGGACCTAGTGGGGAACCGGGTGCCTGAGGAGATGACGGCAGCGCAGGCCCGGCTAGAGGAGCTTAGCAGGCAGACAACACAGGAGGCGGCCGACTGGCTCCGCAGGTAACGCAGGCGCCCTGCATTTTCCACACTTCTGACGTAAAAGGAGTGTAGGTTAAGGGCCAGGAGGACGGGCGAAGGGGGTGGTCTGTGGAGGCGTGTGGTCTATGGCGGAGTTAGAAGCCGGGCCGGCTTGGGCACCTTCCTCTATGTGGTCTGCGGCGGCGTATGGTCTACGGAGGCGTTGGAAGCGAACTGCGCAGCTGGAACTAAAAGGGGCAGCAAGGGCAGGGCATTATGCATTTTTATTTATTAACGAATGAAAAGCGAGAACATCGACGAATCAAAAGCGAGAAAAGAACAACTGACGAATCAAAAGCGAGAACGCCAGCGAATCAGAGGGCGGCATTTGCGGGGGGGAAATCGATGGCGAATTTTTTTTCTCCCCGGGGAGGAACCCTAAGAACCTTTCGTCACTCGTTCCTCGTTCCTCAAGGCAAAACGTCTAGACAAGGGGCAGACAGATGTACAGAGGCAGAAAGGTAACGACGACCAAGGGGCAGCCAGGCTGGACGAAAAACACTTCCCATTTAAGGAGTTATAGCAGCGTACGCTATTCCATTTCCGTAGCTTTCTTAGATAGGTGGCGGTTTCGAAGCGGACGGGCCGGCGAGCCCAAGCCATGGGCGACAATGGAATCGAGGGAAGAGTCCCGTAAGTCAGGACCCGGCTTAGGTTGTCCGGCTCATGAGCGGCGGAGGCAGCCGAAACAGAGAACGAGTGGGTAGCAGAGGAGGCGGGCTTAGGGAAGACGAGATCACCGGGGCCTTATGCAGCAGACACGGTCGCTTCGTCGGCGTATCGGCAGGCTCAGGGCAATATCGTTTCCCGGGCGGCGTAAGGTGGCCGGTCGAGGGCGAAGCCGAAGCCAAGGGTGGAGGACTGAGCGGGAGGGTGCCAGGGGTGATCAAAGACAAAGAGGCAGCGCGCACGTCCCGGAAGGCCGCGGAAGCGGAGGAAGCTTGTTGCCTCTGTGGCGTAGAGAGAAGCGGTGCCATCGTGGTGACGGCGGCGGCGGCCTTGTCGAGAAAAGTCCAGGAATCCGGGACGACGATAAAGACGTTGTCCCGGTCCGAGCCAGGGGTAGAGCATGACATCATGACGGAGCAGGCCAGCGACCTTGCCTGTGCAGGTAAAGGGACGTTAGGCTGAAATTGAGAGTCCTGCCTCTCGGCCATCTTCCTACACAAGATGGCCCAGGGTTAGCGCGAACAGGGAAGATAACGAAGACCTGGAACGGGTGGAAGCCCTTGAAGGGGACCTTATTAGGCATCCCAGGAGCGACATAGGTAGAAAGGCGGACAAATCCGCAACAGTTAAGTTGGGCGGCGCCTGGACCGGGCAGTAGGTCCCGCCGCAGCGAGGAGTGGCCGGTGCCGACGATAAGGCCGGTAAAGGAAACAATAGGCGGGATGCAGGAAGTCGCCCATGGAGGCAAAGAGCCTAGGAGAACACTTCAAGCCCATCTTAGCCATATACCGTTTCGTCGGCACTCGCGAAGGGTCAGGGCACGGCTTACGGCTGGTAGCCCTGATCGCGGACGACAAGGGCGGGCATCGTATAGAGAAAGGTGCGGCCCGTGTCAGACTCGAGGCCGTCGCGTTGCTCAACCTCCCATGCGAGCGCGTAGGGGTGGACGCGGGCATGCATGAAAACCACTCTTCGGTCCAGTCGGAGGATCAATAGGCTGGCCGTAGATGGAGAGGTTGAGGCTAAAAAAGACGGATGTCGGGGAATCATCGGCATCCGATCGGAGGGGCGCATATTCCGTCGCGAGCAGCCAGGCGGGAGGAGGCAGGAAGACGCGGGCCATGGCCTCGGCGTTAAGACCCTGATGCGGTGGTCGTCCTGGTGGGAAAATCTAGCAGGACAGTCCGGCTGGACAAAAGACATCATAGACATCTCACCGCCAGCGCCCCTTTGGCTATCGAGCGGCTTTCGAAGGTGCGGTGCGGGCATATCGGTACGAAGTAGAGAGGAAGACATAGTGCATCTGCGCAGGTCGATAGGCCACTTGCACGCACTAAAGGACGGGTTCTCAGCGTCAAGAAAGGAGTAGGAAGAAGTCGAGCGTAGACGCACTTATAGTAGATCAATAGTGGTATGGATTCGCCGGGAAGAGCGAGGAGCCTTGCCGCTGTAAGTAAGCAGACGTCAAAGAGATGCGTCGTGGTGTTGCGGAGCTGGGTACTGATCGGGCAGCAAGGGCGACGCGGATTAAAGTGTCCGGCAGGGCTACCGGCATAGGATGGCGAAAACTAGGGCTGTCGGCAGATAGGCCTGTCGATAGGTACAAAGGAAGCCCGGCAGGTCCGAGAGAGGAGAGGTCTAATGCAGAAAGGGGATATTAACAAGGAAGGATATAACCGTTAGCAAGAAGAATGCCAACGCGGCGGAACGCCATTGCCAGGAAGCGAGACAATCTCGGGTATATCCCGGGCGAAGGCTTCCTAATCTATCGTTCGTTTGCGGAGCCTTGCCGATAAGACAGCACCAGCATGGGGAGAATCGTAGCCGCGAGGTAAGATCGGTGGCAGGAGAGTGCGAACGGGGACAGCAGCAGCGGCCGCTGCTGCGACGAGTATCGCGGCGGCGAGACCGATCGCAATGGACGAAGGGCCGAAGCGGGCGTCGGGCCACAAAAGTCAAGGAAACGCGGCACCCAGGTTCCGGCCTATTGAGGCCAAGCCGGCCGCGGCGGCCGACGATGCCTCACGAAGAGAGCAGGCAGAGGCACTCAAAAGAGCGTTGCCCAAGGGAAGTCGGCGAGGCGGCTGGCCGCGGAAAAGGACGACTAACGTCGATAGTTCCTCCTCGAAGGAGGGCTCGTGGAGGGCGTCCAGAGGCACGTCTGGAAGGCGAAGCCGTGGTGCGCGGACAGGGCCAATGGGCTCCGAGGGACACCTGCCGCCCAGGAGGACAGGATCGGCCGGCAAGCCCTGTCGGGAACTCGCCTAGAGTCGTCAGGAGCTTCTGGTTCGGCCAATCCGACCTCAAGAGATGGATGATGGCGCAGGAGATACGCAGTCATCCGGACGGTGGCCACCGCCGCCATCACGCCAGAAAGGACAGGGTCGGCCGGCAAACAGTGTCGGGATTTCGTCTACAGCCGTCAGGAGCGCCTCATTCGGCCAATCCAACCTAGAGCAATAGAAGATAGAGCGGGAGATATACAGTCATCCGGATGCCAGGCGGGACAGGATTGGCCGGCAACCGCTGTCACGATGTCGTCTGGAGTCGTCAGGAGCCCTCGTTCAGCCAACCCAACCCAGAGAGATGCAAGGCAGGGCAGGAGATACGCAGTCATCCGGATGGTTGCCACCACGGCCATCACGCCAGGCGGCGGCGGGAGAACAAGATCGGCCGTGGCGAGACGAGGCAGCGGAAAGATCCTCGCAGGCCGTAGAACAGAGAAAGAGGAACCGCCAGCGTGACCGAGACCAGACCCCGACGAAACGTACTCGAGGAAGCCATCCGAGGCAGAGGAGGAGTGAGCTGCAGGCAGAGGATTTGGCCAGTGTCTTGCTTTACCTCGAAGGGAATTCGTCGCGAAGGAAAGGCTGTCTAAGGAGCAAACCTGGTGCACACCAATACCGCATGAGAGGAAGGTATCGACGGTGCGAAAGTTTTATCGGGCGTTCCACGATGTGAGCACCTTGCCGATAATGACCTGCAGGCTGTGTTACCGCAAGCGTACAAGGAAGGAGTTGAGGAGATTCCGTGGGATCAGTGGCTATCAAGTCCCGTTCCTCGGGGTGAGCGCTCACCATTTGCGTGCCGAAGCTGCTTTCCCGGGGGTGAGCCCGTCTCGGTTTGTGTGGAGTGTGCCCGATGCTTGGGGCGCGGGAGCCTGTCGTCGGCGGTCCACCTTCACAGTCGCCTCGGATGCGAGCACATGTTCCCCGACGAGCTGAAGGGGCTGACGCCGGTCGAAGAGAAGCTCATCTCGTTGAACTCGTGTTACGGCTTTGTGACGAGGTATAACATTCCGGGCGGGCAGACGCAGGCAGTGAGGTATCCGAGACATGTCAAGGGCCACATCACGGTGTTTCCAAACAACGTGCAGGAGCTGGCGAGAAGGGTGCTCCCGCACCCGCTCTGGCAAACAATGGACGAGATCCACGTCTCGTGGCAGGGCGCGGAGAAGCCAGCACCGTGCGACTTATCGGGTCTCTTGTCGGTGAGGCGTCAAGTCGTCGAGAGAGCGCTTATCTGGTTGAAGAAGAATAACCCCCATTACGCCGATATTGAGATTGATAGGGCGGAAATGGATAGCTGGGGAACACCATCACACGGTGTGCCGCGGGTGGTCTACGACCGCATGGAGCGGAACGAGCCGTCTGCGTGGGAGAAGACGCGAACGGCGCAGGTCGTGCCGCCCGCAGAGCGGGCCATGGACGACGATAGTCCGGCGGAGATCGAAGGAGTCCTCGCCCAGCTCCTCCAAGGACAAGACGTATTGGACAGGGGAGTCGAGAATCCGAGGAGTGGAGCGGACGGGACTGACGATGCTGAGCCCGATGACAGAGCCAAAACGATCAACGAGATCACCTCTTCCGGCATGTTTGCATTGGACGGACCGCCGGAAGTGTCGGACGCAGAGAAGCTCCGCTTTGCGTGCAATGCCGTGGGTGGCGATGGGGCCGAGAACGACCGCAAGGGCCGAGGGCATGGATAAGGTCGGCGGAGGCGGGTCAAGAAGGCACGGATGTCCGCGAGCCATACATCCACGTTTGTCGCGGAGACGAATTCGCCGACTCGCTCGACGCCTCGTTCTTCGCCAAGACCTTTCCCACCCTACTGCCGTTCGGATTTGGAGGACCACGGCTCGCGGAGGAAGTCATCTTAGGACCCGAGGGCCGGTCAATTGGCGGGTACGGCTGCTGGAGAAGAGACGGCGGCGCGAGATCTTCTGTCGTCTCGGAACATAAGCCTTCGGACCTGGGCCGGCATTGTGCTGCGGCGCCATGGTGGCCGATTCGCGACGCATACCATCTTCTCGTTTCTCGTTTTCAATATGGATGTGCGGTCGAAGAATCGTCGGGTCAGCATGCTCAGCGCGACGCGGAAGAACTTCGCCGAGGTGGAGCGCATCGTACGGTCGCTGACAGCGGATAGGTTAGCGGCCGCCAGGGCGGAGCTGGAGACGTCGGGCAAGACTACCGACGATGGCGTCAAGGAGCTTCTAAGATGCCTTTCGCTGTACGGCTATCGGCAGCCCATGTCGAGGGAGCTCCGTCTGAGCATGCGGCGCAAGATCCAGTCACTCATCTTATGTCGTGGCGTGCCTGCAATCTGGTTCACGCTCAACCCGAACGACATCACGAACCCGGTGAAGCTGAGACTGGCGGCATACCGCACACGTGATCCCGCAGCGGCCGAGGCATTCCTGCAAGGCCTCGACAAGGCGTTCAAACGTGCGCGGCTGGCCATCTCGGACCCGTTAAGCTCGGCCGAATTCTTCCACCGAGAAATGACGTTGTTCTTCGAACATTACGTGAGAGTGGGCGAGGAGTCGGTGTTCGGGCGCATCAGCCACTATTACGGTGCCGTCGAGACCAACGAGCGTGGAGCGCTCCATGTTCACGGACTGCTCTGGCTGCAGGGCAACGTGCATCTAAGCTCGATGCTTGCCGATATCGACGGCGAGGATCAAGCGGCATACCGAGAACGCATCGTCAGATACGTCGACAGTGTCTTTCCGAGGTATGAGCGGGGCCGGCGTGTTGACCTGCGTCCTCCGTCTGTCAAAGCCGAGAAAGCTGACGAACAAGACAGGATCTGGACCAGGAAGGCTTCTGCGCAATGCAGGCCGAGCGATCGGTGACGTCAGATATATCGCAATTTCTGGGCGACGAACGGCAATTTTCAGCCTCGTTCGACGAGGAAGCGAACTTCTGTGCCGGCGCGACGCAGATCCATACCCACAGCCCGACCTGCGTCAAGTACTCGCTGGGCAAAGGGGCGCAAGGGCGATTTATGTCGTTTCAAGGCGCCGTGGGGACTGGTCGACGAGACGGCCTTCACGGGAGACGGCGTGCTGCGGATTCGGAGGTCGCACAGCATGGTGAATCGGTGGAACAAGGCCATTGCCGTGGGCTTCGCCACAACCATGACATATCTTTCATCGCCACACAGCGTAAGACGATGGCCCTCATCTTTACGTCACAAACTATGCGACCAAGGTGGAGGACCCTGTATGGAAGCGCGTCGCCGCCGCCGCGGATCTCTTGCCTCCCAGGGCAGGTGACGGAATGGCCGACGGCGCGGAGGTTCGTGGAGACAGTGGTGCCGGTGACGATGGCAGGCAGAATAAGACACGGCAGTTCCTGATGAAGGTGGCGAATCGCGTGTTTACGGAGAGGCCGTTATCGCAGGTCGAGGTCGTCGCGGACCTCCTGGGATGCGCGACTGAACTGACGAATGGCAGTGCTTGGGCGTTCCTGAACGTATCGTTGCTCTACTGGCAAGTCTTCCGACAATGGCCGCACCTTCGACGAGAAAGCGGCGCAGCCGTTGCAGATGGCTCTGTGGACGAGTCAATACTCGTCGAAGAAGCAGGCCAGAGGATTTGCCGTGTCGAGGCATACCGTCATCGGGGAGACGTCCTTCGAGGGCTGTGTCTCTACGACTACGTTTCGCTGGTCAGGCTGAAGCGCAACGAAAGGGACGAGGGGCCCGCCGGCTGGGGGGAGGTCCCGTTCGAGAGCGGCTGGGCTCCGGGAGGCCGTTGGGCGCAGGTGCTCAGGCGACCGGGCAAGCAGGCCACGGTCTGCCTCGACGGGTATTTGAGCAAGGATTTCGACGAAGACGACGAAGGGTCGTGCTACCGAAGGTGCGTTTGTCGTCGACGGGCCGGAGGCGCCGGGTCGAGAAGGCTAATTTCCATGGCGAAGAGCGGCTGTGCAGCATCTTGCGCTGTTCGTGCCGTGGGAGTCTTTCTTAGACGAAGAAAGGGCGACATCAACTGCATATGGGGCGGCAACGAGCAGCCCTGGCCCCGAGGATATCATGTTTCGTCGATAACGTGCAGTTGCTGCGACGGTCGGCCGAAGATGCAAAGCGGGACGCACGGCAGGGGGCGGCCTCGTCCGTTGGCGGCGCCCCACGGCAGTACGTCCGGACGAGGACGGCACCGGGGAGGTGGGTGTCGAGCCCGGATCGGGATACCAGGCCGACAGTGCGGGAAGCACGAATCGCCTAATCGACGTTGTCAGAAGCTCGATCGGGCCGAACCAAATCACGGCCGGCTCGCCGGAGCTCACGGCGATGATGCAGGAGCTCAGCCGATTTCAGCAATCGGCGCTGTCCTCTTCTTCCGAGGTCCAGGCCACAATACTACCCGAACGGGGCCCAAGACGAATCAACATCCCGGGCGGGCATTCTCCGGAGCCACCATACCGCCGCAAAGTGAGGTTAGGGCCATAAAGTCGCAGCAAATCCGCGCATCCAGGGAGAGGAGAAGATGATACGGGGCATACAAAGCCTGTCCACGGCACCGGTGACTGGTCGCCGCGCGGCGGTGCGGGGCGTGCTCACGGGTTTCGGGGATGACGACGTCCAGATGACGGCAGCGGAGCTCGAGGAAGGAGTAGCGGGGCCAGCGCGGGAATGGAGATCCGGTTCGGTGCCTCAACCTCCTTCCTCGAGGCGGGCAAGGCCCTGGCAGCGCGGCTCACGCTAAACAAGAAGCAGGCGATCGCCTTCCTAATTATATGCCGCCAGCTTGACCTGATACGGCGCGGGGAGAAAAGCAACGTACGCCAGCTGTGCCAGTTCGTCGGTGGAGAGGGCGGAACGGGCAAGTCACGAGTCATCGAGGCGCTCGTCGAGCTCTTCGCGTCCAAGGATCAATCGAATCGTCTGATGATAACGGCGACGTCGGGGACGGCAGCAGCGCGGATCAACGGCATTACGATCCACTCCGCCTGCGGGTTCTCGAAAGATCTCGCGGCAGCCGCAAACGCGGCCAAGGATCTCGACGGGGTGCGACTGCCGAAACAGGCGGAGCGGTTCGTCGACGGGCAATCCCGGATGGACTGGCAGGAGAAGGACGTGCTCGTCATCGACGAGGTGAGCATGCTCGGGGCGCGGACGCTACACGCGGTGAACGAGCAGCTCTGCCGGCTGCGCGGGTCGCACCAGGATTTTGGAGGTATTCCGATCGTCCTCTTCTGCGGAGACTTCCACCAATTCCGCCCCGTCCAAGAACGCTCGATCCTCCTCCCAGCACCGCCGTCTCGTGGGACGTAGACAGCTCCTTCAAGGCCGAGACACGGCACCAGCACGACAAGGCGCACGCGTTGTGGAAGAGATTCACGACCACGGTCATGCTGGACGAGCAGGTGCGCGCCGCGGGAGATCCGGAATTGCAGAGGCTGCTAAGGCGGATTCGACTGGGCGTGCAGGACCGCTCGGATCTGGACCTCCTCAACTCAAGATGCTACCGGGAAGGCAGGCGGATCCCGTGGGAGACGTGCATCACCGTGGTGACGCCGCTGAACAGGAACCGGTGGAACCTCAACATGGAGGCCAGCTTGGCGTTCCGGGCCCAGCAGCGGTCAGTGATGCGCATCTTCATCTCGGATCATACGTGGAAGGAGGCCCTGCCGACGGAGGAAGAGGCCATCATGATGCTGAACCAGGGCGACGACAGCGCGATCCCGGTGCCGGCCGTCTTCATGTTCGTGCCGGGGATGCCGGTCGTCGTGAACCATAACACCCATCAGGGGCTAAAGCTGGTGAACGGCGCCGGCTACACGGCGCTGGAGGTCGTCCTCGACAAGTCGTACCCGGGGCATCGTATCACGGCAGACACGACGGTCCATTTCGGGCCGCCGGCGGGGATAATGCTGGAGTCGGAGACGACGAACGACGTTCACTTCGTCGGGATGCCGCCAGGCACGGTCCTGTTGACGCCCATGACGGTCAAAATACAGTGCCAGCGAAAGAGGCCGTGGCAGCAGAACGACGTCAGCCGAAAGGGCCTGCCCTGTACGGCAGCCTTCGCGTGCACAGACTATAAAGTGCAGGGCAGGACGCTCGAGCGTGTAGCTCTGGAGCTGCGGGAACGCGGACGTCAAACATCGACGGACGCGCCGTGTCCTCGCAGTGCGACCCGTACAGCCTGTACGTGCAGCTGTCTCGCTGCCCGACGCTGGACGGCATTATGCTGGTCTCGAAATTGCGGGAGAGGGACCTGGTGGGCAACAAGGTGCCAGACGAGATGACAGACGCAGAAGCGAGGCTGGGCCAGCTGAGCGACAAGACTGTCCGCGAGGCCTCGGGATGGCTAGACGTTGATTCCCTGGACTCTAAAGGCACGGGCCTGGACGTGTAGCTATCGCGATGCCGGGCGCAGGGCGCTGGACGGCACCATGCTCGTGTCAGGGGTGCGGGAGAGGTTTGGTCGGAAAAGGCCAAAAACCGGTTTCACGAGGAGCTGAGTCCTAGTCGCGAGGTTAGGTCGCTGGCAGGACCGGAGAGGGCGAACTGCGCCGGAAGGCGAAACAAAAGGGCTAGGACGAAAGGGTAAGTAATCATTAAGCGACCAAAGGGAAGCCGGGATTTAAAAGCTCTCCAATCAGCAGCCAAGATGGGTTCTCCAATCAGAAGCCAAGGGTTTCGAGGGTAAAGTAGGTTTGGGGGTTTTTGGGGTTTTTTTCGCGTCCAGAAGAGCCTTTTCGTTCCTCAAGGCACAGAGGGCGAGAGCAAAGAACGCAAGCAGGCGGTAGCGCCAGGAACTAATGCATGCAAGAAGGTAGGCAAATAAATCGGCCATTCGGGCACCATCCCGCAGCGGGAAGAGGGAGAAAAAGCAAGAAGGCAAATACAGCGATGATAACGGTTGCGGGGTAAGAGAGAGGAAGGGAGTATAAGAGAGGCACCAAGGCACGAATAGAGAGCAGAAGCGTCTACCCTAGCTACCGATCGAGCAGTTAGGAAAACAACTACAGCATGGCCACTTGCAACGTTTCCGTGGAGTTCTGGTGCGAATTCAGGGCCACGGAGCTCAAGTACAAGCATAGCATCCCGAAGACGCTCGTGACGCAGGTAGGCCAGGCGAGGCCGGACGACGAAGCCAGCGCACTGTTCCTACAGTGGATAAGGCCGATCCTACGGGAGCACGAGGCGGCGTGTCGGAAGGCAGCAGGGGCGCGCTGCGAGAGTTGCGGCGAAGTCGCAAAGGACATTCTACAGAGCCCGATATCGTACCTACATGCAGAGAGGCCGTTTGTGCTCGTGGTCGTGTCGTCATTCTGCGGCCAAGAAGGATGCGAAATAAGGGCGAGGCAGGAAATGCAGGACACGATGGCAGAGGCGGGGCAGGCGGACGGAAGTATGGGCGCAAAGCAAATGCAAGGGCAGGATGCACAGAGCACTGAGGGGAAGGTCTGCCGGGTTTGTGGAGAGATGGCGGGGGCGAGGAGGTGCAGCCGATGCCTGGCGGTCGCGTATTGCAGCAGGCAACACCAAAAGGAGGACTGGAAGGTACACAAGAAGGGATGCAAGCCAAAGGCAAGCTAGGGAGCTAGGGAGGGGGGAAGCAAGCAACGCCGTCGAGGCGGCCTTACGGCCAGCCTCAAACGCCGCAACGGCCTTTGTAGAACCCGCCGACTTCAACGACCGTCGTCCCTATGGCTTGCACAACTAAGGAACGGCATATAATATTTTATAGTAGAAAACCGTATCCTCCATGTAGAGCAATGACCGATAGGCGAGAAGCGGAGTCGGCTTCCGCAACAAAGACGCCTTTTGCCGAGGCGCAACTACAGGCCCCCCGTCGCCGCTAAATGCAGCCGAGAGGTGCGGCGGCAAGCTGGCAAGGAAAAGAGAAGGGGCGAAGCGCAACGCACAGGACACAAATGAAGTCACGGAGAACGTCTAGAGGCAGGCACTTTCGTAAGAAACGGGTTCGGAAGCTAAAGCTGTCCTTAAAAGGGACAAACGCTGTAATGTGCAGAGTAATAGTAATTCTAGAGCGACAATTTGCGTTAGGAGCAGCACCCCCGGGAGGGAGAACAGTTCGTTTTAGTAAAGGTAGGAGGCTTAAGAGAGCGATGGGTCTATAGTAGGTAGCTTATTTCTGCATGCGATAGCGAAGAGGGCGTGCGGGCGGGTCGGAGGTGCTCGCGACGATAGAGTTGAGAGGGGAATCCGGGCTGGCAGTCGGAGCGGGAACGGGTGGGGCGCCGTCCGGTCGAGACGGAAAAGCGGCCGGCGGAGGAGAGGAGGAGGGGGCGGCGGAGCCGACGGTGTTCGAAGACGAGGAAAGCGGCGAATACTGCTGCAGGAAGCGCGCCCTCTTCATGGGCGTATCGGCCAGGGCCGGGGCGATCGCTTAGGCGGCGGCGTGACGGGGTCGAGGCTGGCGGGGCCGGGGCCGAGGAAAGGGGGCGGCGCGGTCGAGGCCGGCGCGGCAACAGAGTACAAGGCGGCACGGAGGGAATCGAAGGTAGAGGAGGCGGATTGGGTCTGACGCCTAAAGGGCGTAGCGAGGGGGGAAGCCGAGGCGGCGGCGGCGGCCGCCGAGGGCCGATCGACAAAGGTCCAGCTGTCCGGGACGATGATAAAGACGTAATCGCGCTCCGAGCCCGGGGGGGAGAGCATAACGCGGTGGTCGAGAAGGCCGACGACCTTTCCGGTGCAGGTAAAGGGGACGCCGGGCAGGAAGGAAGAGTTAGGCTTTTCAGCGATTTTCTTGCATAGCACGGCCCAAGGGTTAACGTAGACGGGAAAGATAACAAAGACCTCGAAGGGGTGGTAGCCCTTATATGGAATCCTGTCCGGCAGGCCAGGGCGATGTAGGTCGTGAGCCGGACGAAGCCGCAGCAGCGGAGCTGGTCGGGCCCGAGACCGGGCAGGAAGTCTCGACGCAGGAGGTCGAGGCCGGGCCCGGCTACGACGCCATGGAAGGAGACAACGGGAGGCGTAGACGGGAACTGGCCGCTAGAGGCCAAGGAGCGCGGCAGGACGCTAGGGGGCAAAGTCAGCGGGGCGGTGGGTGAGGAGGCGCATTACAATGAAAAGGGAAGGGGGGCGCACGGCTGGTAACCTTGGTTGCGGACGATAAGGGCGGGCACGGTGTAGAGAATAGCATCGTCCGGGCCGGCCTCGAGGCCGTCGCGGCGCTCCACCTCCCAGGAGAGGGCGTAGGGGTGAACGCGGCCGCTCATAAAGAACCACTGCTCGGACCAGTCGGTATCGACGACCGGCTGGCCGTAGATGGAGAGGTTTAGACTAAAGAAGAGGGAGGGCCCTAGATCGTCGCCCTCGGCCCGGAGGGGTGCATACTCCGACTCTAGCAGCCACGAGGGCACCGGCAGGAGGACTCGGGCGATGGCCTCGGCGTTAAGGCCCCTGATGCGGTGCTCGTCTTGGTGGGCAAACCTCGCGGGGCAGTCGGGCTGGGCGAAGAACATCATGGACATGTCGCCGCCCGCGCCCTTGCTAGTGGCAAGGGGCTTGCGGAGGTGCGGGCAGAGCTGTCCGCCGACGGAGACGAAGACATGGCGAGGCCGTGTGGTGGAAGAGCAACGTTGCCGGAGCGAAGCTAGAAGCGGCGAGGTATAGGGCAGGAGTGCTCCTACCAATATGCCGTCTTAAGAGTTTAGTGTAGTAGGGAAGGGCTGGTGGCCGTGGTGTATAAGAGAAGTCAAAGGATACTAAACGAAGACGCAACGTAGCGTTAGCGGTAGGCTAAGATAAGGAGCCTATATAAAGGAGGTCTATAAGATGTGTATACAGAAAAATGCGACAAGAGGAGAAGAGGAAACCTCGAAAGGCGGTCTAGTAAGACGTAGAGGGTTTAAGACAAGCAGGACGCGCGAAGCTATGTTCGAGGAGAAGGAGGCAGGCTTATTCGCAACACGTGTAAGACATGGGTTCAAAATTCAGCAGGCGAGCGTCTAGGGGCGTACTGAGGCTTTGACCGACAAGACCTAGATGACTAGACGGAAAAGTGTACCATGCAAAGCACAGGCAAGAGGAAGCTGTCTTGGCGACCTACATGTAAGGACCGGCCGAGGCCGTATAGCCCGCCGCTGAAAGCGGCGGGCAATAGCGGGCGGGCTCGATAGAAAGGCGGCGCCGGTATAATGTAAAGAGCAGCGGCACGCCTGTAGACGTACTAGAGAGCTACGAGTAAGATATATAGACTTTCCTAGAGGATCCTGTACGCACAGGAGGGGTGCCAGTCAGCAAGACAAGTGCAGGATGAATGGTCGAGGCAAGGACTTATACGCCGTTATTACACTTACACTTACGAGGATTTACGCCGGGAGCCCAGTAGCACCGCAAGTAGGCGGGGCCGGAGAGGGCAGCGCAAGCGAGGAAGACAAGAGGTCCGCGGGGGCCTCGGTAGACCGGTGTCGCGATGAAGCCAGCTAACGGGAGGGTCCAGTCCGGAGCGGGTGACAGGGCAAGCCCGGCGCCAGAAGCCCGAGCAGCGCCGTACACAGGACCAGAGATCCGGCCGATCACAGCAGCGCCGGCACTCGGTCGCGGCGCCTCTCGGAGAGAGCAAGAAGAGGCGTCAAGGGAGGCGCCTCCGAGGCGAGGGCGGGAAGACCGCCAGGACTAGGGAAATGGAGGATCAGCGCAGGCCGAGTCGCGCCGCGGGATATCCAGCCTCAGCCGACACCGAGTGCGGCGGCAACGGCTGCCGCCTACACCGAGGGCGGCGGGGCACTGGCTGCCGCTGGGCGGGCCCAGCGCCGTCTCGGCCTCAGGAAAGGCCAGCGCGCACCGAGAGAAATCCGGTCTCTGCCGACGGCGGAGACCGCCGGGCCCTCGCCGCCGCAGACGAGAAGTTCGGACGCTCCACGGGACATTCGGCCCCAGCCGACATGGAGGGCCGCCGGTCCTTCACTGCCGTCGAACGGGATAGGTTTGGCTACAGCCTCGGCCGGAAGCAAGGGGGCTCCGCAGGATACCTGGCCCCAGCCGACATGGAGGGCCGCCGGGCCTTCGCCGCCGTCGAGCGGGACTAGCCCGGCCGTAGTCTCGGCCGGAAGCCAGCACGTGCCGCGAGCCATCCAGTCCCGGCCGGCTAGGGGCGAGGCCCCGCCACAACTCCCCCCGCAGCCGGGCCGCTTGTTAGCGGCAGAGATAGCGCACCGGCAGGTACGGTCGTAGAGCGAGGTGAAGGCGTGCGACGATGATAGCTAACCGGACGCAGGTAGAGCGGCGATAAGACGCCAGGCGAGAGACGAGCAGAAGAGGAAACGCCATCTTAGTAGTGGGCAGGCCGGGCGGAAACGCGCCAGGGTGGGTGAAAAGATGCCGAGACGAAGGGAACTGCAGGCCGAGGACCTGGCCAGCGCGCTGCGGCACCTCGACGAGGAGTTCGAGGCGGGCGAGAGGCTGGCCAACGAGCAGACGTGGTGCGCGCCGGTGCCGCGCGAGAGGCAGGTGAGGACGGTGCGGAGGTTCTACCGGGCGTTCCACGACGCAGGCACGCTGCCGATCGCGACCTGCACGCTATGCTACCGGAAGCGAGCCAAGGAGGAGCTGAGGAGACGACGTGGGAGGGTGGTCGCGGAGCAGCGTTGCGGGGGGCGGGCGGTCCCGGTTCGGATGCCGAAGCTGCTTCCCGGAGGGCAGGCCGGTGCCGGTCTGCGTAGAGTGCGCGCGATGGGCCGGGCGCGAGGGGGCGTCGCCGGCCATGCACCTCCACGGGCGGCTCGGCTGCGAGCACGCGTACCCCGACGAGCTGAAGGACCTCACGCCGCTCGAGGAGAAGCTCATCTCACTCAACTCGTGCTACGGCTTCGTGACGAAGTACAGCATCCCGGGCGGTCAGAGGCAGAGCGTGAGGTACCCGAGGCACGTCAAGGGCCACATTACCGTGTTCCCAAACGACGTGCAGGGCCTAGCCGCTAAGGTGCTGCCGCACCCGCTGCTCCGGGTCATGGACGAGATCCACGTCTCGTGGCAGGGTGCCGAGAGGCCCGGGCCGCGCGACCTATCGGGCCTGCTGTCGGTAAGGCGGTCGGCGGTGGAGAGGGCGCTAGCCTGGCTCAAGGAGAACAATCCGCTCTACGGCGAGGTCGAGATCGACGCGGCGGAGATGGCCAGCTGGGGGCGCCGCCGCACTGGTGCCGCCAGTGGTGTGCGAGCGGCTAGAGCGAAGCGAGCCGTCGGCGCGGGAGAGGACGCGGACGGCGCAGGTGGTGCCGCCGTCGGAGCGGGCCATGGACGACGAGGGTGCGGTCGAGATCGAGGAGGTCCTCGCGATGCTGAGGCAGGGGCGGGACCCCACCGAGGGGAGCCGTGACGTCGGGCTCACGTGCGAGGACGACGACGGGGACGGCGCTAGGCCCGAAGAGGACGGGGACGTAATCAACGAGGTGACGTCTTCCGGCATGTTCCCGTTGGACGGGGCGCCAGAGGTGGCCGATGCTGAGAAGATTCGCTTCGCCCGCGGTGCCGTCGGGCCCGAGGAGCGCGCGCCGGCCGAGGACGTGGGTAGGGACTGCGGCCCGAGAGGCGGAGGGCGATGGCGGCGACGTCGAGCCGCACATACAGGTGCGGCGCGGCGAGGATTTCGCCGACTCGGCGGACGCCTCCTTCTTCGCAAAGGCCTTTCCGACCCTGTTCCTTTGGCTTAGGCGGGCCGAGGCTCGCCGACGAGGACGCCACTGGGGAGAGCGCGGGCCCTAGCGTCGGGAACCAGGGCACGCAGGCGGAGCGGGTCGCGGAGGGCCTTATGTCGACGCGGAACATGAAGCTCCAAGCATGGGCCGACGTCGTGCTGCGGCGCCACGGCGGCCGGTTCGCGACGCACCCTATCTTCGCCTTCCTCGTCTTTAACATGGGCGTACGGTCTAGGAACCGCCAGGCCAGCATGCTAGGCGTCACGAGGAAGAACTTCGCAAGGGTCGAGGGCCTGTTAAAGTCGTTAACGGCGCAGAGGCTCGAGGCGGCGAGGGTCGAGCTCGAGGCCACGGGCAAGACTAGCGACGACGGGGTAAAGAGCTCCTCCGGTCCCTCTCCGTGTTCGGTTACCGGCAGCCGATGTCGAGGGAGAGCCGCCTCAGTATGCGGAAGAAGATACTATCCCTCATCATAAGGCACGGGGTGCCGGCCATCTGGTTCACGCTGAACCCGAACGACATCACGAACCTGGTAAAGTTGCGGCTGGCGGCACACCGCGGCCGCGACCCGGACGAGGCCGAGGCCTTCCTACGAGACCTAGGGACCGCGTATAAGCGGACGCGGCTGGCCATATCGGACCCGATGAGCTCGGCCGTCTTCTTCCACCGGGAGATGACGCTCTTCTTCGAGCACTACATCAAAGTCGGGGAGGAGTCGGTGTTCGGCCACGTCGGCGCGTACTACGGCGCGGTCGAGACCAACGAGCGAGGCGCTCTCCACATCCACGGGCTCCTCTGGCTAAGGGGCAATGCTGGCCTCGGCGAGGCGCTCGCCGGCCCCGATACGGAGGAGCAGGCGGCGTACCGGGATCGCATCGTCCGCTACGTAGACAGCGTCTTCTCCGAGGTAAGGCGGCCGCCTTAAGACGCCCCCACCTCCCCAAACCCTAAGCCCCTATCCGAGGCAGGCCGAAGGGCCCGAGCTAAACCGAGGCGGCAGGAGCTAGACGCGGAAGGTTACTGCGCCGTGCAAGCGGAGCGGTCGGCAACGGCGGACATATCGTCGCGGCTCGACGACGTCGCGCGCTTCACGGACACCTTCGACGAGGAGGCCAACTTCTGCGCCGGCGCGACGCAGATCCACACGCATAGCGCGACCTGCGTAAAATACTCGCTCGGCGCGGGGCGCGGAAGGGGACCTTTGCCGGTTCAAGGCGCCGTGGAGGCTGGTGGAGAGGACGGCGCTGACGGCGGACGGGGTGCTCGAGATCCGGCGGACGCATAGCATGGTGAACCGGTGGAACCGGGCGATGGCAGTAGGGCTACGGCACAACCACGACATCTCGTTCATCGCGACGCAGCGCAAGACCATGGCCCTAATCTACTACATTACCAACTATGCGACGAAGGTAGAGGACCCGTGTGGAAGCGTGTGGCCGCCGCGGCCGAGTTCCTCCCCGCGCTAGAGCCGACGGGAGAGGGCAACGGAAGTGGCGCCGACCGCGACGCCGGCCGATGGGGCGGGGCCGAAGGGGTGGCGACGGCGGCGGACCCCATAGGGGGGAACAAGACGAGAACGTTCCTGCTTAAGGCGGCGAATCGAGTCTTTACGGAGCGGCCGCTGTCGCAGGTCGAGGTGATCGCGCACCTCCTAGGGTACCCGGCGGAGTTTAGCAGCGGCTCAGCGTGGGCGTATATAAACGCAAACCAGCTCTACTGGGCCGTCTTCCGCCGGTGGCGGCACCTCCGACGGGCGAGCGGCGCGGAGGCGACGGGCGACGCGCCGGACGAGACGGTCGTCGTCGAGGAGGCCGGCCCGAGGATCCCCCTCGTCGGGGCCTACCGGCACAGGGGCGAGCTCCTGCGGGGCCTCTGCCTTTATGACTACGCATCGCTCGTAAGGCTAAAGCGAAACGGCCGCGGTGCCGACGGTGGGACGGGCTGGGGCGAGGTACCCTTCGCGGAGAGCTGGGCGTCGGGGAAGGGCTGGGTGCAGGCGCTTAGGCGGCCGGGTAGCGGGGCGACCGTATGCCTCGACGGATACCTCAGCAAGGAGTTTAGCGAGGGAGACGACGAGTCGTGCCACCGAAGGTGCGCACCATAAGACGGGGAGCGCCCAAGGGGAAGGCAGCGCGGCTAGGGGCATCGGCTAACAGCGCCTAGGGCGGCGGTACAGCACCTGGCCCTATTCGTGCCGTGGGAGTCCTTCCTCGGCGAGGAGGCAGGCGACATCGACGACATCTGGGCGCGGGCGCGGAGTCGCTGGCGCCGAGGTCGCGCGGCTCGCAGACAACGTGCAGCTCCTCCGGCGGTCGGCGGAGGACGCGAAGCGCGACGCCAAGCAGTGGGCCGCCACGGCCGAGGAGGGCGGTACGACGGTGCCGCAGGCCGGCGACGAAGGCAGGGGGCGGCCGAGGGGCGAGGAGGCGTACCGCGCCGGCGGGCGGGCGACGCGGCCCGGCTCATCGACGTCGTCGGAATGCCGCCGGCGCGGGACAAGTCACGGCGCAGTCAACAGAGCTGCTAGCGATGACTCAGCAGCTCTGCCGGTTCCAGCAGTCGGCGCTGGGGTCGGCGGCCGAGCTCGCGGCGACGGTAGTGGCGGAGAGAGGGCAGGCAGGCGGGTGAACCTACCGGGCTCGGAGCTCTCGGGGGCGGCGCTGCCACGGCAAGAAGAGGTGCGGGCCATCAAGTCGCAGCAGAGGAGCGCGGCGCGGGAGCGGGAGCGAGCCATCCAGGGCATCCAGGGCGGCGGGGCGGCGGCGGGCGTCGGGGCCGACCGCGGCGCGGCTCTTCGCGGGGTGATGGGGGGCTTCGGCGAGGACGACATGGACGTAACGGCGGCCGACGGCGACGTAGACGCTGGCACGGCGGCGGGGATGCGCGTGCGGCTCGGCCCGTCGAGCTCGTTCGTCGCCGCCGGCAGGGAGCTGGCGGGGCAGCTAACGCTCAACGAGAAGCAGGCCATCGCTCTCCTAATCGTATGCCGGCAGCTCGACCGAATCCGGCAGCTCGACCGAATCCGGCAGGGCGACGACGCAGGCGGCGATGGCGGCGGCCAGCTCTGCCTGTTCATCGGCGGCGAGGGCGGCACCGGCAAGTCGCGCGTCATCGAGGCGCTCGTCGAGCTGCTCGCCCGGAGGGACCTATCGAGCCGGCTGCTGGTGACGGCGACGTCGGGCACGGCGGCAGCACGGATCAACGGCATCACACTACACTCGGCCTGCGGCCTTACGGTCGGCCAGGGCGGCCGGGCGGGAGGGCGACGAGGACGTAGACGGCGTACGGCTGCCGGGCCAGGGCGAGCGCTTCGTCGACGGCCGGTCGCGGATGGACTGGCAGGAGAAGGAGGTGCTGGTGATCGACGAGGTCAGCATGCTCGGGGCGCGGACGCTGCACGCCGCCAACGAGCAGCTGTGCAGGCTGCGGGGGTCGGCGCGAGACTTCGGCGGCATCCCGGTGGTGATCTTCTGCGGCGACTTCCACCAGTTCCGGCCGGTGCAGGAGCGGTCGATCCTGCTGCCGAGCGCGGCGGTGGCGTGGGACGAGGACGGGGCGTTCGCGGCCGAGCAGCGGCGGCAGCACGACAAGGCGCACGCGCTGTGGCGGCGGTTCACGACGGTCGTCATGCTGGACGAGCAGATGCGGGCCGCCGGCGACCCGGAGCTGCGGCGGCTGCTCGGGCGCATCCGCCGGGGGGAGCAGGACCGGTCGGACCTAGAGCTGCTCAACTCGAGGTGCCACCGGCCGGGCAGGCGGATCCCGTGGGAGACGGGCCTGACGGTGGTCACGCCGCTCAACCGGAACCGCTGGAACCTCAACCTAGAGGCGGCGCTCGCGTTCCGGGCGCGGCGGCGGACGGCGGCGCGCGTCTTCCTGTCCGAGCACAAGTGGAGGAGGGCCTGCCGACGGAGGAGGAGGCGTTGCTAATGCTGGGCCAGGGCGACGATAGCGCGACGCCGGTCCCGGCCGTCTTCGTCTTCGTGCCCGGCATGCCGGTCGTCGTGAACCAGAACACGCACCAGGGGCTGAAGCTAGTGAACGGCGCCGGGTACACGGCGGTAGACGTCATCCCCGACCGGGCCTTCCCCGGCCACCGGGTCTCGGCCGAGCTGACGATGCACTTCGGGCCGCCGGCGGGCATCGTGCTGGCTTCGGAGACGACGAGGGACTTCCACTTCGTCGGGATGCCGGCCGGGACGATCCTGCTGACGCCCATCGGCGTCAAGATCACGGCGCAGCGGAAGCGGCCGTGGCAGCGCAACGACGTCAGCCGGAGGGCCTGCCGTGCGCGGCGGCCTTCGCCTGCACCGACTACAAGGTGCAGGGCGGGACGCTGGAGCGCGTGGCGCTGGAGCTGCGGGGGGCGAGGATGACGACGGTCGAGGGGAGGGCGGTGCCGTCGCCGTGCGACCCGTACAGCCTGTACGTGCAGCTGTCGCGGTGCCCGACGCTCGACGGCATCATGCTCGTATCGGAGGTGCGGGAGCGGGATCTAGTCGGGAACCGGGTGCCCGAGGAGATGACGGCAGCGCAGGCCCGGCTAGAGGAGCTTAGCAGGCAGACGACGCAGGAGGCGGCCGACTGGCTCCGCGGGTAACGCGGGCGGCGTAGGCGTCTCGCTCGCAGCGGAGGAGATCCTGCCCTTAGGACGACTACCCTAGCACACAATCAGGGGGCGGAGAAAGCAAAAATTATGGGAAGGCGCAACGTAGAGAGATAGAAATAAGAGCAACAATCTCAAGGTAGTTAATGGACATCGACGGGTGCGTGTCTAATATAGACGGACCGCAAAGGCGGAGATTTAGACTTCACAGGCCAGCCGGCTCTAGGCTAGCGGGCTTGCCGTAGCTACCGACGTAAAAGGAGCACAGGTCAAGGGCCAGGAGGGGGGCAAAGAGGAAAGGGCGTATTCGGGGCGAGCTTGAAAGAAAGGGCCAGGAAAGAAGACGGGCTTCAAGGAAAGAGGGCAAAAAGGGGCGGCGACGAGGGCGGTGAGGTTGTATTTTTAAACCAATCTGAAGAGAGCAAGCCGACGAATTAGAGGACGGCAGCCGACGAATCAGAGGGCGGCATTTAGGGGGGGGGAAATTGACAGGAGAGGCAACCCAACGGGGGTTGCGCAAAGAGCCTTGAGGAACGAAAGACTACAGGGAAAAAAACTTAAGGAAGAAAAAAAAGGGGCAGACGTGAGGATTGAGGATGGAGTAAGAACAGGGGGGACTTAAGGACGGAGTGAAAAAGAGTGATAGAACCAGGGTAGGGTTAAGGAGTAGGTTAACTTAAAGTATAAGATTTAACTGTCTTACTCGTTTAGGAAACTGTAGCAGTTTATGGTTTCGCATCGTTATTCCGTTTCGGTAGCTTTCTTAGATAGGGGACGGTTTCGGAGTGGACGGGCCGGCGAGTCCAAGCCATGCGCGACAATGGAATGGAGGGAAGAGTCCCCAAGACATGACCCCGTTTAGGCTATCCGGCTTAGATGTCAAGGAGGCAGCCGAAACAGAGAACGACTGGGTGGCAGATGAGCCAGGGTTAGGGGAAGACGAAGGCACCGGGGCCTTATGCAGCAGCCGCGGTCGTTTCGTCGGCGTATCGGCAGGCTCGGGGCAACATCGCTTCCCGGGCGGCCCAAGGGGGCCGGTCGAGGGCGAAGCCGAAGCCAAAGGTGGAGGGCTGAGCGGGAGGGTGCCAGGGGTGGCCAAAGACAAAGAGGCAGCGCGCATGTCCTGAAAGGCCGCGGAAGGGGAGGACGCCTGCTGCCTCTGTGGTGTAGAGAGAAGTGGTGTCATTGGGGTGACGGCGGCGGCGGCCTTGTCGAGAAATGTCCAAGAATCCGGGACGACAATAAAGACGTTGTCCCGGTCGGAGCCTGGGGGATAGAGCATAACGTCATGACGGAGCAGGCCGGCGACCTTGGCTGTGCAAGTAAAGGGGACGTTGGGTTGGAATTGAGAGTCCCGCCTCTCGGCCATCTTCTTACACAAGATGGCCCAGGGGTTAGCGCGAATAGGGAAGATGACGAAGACCTGGAAGGGGTGGAAGCCCTTGAAGGGGAGTTTATTGGGCATCCCAGGAGCGACGTAGGTAGAAAGGCGGACAAAGCCGCAACAGTTAAGCTGGGCGGCGTCTAGACCCGGCAGGAGGTCCCGCCGGAGCAAGGAGTGGCCGGTGCCGACGATAAGGCCGGTAAAGGAAACAATAGGCGGGACGCAGGGAAGTCGTCCATAGGGCCAAGAGCCTAGGAAGAACGCTTCAGGCCCACCTTAGCTATGTATCTTTCGTTTGCACTTGCGAGGAACAGGGCACGGCTTACGGCTGGTAGCCTTGGTCGCGGACGACAAGGGCGGGCATCGTATAGAGAAGGGTGCCGCCCGTGTCGGACTCCAGGCCGTCGCGCTGCTCAATCTCCACGCAAGGGCGTAGGGTGGACGCGGCCATTCATGAAAAACCACTCTTCCGTCCATTTTGAGGCATCAATAGGCTGGCCGTAAATCGAGAGATTGAGACTAAAGAAGACGGATGTCGGGGAATCGTCGGCCTCCGATCGGAGGGCGCATATCCCGTCGCGAGCAGCCAGGCGGGCGGAGGCAGCAAGACGCGGGCCATGGCCTCGGCGTTAAGACCCTTGATGCGGTGCTCGTCCTGGTGGGCAAATCTAACGGGCAATCCGGCTGGACGAAAAACACCATGGACATCTCGCCGCCAGCGCCCTCTGGCTATCGAGCGGCTTTCGAAGGTGTGGTGCGGGCACATCGATTGGAGGTAGAGAGGAAGACATGGTGCAGCAACGCAGGTCGATAGGCCAGTCGCGCGCACGAAAATGACCAGTGCTCAGTGTCAAGAAAGAAAGGAGTAGGGAAGAAGTCGAGCGTGAAAGCACTTGGGATAGATCAATGGTGACATAGATTCGCCGGGAAGGGCGAGGAGCCTTGCCGCTGTAAGTAAACGGACGTTGAAGAGATGCGTAGTGGTGTCGTGTAGCTGGGTTCCGATCAGGCACCAAGGGCGGCGCGGACTAAAGTGTCCGGCAGGGCTGGCGGCATAGGAGGCCGAAAGCTAGGGCTGTCGGCAGATAAGCCTGCCGATAGGTCCAGAGGAAGCCCAGCAGGCCTGGGAGAGCAGAGGCCTGATGCAAAGGAGGACATCAATAAGGAAGGACATAAACAGGGGCGTTTTAGAAGGCTGAAGATAAGGGGCGGGGATGAAGCAGGCAAGATCAGCACAGGAACCTTGTCATACCTTTCCACGCCCTGTTGTACACCAATTAGTTTGCCCTCCTCGCGGGGTAGAGACCGACCTAATATATAACACGTACAAAGCGCACGGGAGGTGTTGCAGGAAGGTCGTGGTTACACTTGATAGGGAAGGTCGGGAAAGAGGGGACCGGAAGCAACCGTTATAGGTGAGGGCGAGCTGAAGGGAGGGCCATTCCTACTTTCGGTGCAGCAGGAATACTAAGAGATACCGAGGAAAAAGAAAGATTAGCACAATGTTCCTTTGGCCGCCTATTTGCAACGGCCAAATAGAAAGATGCGGAGGAGAACCGAGGAGGAGGAGAAGACCTCGCCAGGCAGATTTTTATGGTGTCAGCTCCTGCGCATGGGCTAGTCGAGGCCGTCCGCCGGGAAAGACGCGTGGCGGCGGAGTTAGGAACCGCGGGGGAGAAGGAGGGGGTCTGTCCCGGACAAGCACTGCCGCGTTGTCCCCGAGTTATAAAGACTATAAGGTTGCTGGAGACAGACCGCTGGTAGGAAGAATGGCGATACGGCGGAACGCCATCGCCGGGAAGCAAGGCAATCCCAGCGTATATCGCGAGCGAAAGCTTCCTATCCATCGTACGGTTGCAGAGCCTAGCCGTCAAGAAAGCACCAGCATGGGGAGAATCCAGCCGCGAGGCTAGGTTGGTGGCAAGAGGGTGCGAAATAGCGACGGTGGCAGCGGCCGCTGCTGCGACGAGGAGCATTACGGCGGGAGACTGAGTGCAACGGACGAAGGGCCGAAGCGGGCCTCGGACCATGAAAGCCAAGCTAATACGGTACCTAGGTTCCGGCCTATCGAAGCCAAGCAGGCAACGCTGGCTGAGGAGGCCTCACGAAGAGAACAAGCAGAGGCACTCAAAAGAGCGTTGCCCAAGGAAGTCGGCGAGGCGGTTGGCCGCGGGAAAAGACGACGCACGTCAATGGCGCCTCCTCGAAGGGAGGGCGGGCGCGACGCTCAGAAGCGATAAACGCGCGTGATAGGTGTCCAAGCATAGAAGCAGACGCTGCCACAATAGGGTCGGTAGTTGCTGAGCCGGCTAGGCGGGGTCTTACGCCGTCCGTTGGCGCTGTGTTGGAGGGAGCGGCCGACAACCTCGTACCGCAGCGGCACACGTTGGCGAAGGAGATGAGGGCTAGGAGTGGCGAGAGGCGCACCAGGCATAGTTGCTCTGCAAGCACCACCCGCCCCAGGGTCTTGGTTGGGCGAAACGAATGCCTAAGCGGCAGGGGATCTTCCGTCGCGGCCGGAGGTGGCCACGAGATCGTTCGGCCTGGGCAACTCATCGGTGGCGTACGGATGACTCTGAAGGGTCTTGTTAGGCGGACAACTGGTGCCGGGGAACAGAGGAGGAGACCGACAAGCAGGATGGGATTTCGGCTGGGAGAGGCGAGCCTGCAGTCGCCCCGGCCCATCCAGCCCAAAGGGATCAGGGACGTGGCCGGGCACAATCGTCCTTCTGGCGAGGCCGGGTCGTGCATCGGGGCAGCGGCCGCTGCTACGAGGAGGAATACTGCGAAGGCGAGACCGAGCGCGACGGACGAAGGACCGAAGCGGGCGTTGGGCCGCGAAAGTCAAGCGGGCCCGGCACCTGGGTTGCGGCCTATCGAGGCGAAGCAAGCGCCGATGTCCGGGGAGGTCTCAGGAGGAGAGCAAGCGGAAGCACCCGAAAGAGCGTCGCCTCAGGAAGCCGGCGAGGCAGTCGGTCGCGAAAAATACGGCGCGCGTTGATGGTGCCTCTGCAAAGGGAGAGGCAGCGCGACGTTTAACAAGATCTCGGCCAGAGGACGTAAGCCAGCGCTTGCCGCAACAACCCATCCAGCCGAAAGGGATCAGGGGCGCGGCCGGACACATACCTCCCTCGGACGAGGGCGGATCGTGCGTCCGGGTCGTGGAGGGCGTCCAGAGGGGCACGACTAGAAAGCGAAGGGGTGGTGCGCAGACGAGGCCCAAGGGCCCCGACGGACACTCAAGCCGCCCAGGAGCACAGGATCGGCCGGCAACCAGTGTCGGGGTTTCGTCTCGAGTTGTCAGGGAGCGCCTCATTAGGCCAATCCAACCTAAAGAAATAAAATACAGAGCGGGAGATTTGCAGTCACCCGGACGCCAGGCGGGACAGGGTCGGCCGGCAATCAGGGTCGGGACCTCGCCCAGAGTAGTCGTCAGGAGTACGTCGTTCAGCCGATCCAACCGAAAGAGATGGAAGAGGAGCCGGAGATACACACTCATCCGGACGGTTGCCACCACGGCCATCAGGGAGGCAGCGGCGGGAGAACAAGACCGGCCGAGGCGAGACGAGGCTGCGGCAAGATCTTCGCGGCCAGCGGAACAGAGAAAGAGGAACCGGCAACCCGACCGAGACGAGCCACTGACGAAACGTACTCGAGGCGGCCAATCTAGGAGGTGGGGATGGAGCAGGAGATGTGCAGTCATCCGGACGGCTGCCACCACGGCCACCACGCCAGGCAGGACGGAATCGGCCGGCAACCAGGGTCGGGATCTCGTCTCGAGTTGTCGGGGAGTCCCTCGTTCGGCCAATCCAACCTAGAGAAATAGAAGATGGGACAGGAGATTTGCAGCGATGCGGACGCCAGGCGGGACCGGGTCGGCCGGCAACCAGTGTCGGGACTTGGCCCGAGTCGTCAGGGCATCCCCCCTCCAGCCAATCGAAGCTAGAGAGATGGAGGATGGAGCCGGATATTTGCAGTCATCCGGACAGTTGACACCACGGCCATCACGTCAGGCGGCGGCGGGAGAACAAGATCGGCCGAGGCGAGACGAGGCAGCGGCAATATCTGCGCAGCCCGTGGAACAGAGAAAGAGGAACCGCCTGCCCGACCGAGACCAGCCCCAGGCGAAACGTAGTCGAGGCGGCCATCGGAGGCAGAGGAGCCGTGAGTCACAGGCGGAGGATTTGGCCGGCGTCTTACGTCACCTTGGGAGGAATTCGCCGCGAAGGAGAGGCTGTCCAACGAGCAAACGTGGTGCACACCAGTGCCGCACGAGAGGAAGGTATCAACGGTGCGGAGCTTCTACCGGGCGTTCCACGACGTGGACACGCTGCCGATACGGACGTGCATGCTGTGCTACCGGAAGCGCACGAGAAAAGAGCTGAGGGAGGTGGCATGGGACCAGTGGTTGTCAAGTCCTATCCCTAAGGCTGGGTGGTCGCCATTTGCGTGCCGGAGTTGCTTCCGCGAGGGCGAGCCTGTCCCGGTTTGCGCAGAGTGTTCTCGACGCTTGGCGTGCGGTGTGCTGTCGCCAGCGGCGCAGCTTCATAGACGTCTCGGTTGTGAGCACACGTTCCCGGATGAGCTCAAGGGCCTGACGCCGGTGGAGGAGAAGCTGATCGCGCTGAACTCGTGCTACGGATTCGTAACCAGGTACAACGTCTCAGGCGGCCAGAAGCAGACGCTAAGGTATCCCAAGCACGTCAAGGGCCACATCACGGTGTTCCCAAACAACGTACAAGAGCTGGCGACGGACGTGCTGCCGCACCCTCTCTTCCAGGTAATGGACGAGATCCACGTCTCGTGGCAGGGGGCGCTAAGGCCGACACCGAGCGATCTGTCGAGTCTCCTATCGGTGAGGCGGCGAGTCGTCGAGAGAGCCCTTGTCTGGTTGAAGAGGAACAACCCCCACTACGCCGCGATCGAGATCGACGCGGCAGAGATGGAGAGCTGGGGAGACCCGGCCCACGGGGTGCCGCCGTTGGTGTACGAGCGCCTGGAGCGGAACGAGCCGTCGGCGTGGGAGAAGACGCGGACGGCGCACGTCGTGCCGCCCACGGAGCGGGCCATGGACGACGAGGGGGCGGTGGAGATCGAAGAAGTCCTCGCCATGCTCAACCAAGGAAAGCACGACGAGTCGCGAGGCCGGCGAGCCAGAGGCAAGCGAGGTGGACGAGGTGCGTGGTCAGAGCTGCGGCGAGGCCGATGATAATGCGAAGACGGTCAACGAGGTGACCTCGTCAGGGATGTTTGCGTTGGACGGACCGCCCGACGTGGCCGACGTCGACAAGCTGCGGTTCGCATGCGATTCCGTTCGCCAAGGCGCAGCCGACGACGGTACGGGCCCGAGGACGTGGGTCGAATCCTCGGCAAGGGGCAGCCGGGGCACGTCGATGGTCCTGAACCATTCATCCATGTCCGCCGCGGGGATGAATTCGCCGACTCGTTCGAAGCTTCTTTCTTCGCAAAGACCTTTCCCACGCTATTACCATTCGGTGTCGGAGGGCCGCGGCCGGTCGAGGAAGCAAGCTCGCAGTTGGGCAGAGGCTCGGTCAACACGCGCGCGGCGGCGGAGGCGGGGCGCAGGACCTCCTGTCATCCCGGAACATGAGCCTTCGTACGTGGGCCGACACGGTGTTGCGACGCCACGGCGGCCGGTTCGCGACGCACCACATCTTCGCATTCCTCGTCTTCAACATGGGCGTGCGGTCGAGGAACCGCCGCGTCAGCATGCTGAGCGTGACGAGGAAGAACTTCCGCAAGGTGGAGCGCATCGTACGGTCGCTGACCGCAGACGGGTTAGCGGCAGCTAGAGCCGAGCTGGAGAGCACAGGCAAGACGACCGACGACGGCGTGAAAGAGCTTCTCAGGAGCCTCTCGCTCTATGGCTATCGTCAGCCCATGTCGAGAGCTCCGTCTCAGTATGCGGCACAAGATCCTGGCGCTCATCGTCCGCTACGGCGTGCCTGCGATCTGGTTCACGATCAACCCAAACGACATCACGAACCCGGTGAAGCTCCGACTGGCAGCGTACCGCACGCGCGACCCTGAGGCGGCCGAGGAGTTCCTGCGGAGCCTCGATATGTCGTTCAAACGGGTGAGGCTGTCCGTCTCCGACCCGATGAGCTCAGCCATGTTCTTCCACCGGGAGATGACGCTGTTCTTCGAGCATTACGTAAATGCAGGGGAGTCGGTGTTCGGGCGCATCGGCCACTACTACGGTGCCGTGGAGACCAACGAACGAGGATCCCTTCACGTCCACGGGCTGCTCTGGTTACACGGAAACGCGCACCTGAGCTCCATGCTTTCCGACGCCCACGGGGAGGAGCAGGCGGCGTACCGTGAGCGAATCATCCGCTATGTCGATAGCGTCTTCTGTGAGGTAGGTAACAGCAAGGGGCGTTGCTGTCATGGGCCGAGAAGACGCAGGCTGACGCGGAAGGCAGGACTTGGACCAGGAAGGCTTCTGCGCCGTGCAGGCGGAGCGTTCGGTGACGTCTGACGTCTCATCCCTGCTGGACAGTGCCGAGCAGTTCTCGGCCGGATTCGAAGAGGAAGCCAACTTCTGCGCCGGCGCGACGCAGATCCACACCCACAGCCCGACATGCGTCAAGTACTCCCTGGGCAACAAGGGGCGAAGGGGCGACCTCTGTCGCTTCAAGGCGCCATGGAAGCTGGTCGAGGACGACGCTCTCACAGGACGGCGTGCTGCGGATCCGCAGGACGCATCCCATGGTGAATCGGTGGAACAAGGCCATCGCCGTGGGGCTCCGCCACAACCACGACATCTCCTTCATAGCGACGCAGCGGAAGACCATGGCTCTCGTCTATTACGTGACGAATTACGCGACCAAGGTAGAGGACCCGACGTGGAAGCGCGTCGCCGCGGCCGCGGAACTGCTGCCCGTCGTCGCAGCAGGTGGCCAGCCGGGTGCCAGGGAGGATGCCGGAAATGGCGTCGTCGGCGGCGACGACGGAACCAAGAATAATAAGACGCGGCAGTTTCTGATGAGAGTGGCGAACAGGATATTCACGGAGCGCGCCCTGTCGCAAGTCGAGGTCGTCGCCCATCTCCTGGGATACCCGAGCGAGTTCACGAGCAGCAGCGCCTGGGCGTACCTGAACGTGTCGGTGCTCTACTGGCACGTCTCCAGGCGCTGGCGACACCTTCGGCAGGAGAGCGGCACCGCGGTCGCAGACGTGTCCGTGGACGAGTCGGTCGCCGTGGAGGAAGCAGGCGAGAGGATCAGCTTCGCCGAGGCGTACCATCATCGCGGACACGTCCTACGAGGCTTGTGCCTATATGACTATGTTTCGCTCGTCAGGCTCCAACGCGTCGGCAAGGACGGGTGCTCCGGTGCCTGGGGAGAGGTGCCTTTCGAGCGGCTGGGTGGCCGGCAAAGACTGGGTGCAGGTATTGAGGCGGCCAGGAAAGCACGCCGTCGTCTGCCTTGACGGCCACCTTAGCAAGGATTTCGAGCAAGACGACGAGGAACAATGCCACCGCCGGTAAGTAGGTGCGGTGGATGGCCGGTCGAAAAGCGGTCCCAACGCGCGGTGACTAACCGTGCCGCTACAGAGCAGCCGTGCAGCATCTTGCCCTATTCGCGCCGTGGGAGACCTTTCTTAGCGAAGAGCGAGGCGACATCAACGAGATATGGAGGCGCGCACGAGCGGCTTCCGCCAAGAACCTCGTGCCTCGTCGATAACGTTCAACTACTCCGGCGGTCCGCCGAGGACGCAAAGCGAGACGCCAAGCAATGGGCAGCGTCGTCCGGCGACGGGGATCCGGCCGGCGCACCTGGCGATTGGGGAGGATGGGGAGGGCCGGGCGAGGCGGACCGCGAGGCGGGATCCGCGTACCAGTCCGACAACGTCGGAAACGCAACGCGACTGATCGATGTCGTTAGAAGCGCGACCGGCGCGAACCAGATCACGGCGGGGTCGCGGGAGCTTTCGGGAATGATGCAGCAGCTCTCCCGCTTCCAGCAATCAGCGCTAGCCTCGACGGCCGAGCTCCGGGCCACCGTCGTGACCGAACGGGGTGGGGGACATCAACATGCCCGGGCAGGTGTTCTCCGGGGCTGCAGTGCCGCCGCAGGATCAGGTCAAGGCCATCAAGTCGCAGCAGACATGCGCCTCAAGAGAGGGTGAAGATGATCCAGGGCATACAAAGCATGGCCCCGGCCCACGGTACCGATCGCGGCGCAGCGGAGCGGAGCGTGCTCGCCGGCTTCGGGGAGGAAGACGTCCAGGTGACGCGAGTGGAAACCGAGGAGAGGGCAGGTAACGCGGAGGCCGGCATGGAAGTCCGCCTCGGCCCATCCACCTCCTTTCACGAGGCCGGGAAAGACTTGACAAGACGATTGACGCTAAACAAGAAGCAGGCGATTGCCTTCTCCATAATATGCCGCCACCTGGACTCGATGCGGCAAGGAGACGGAGGCGACGTCAGCCAGCTCTGTCAGTTCGTCGGCGGCGAGGGCGGCACCGGCAAGTCGCGCGTCATCGAAGCACTCGTGGGCCTCTTCGCCGCGAAGGACCTCTCGCATCGCCTGCTGATCACGGCGACGTCGGGGACCGCCGCCGCGCGGTCAACGGCATCACCATCCACTCGGCCTGCGGCTTCACCAAGGACCAAGGGCCGGGCGCGAACACGGCGAGGACGTCGACGGCGTGCGGTTGCCGAGGCAGGCGGAGCGGTTCGTCAACGGCCAGTCTCGGATGGACTGGCAGGATAGGACATGCTCGTCATCGACGAGGTGAGCATGCTCGGCGCGCGGACGCTGCACGCCGTCAACGAGCGGATCTGCCAGCTGCGGGGATCGCAGCGGGACTTCGGCGGATCCCCATCGTCCTCTTCTGCGGGGACTTCCACCAGTTCCGCCCGGTCCAGGAGAGGTCGATCCTGCTGCCGAGCGCGGCCGTCTCGTGGGACGAGGACAACTCGTTCAGGGCCGAGCAGCGCCACCAGCACGACAAGGCGCACGCGCTGTGGAGGCGGTTCACGACGGCCGTCATGCTGGACGAGCAGATGCGCGCCGCCGGCGACCCGGAGCTGCAGCGGCTGCTGAAGCGGATCCGCGGGGGCGTGCAGGACCACACGGACCTGGATCTCCTCAACTCGAGGTGCCACCGGGAAGGCAGGCGGATCCCGTGGGAGACGGGCATCACCGTGGTGACGCCGCTCAACAGGAATCGGTGGAACCTCAACATGGAGGCGAGCCTGGCGTTCCAGATCCAGCAGCGGTCGACGGTGCGCATCTTCCTCTCCGAGCACAAGTGGAAGGACGGCCTGCCGACCGAGGAAGAGGCCATCATGATGCTGAACCAGGGCGACGACAGCGCGATCCCGGTGCCGGCCGTCTTCATGTTCGTGCCGGGGATGCCGGTCGTCGTGAACCACAACACCCACCAGGGGCTGAAGCTGGTGAACGGTGCTAGCTACACGGCGGTGGAGGTCATCGTCGACAAGGCGCACCGGGGCATCGGATCTCGGCCGACATGACGATCCACTCGGGCCGCCGGCGGCGATAATACTGGGGTCGAAGACGACCAAGGACTTCCACTTCGTCGGGATGCCGCCCGGCACGATCCTGCTGACGCCCATGAGCGTCAGGATCCAGTGTCAACGGAAGCGACCGTGGCAGCAGAACGACGTCAGCCGAAAGGGCCTGCCGTGCGCCGCCGCTTTCGCGTGCACGGATTACAAGGTGCAGGGGGGGACGCTGGAGCGCGTGGCGCTCGAGCTGCGGGGGACGAGGACGACAAACGTCGGCGGACGCGCCGTCCCGTCGCAGTGCGACCCGTACAGCCTATACGTGCAGCTGTCACGGTGCCCGACGCTGGACGGCATCATGCTCGTGTCGAAAGTGCGAGAGAGACCTAGTGGAAACCGGGTCCCCGGGAGATGACCGCCGCACAAGCGAGGCTGGAGGAACTGAGCGATAGAACTGTTCGGGAAGCGATGTGCAACAGGCTCGGTGAGAGCGCGGGGGACAGAGACGGTGAGCAGTAGGTAACTTAACCCAAGAGGGCGCGACACCAATAACTTAGCTATGCCCCACCCCCGACCCTTGCAAGGACTTCATTACTAATGGGAAAAATTGGGTCGGGGCGACCGGTGGAGCAGGCGGCACAAGCGAATGGGAAGGGGGGTTTTCAACGGGCCAGAAGCGAAAGCGGTTTATTATTCTGGGCAATCAGAAGTCTCAGGGCACGGACAAGCGAATCAGATGCCCCAGGACATGACAAACAGAAGGCGAAAGGCCCAACCGAAGGCGAAATGACCGTAGCCAATCGACCGAGCGAATCAGAAGCGGGGATTTCGAGGGGCAAAACCGGGGGTGGGGCATAAAGTCCTTTCGTTCCTCAAGGCACCTTTCGTTCCTCAAGGCATGGCGGCGTTTTTTTTTCTTTCTCCCCGGGGAGGAACCAGAAGAACCTTTTCGTCACTAACGTTCCTCAAGGCACTCGTTCCTCGTTCCTCAAGGCATGGCGATTTTTTTTTCTCCCCGGGGAGGAACCCTAAGAACCTTTCGTCACTCGTTCCTCGTTCCTCAAGGCACTCGTTCCTCGTTCCTCAAGGCATACCCTCAGCTCGGACACCGACATGGACCGCACTACCGTATCTCAGCAGGCGGCATCGACCAAATGAAAAAAAAAAAAACCAGGCCCCCATTCGCCTCTCCAATTGTCGCTCCAAGCCGATCGACGTGCAATAATTCTCGAAATGTAATTAAAAGACAGTTTCATGGCCTTCATGGTTCGTTATTGCCGTGGCTTCTTCGTCTATATCCCTCAAGCTTTCACTCGCATACCTCTCCATTTGTTCAAAGCCCATCTCCTTCCCTATTTCTTTAGCAGATTGGAAAGTCGACGCTGCGTGTATTAGTTCCCAATCGATGCTGCTTGTGAGAGAACTTACAAATGCGTCCTCGGTCTTAACGAGATCAAAAGAGCTGTCCTCGTAAAGGCTGTACCTGTGAGAAATCTCCATGTGCTTGGCCACCTGGTATGGGGGGTCTCCTCCGAGAGTACCTGGGGACCCAAGCTGTCCCTGGAATTGTGCAATCGCTTGGAGATCCGGATGTGATAGTTCTGCTGAGCACTGTTGTGCAAACTCGCCGGCTGTCCCGGTATTCCCTTCAACTTCCTCGACTAGTCGCCGAATAATTCCATACACAGTCATCCGGAAAGCGACTGGAGGGATCTCTAACTGTATTCCAGGAACACGTCTAACAGCTTGATAATGATTCTCGACGTTGGGGTTGATGGTCTCTTGGATATGTGCCGTCTCAGGCTTGCGCTCACTTGCAGTATTCAACTTGTTTGCAGTACTGACTGACACCCCTATTCCTTTCACTTCATCCAATCGCCAGCTGTCGTCATGATAAATCACGAAGTCATTCTTATCATCGTCCTGAAAATTGGGCCGTTGAGCGGCTGTGGTAACATCGGAGTGAAAACCGGGCTGTTCCTGGGTAGCCGAAGAACCTTTCGAACATGCGGAGGGCCCCAAAGGAGGAGATTTGGTTTGTGACATGGTCAAGGCTGCGAATAGATCATGCAGTCGGTAGAAGCATTGGGAAACACAACACACTCTGGACAGGCAAACACCCACACCAGCGGCCCAATCTTTGATGATGCCTCACAAGCGGAGGATGGGACGGGGCCCAAGTACAAGGCGTATCACAAATGGCGGCTCCTAACCATGTTTATGCCCCTGACCGCACTGACCACAACCGACGGTCAGGGTGCCCGGCTGCCCCTGTGCTGAACAGGAACGAGACTGCGCCTGTTAATGCATAATTTTATGAATCGAGTTACTTGAAATGAGCTTGGAAGTATCGCGACATTTCGCATTTCCCACCCTATGGGGCGAACCAGTAGGCTCTCCTTCTACCCTTGCTACGGGCGGAAGCATCACCAAAAGCCATGTAACGGGTCCAAGCCTGCAAAGCAAATAGACCTCAGGCCACCTTACCAAGTCTTCCCAACAAGAGGAGTGGCGAGTCGGTTGGTCAGTTGGACCACGTCATGGGAGCCGCTCACTCCCATGCAGGTCTTACAGAGGTTACATTCTTCTTCTAAGGCTGATGCCGAGGAGGACAACCGTTCCTTGTTGTGAGGCTTCGTACGCTGAAAGCTTCGCCACCTCCCGACCTTCCCATGCACATGCATACATGTTGGCACTTGGGGTCAAGTCGGAGGGAAGAGAAATCACCGGACAGAATCCTGCGTCACGCTCACCCCCTGACCACCGCTGCAGGAGAGCTGCGGGCCAGTCTGCATCATGCGGATGAGGCGGTCCGCCCAGTCACTCTTCGTCCTAGTGCCTATTCGGAGGTCGGCTGCTGATGGATGTGAAGAAACCGCGGATACGATCGGCGCGTAGATGCAGAAGCTGGAGGTGTCCTGGTCAAGTACCCGGGCTGGCTGATAGACATTCATTCCAGGGGTGGCTCACAGGCATTAGCCAAGCAACAGCGGACTACCGCCCCGAAAGAGGAATAAGGCTCAAAAGACGGCTGGCCGAAGGATGCCATGGGGTGGCCTAATTTGCACTGCAGAGAATGTACGGGACGATTTGCTGGAGCCCACATTTGGAGTCACGGAAAAGTTCGACTAGGACAGCTCGTTCGCAGTCGCGTGGAGGATAGAGAAACTTAAGCACCGGTCCACCCGGTTTCCTCGGTCCCCCATCATTCTCGTATTCTTGCACTCTCAGAAGGCCAATGAACGGCAAGAATCCCACGAAGAACCTCCTGCCTGCCATGTCGACTGACTCCCTCTCGACGATCCAGGAGTATACGGATACGGAGTCGATTGCATGTGGACAAACTGGCCAACTGCGTGCTCTCGGCAGGCTTCTATGCCCTGAATCGCCAACAGCGGAGGTTTTAGACACCGTGATCCAATATAAAGACGCGAGCCGTGGCGACAAACGTGCGCAAGATGAGATTGCAGAGTCACCTATAACCGACACGCAGCCGACACTCGCACCAAGAGATCTTCGAGAGGCTGATCACTCTTCTTCTCGTAGCGACGTGAAGGAGAACTGTTCTCCTGGACTTGCATTCCGAGTCACTTTGTTCAGTGCCTGCCATCGAGTAGAGGCTCACGGCTCCATCGATGGCGGACAGGACGAAAAAGTTGAACTGGATTTCACTCTCCCTCATCGCAATCCAGTCAATATCACCATGAGATTCTGCCAGTATTCTCCTCGAGGGTCTTCACGACGCACCAGGCAACGCGAGCAGAAGTTTCATGGCCTAGTCTCCCGGAGGATCGGTGCGGAATTTCAAGCGCCTGGGCGAAGATGGCAATCTCCTGAACAGGGGCGCAAAAGGCAACGAGCCTATAGGTCTCGAAGGAGCAATGAAGGGGGCTTGCAAGTCTTGCAGACTAGATGAACGTATTGATTTCTAATTATGAGTCTTCACCAGCCCCTGGAATGGTAATCGTCCCTAGATGCCTGCTCCAATAGATATTTGTTCCACGAACCAGCATTAACTTCGCTGGCCTTCATGTAAGACTTTTTTGGAAATTGTCTTGAATTCAGCTGATGACTGATCGCGGTGTCGGTTACGAATGTTCGTTGCTGCCTTCCCCGGACGAGCCCAATTCGGAGAGAGTCACTCAACTCGGCCGTGAGCATGCCACGACGAATCGCTCGTGGCGATGGAGGTGTCGTGGCTTTCCCACGGTCGCATGTAGCTAGAGTGTCTTGAACGTTGGATCGAGGCCCCTCGCTGCTGCGCTTGTCTGGGGTTGCCTGTTGCTCTCTTTCACTCTCCAGCATAAGTGTAATGAGGGATTGTCGCTGCCTTGTCTCAGGACGGGGTGCAGAACGCTGGAACAGCTGCGAATCCATGATCGGCTCGACACTATCATCAGAACAGTAGTCGTCGATAGTAAACTCGTCGTCCCCCCCATTTTCAGATAGAATTGATGCTTCGTTCGTGCATGTGGGCAGGGCACGTCTGAACGCCTGAACACCTTCAATGACGTGGAGTTTGGAGCCAGGCGAGCCGGTTGTCTTGAGCGAGCCCTTCTCCGAGGAGGTGCTTGTTTTGCACATGGCTTTCAAACGACGAGTAGAAGGATGCACGAATTCATGGATGTTTGTTTGAGGAGCGTACTTCATTAGCTGAACTGAAGATCATTCGTACGAGATGATTTACGCGGAAGGCATGGCTTCCTTTAACGCTTTGGAAGGCACCTTCGTATCGCGCCTCCAACTATGGAATGATTAGGTACTTGAAGCGTTTGTATCGACTAATGCGGCATGAGCGTGTGGCCCAAACTTGGGACGCTTAAATTGAAGGAAGTAGCTGTTGGCAGAGGACTGACTGTGATGTAAACCACTGTCGCTCTAATTGAGTGCCCTCAGAATTATACCTGGTGCTCTGTCGACCGATCTGTGCTGGATTTTATCACTACAGATAGTTGTATCTCCATCTCTCTTTCTACCCGTTTCCTCTGGCGCTCTCTTATCATACTGTC